ATACACAAAAATACGTAAATTAAATTTGTGGATTCACCCCTTTGGCCGGATCCAGACCCAGTGGGGCCGTGGTCCAAATTGAAATGCAAGCTGTCGCCGGCTCCATTTCACGTTCCAGTGTCTTTCGCCACTCGGTTGTAGCTTCTGGTGGTGCTGCTTTTCCCGCTGCTGTTGACAAATGCAAAACCATTTGCCAAATAAATAAGCAGCTCAACGTAAATAAATATGCTTTCGCCACGCGCATTTACACTCAATAAAGATGCTCCAAAGCTGGCCCCCAGACGACGCTACGTCGTGGATGCGAGTACGGATGCGGATGATGATGATGATGCCAGTGGAAGTGGCAATGGCAATGGAAATGGGATTGGGATTGGAAATGGAGGTGGCGATGGCGATGGCAGTGGCGGTGGCGATGCGGGAGTCAAAGGATAAGTCTGGCATAAAAATTGTATTTTAATGCCATCGCATAAATAACACAAACAGGACACTGGTCCCACGCTCTCAGACATGGACACGAGGGCGGGCGCGGGCGCGGACGCGGACGCAGGACGTGGCTGACAGCAGTGGTATTTTATCAAAAGGAAAAATCCCAGCAGTTTAGCCCAGCCCCAATCCCAACCCACTGGCACTAATTTAGGTGCCGAAAAATCAACAGGAAACAAACATGCCAAGGAAGAGGAATAGCCAGGGATCCATCCTGGACGAAGGACAACCGGGCACGCCTCACTGCACAGGCGGCGTTGACAACAGCAGCGTCAGGAGAGCAGGAGGCAAAAGGACCAGGAAATTAAGGAGGGCTGGGAGAAGCATCTTCATCATCTGGGGCGAAGGCGGCGGCATATGTTAGCGTTAGGCGCTAGGGCCAGACGCTGGCGCTCATCAATAAAATCATCGGGGTCATTAAGTGGATTAACTGCAGCCATCAGAAGCATGTGGTGCCCAGGACTCAAAACGCAAAACGCCAAACGCGCACACACACAGACAAACAGATATACACACCCACAAAGAGGAAGGGGGGAAGGGAGGTATGGGAGGTCCACAGTCAGTTTTATCATTATCCCTGCTTTACACTTCATAACAGGGCGGCAGAGGCACAGTGGAAGGCAGAAGTCAGACTAGTGGCATAAACAAAAGGAAGCACTGGCCTAGTCCCAAAACATATTAAGCCCACTGTGCGGTGTCCCCATCACGTCTGGGCAATGGCAAAATGTTTTTGTACGAGTATGTGCTTCCTTCGGCGTCTCCTTCTTCTTGGGAGCATTCTTTCGAGCAGAAGCAAGGCAAAAGGCAGAAGGCAGAAGGCAGCAGACAGACGGCGGCAAGGGATGGCATCTCTTGTCCTGATGTGCTGTTGTTATTGACATGTACGAATTAGGTTAAATTTATTTACTGTCAGTTCAGTGAACTGCAAATGGTTTTAGTTTATTAAATTTACCACCCACACTCGCCAGACTCAGACACAATCTGTTTTAAGTTGGTTAAATGCAAGATGGCAGAGAAATCAAGATTGAGCCATCTCGAGAGCATCTCTCGGAGCTCAACTTTTAATTTGCACAGTTGTAAAGACCGATTGCCGTTTGATTAATCACCTCTGCACAGTTCTGTGGAGGCAGGAGTGGCAACTCGAACTGTATTAATCAGGGCACGTTGAACGCTGCTCATTTATTTGAAAATGCGCAAAAAACGATAGCCAAAGAGGGGTATGGCCTGGTTCGGCTCGGTTTGGATGGGATCAAATCATTTGGGTTCGGTTGAAAGGGACTTCTAGTCGTTTAATACACGATATTCGTAGCTTGCAAGGGTATGCCGTACTGGTGGAAACGTATGCCATAAACATATTCGAAGCGATTCAATAAATCCTCCATTTGTGGGTGTATGGGTCTTAGCTGCCTTTCCCTATTAAATGCTGCTCTTAAATGAGAGTTTATTGTTCTCTCTCTCTAACAGCAGAGTACAGGGCACCTTCAAGTCGAAATATTCCTTCATATTCGCTGCTTTCTATTTCTTTTTTTTTGTTTAAAACCACTTCAACAAATGGCTGTGGCAGTCAAAGTTAAGCTGGCAAAGCGGCAAATAAAAAATGACTGAGCGCGTCCTTCCTAAAAGCTTTTCGCAAAAGTTTGCTTGGCATTGGGCGGAGGAATGGGAAGGGGAAACGGAAGGCTGCCACATCGAGCGTTTGCGCTGGAAATCAATTAAATTGAAATTACGCATACGACATGTGTGCCAATCGCAAACAGCTTTCGCTTTTGCGCTGAGGCGACTTTTCCCCGGAATTATCGCTGGCAAATTGAATTCGAAATTCGTTCTGCTCCACCCGCCCCATAAGCGCCTGCCCCCACCTCTCCTTTGTATAGTCAAAATCTGCAGAACGTGATGTTTGAAACTGGAACAAAGTTGTTTCAATATTTGCCAGAGTTCTTAGTGGGGGGAGTAGTTTATACGACTACGAATATGCTTGGGAAACGAAATTCGCTGGCCATAAATTGTATTTAAGCAGTTGAAAATTGAATTCAAGCACAAATTCCTTCTCCAGTCTTATCCGTTTCATTTAGAAGCATTTCCAGCAGCTAAATGTATTAAGATATTATGTAACATATAAAGTATAATCAAAAGCTTGAGGTGTTTTCCAAATTGGTTATCTTAGAGGGCTCCTTAAGCTCCTTAGTTCTTTGATATATTTGAAATAATATCAATTACTACCTATAAACAGATTAAACAGATTAACATCATGCTCTGCACGGCAGTTTCTTCCACTGGTTGATTCTTGAAGTGCTGCCAAACATGTTGGCCATGGTGCTAATTAATGTAGGGCTTTAAAGTATTAACTTTAATATTGCCCATGCCACACAGCTTACCACAGACACACCCACTCTTCCACTGGACATTGTCACACTCGGTGCATTAATTAAATTTGTCGATAATTGCAGGCACCGAAGAGTCCGGACAAAGACAAGGCCCAGCCTCAGGGACGGGCAACAAAAAATACCCGCTATCCCAAGAAAAAATATAAACAGCTCAAACCAAAGAACAATGTAGGAAATAACAAATTTAAATAAATAAGTACAGACACTTTCCTGTTAAAAGACCGGAAATCTAGGTATTGTGTGCATCCCTGGCTTCAGGCAAAAGGCACATTTAAGTGTCGTTTTTAAATTGATTAAAAAACTGCAGCTTCTCTGCTCTCTATATACCCTGTACTCAAAGCGTTTCCGACCTGGAGATCAAGGAAAATATGTTTAAGAAATGGAATACAGAGTATTTTAATGGAACATGGAAACAATCCAGGAATTACACATCAACAAATTAAGAAACCAAAGAAAAAGTGCGACTCTTGTTTTTAATATTTTCTTGTGGAAAGATTTCTCGATTTTTGGTTATGGGAAATGTCGACTATAGCCTTTTTGTTTGGCGCTGGACAATATTTAATTAACAAGGCGTAGGCGTCGTTTTGACTGGGCGACATTTTTAATTTCCTTTTTCAGAAGCACAGGAAGTGCCGTCACATAAACCGGAAGTGGGGAGCGCCACACACACACAGCGTCAGTCGAAAAGCGTCAAAGAGGCGCATAATTAACTTGTTGCCACGCCCACGAGCAGCACTTGAAAAGCAAGGGAAAAAAATGCCGGAACACTCGGAAAACTGTTGAAAGCGGAAGGAGGAAGGACTCAACTTTCACTGCGGCCCGGCCAAAGCTTGCCAAAGAAATGAGCAGACATTGACTGCGAGACGGAGTCGAAGTCCTAGTCCGAGACGTGGCTAAAACTTTTGCCATTGCTCGAACATAATTATAAAAGTTTCGACAAGTATTTGGCCAGGTGGGCAAGGAGCAGTTCCATACAGAAACAAAACGAAACGGATGCCGCAGGAGAGAGAAGGAAACCAAAACTGGACCAAGGTTTGGCGGAGGAACCTGCGCCATCGTCGCCAAGTGGCAATTGCCAAGTGCCACGAGCGGCGGCAACTTTGTTCGCACTCTGCACCAAAGTACTCACCTCGAGCCAGCCACCATCTACCGTCCCATGAATCCTTCCATTCGGTTTCCAACTAATTAGCCTGCTATTGGCATTTTTGCTTAAGCGCTTAATGAGCTCGTTGAAATCGGTAGGCAGCCTTTGCATGCGTTAATTGCTTCGGCATTCACCACACATTCCGTACTGGCCGTACTGGCACCTTAAGCCACCTGATGGACTTAATTCCGTTATGATGTGTCCTGCGCAAGAGGTATTTGTACGAGGCCATCAAAAATAGGTGCAAACCGTGGACATGATTTAGAAGCTATCTAGAGATAGCACCCAGAGAAAAAAACCTTGAGGCCCGAATAGTTACACTTAGATTTACGAGTATATACGTGCTTTTTGAACCAAGATTGGAAATATCTACTGTCAAGACCTTAAAGAAAAGTCTAGACAGGTACAATTATGTCTTCTATTATTATGGCTAGACCCATGAAAAGGATGCATCGTTACAGGATTGCATGCATACAAAAGTGATATTTTGCGACTACATATATTGTATAAGTGTTTTCTACCCTTTGTAGTCGTACTTTTATGGGCTTACAGATATTTTCTCCGCCCACAAACGGGCATTCATAAATATCTTCAGTCAAATTTAGGGATCGGTAAGTGAACGTGTATAGAATCGTGTTCTTTAAGTACAATAATGTTTGAACAGTACAATAAACATATTCATGTTTAATAAATATATTTAAGTCAAACCGAATTGTATTTAACTTCTGTATAATCTGTCAGTTTTCATCTCAGAGATCGTGAGAGATCTATGATCTATGATGATCGATTGCGAAACACAACAATCCATTTTGATATAACCATCTCCGGCTCATTGGCCCGTACAAAATAAAGCGAGATCTCGACAAATATGATGCGACTGTTCTACGGTTTTCGAATGACACGAATGACGTTCGTACCCGTACTGCGAATCTACGATACATACTCGTATGTCTGGACACATTCGGTATTTGATCTTTTTTATGGCTAATGTGAAAACATTGTGTATTTTGGAACCCAAATAAAATTATCAAATTGGATCAGAATTGTCCACAATTCCTTTAGAATTCAACAGCAACAACATGGGGGGAGCGATCCTTCTACGCTTTCTTCCGCTTGCGCTTCTCCACATGCATCTGCAACGTTGCTGGCTGCTGCTGCAGCAAACGTCTTGGAGGGTGGGGAATGCCAACGGGGAAATCAGTACCAAGCGGACGTGGGGTATATGCTCGAGCTCTGCACCTTGGACAATCGTGGCCAACTGCCACTGGGCCCGCAGGATATATTATCAGGTACAAGCACATCAGACGATGGCATACGAAGAGTATCGGCAGGAAGAGCAAGGAGCACAGCAGCAAGCCCACCCAGGCACTATTCTGCAAAGATAAACATGAGACAAAAAGAAGATCAGCTAGAAACTAGTATGGGATGTGATGTGATGTCTGTACTCACTAGGGGATTCACCAGGCGCTCACAAACGAAACGAACGCCACGATAGTAAATGTAGGCGAGGTGCTGGCAATGTCCGACATTTTTGTTGGATTCACTAATTATCATATCTATGTATTCGCGGATCTGGCTGTTGATGGCGTCGGTAAGATTCTTGGCAAGATTATTGATATACTCCTTGCCTTGTTTTTGGATAAACTTCTCAGCCCTTAATATCCTAGAGAGCAAGATATCAATTGAATCGCCAAAATCTAAGTTCTCGTACAAAATGAGTTCACTGATCTTCTTAACATGGCGCTTCATCGTATTCGTTGTCTGTACTAGTCTGTCGTTATATGTGTTATACATCTTTTCGACATCAATGCGACTGTTATGGAAAGACACGTGAGCATTCCAGTAGTAATAATGGTAGGTGCTATATCCCTTATAGTCGGGCGGGTCACCATCATGGTACGTATAATAATTTAATTTACTGACAAGGACTTCTTCGGCGATTACTCGCAACTGATTCGCAATATTGGGTACCATAGGGTAAGTTGAATAACGAGTGCATAGGTGTGGTAGGTATGAGCTGCCGTGGTAGGTGGAGAGATTACCTTTACGCATTTCACGAAGTCGCTTTTTTTCCTCGTCAGTCAAGAGGTACAGCATTGACAGATCGTCGGTAAACTGCTTAGTTTCTTTGGGGTCATCGAGTGACAACTGCAGGCGTGTCAGGTCGTCGACATTGAAAAGATTATTCACTTGCAGCAGGTGAAAGATGGACTCATTTGCCTTGCAGTTCCTGATGGCATTCGACATACGCATGGGAGGCAAAACGAAATCTTCACCTGTGAGCGACAACAATCTGCTAACATCTAGCTTTGCGTCCAGCACCCGAAAGAGTGTATTCTTATCGCCTTCGCTCGTCGGGGCGCAGGCTCCCTCATAGGTAACCACCCCGATGAGCAAGTAGAATAGTCCAACCAGCGTAACGAACGAGTAAATAATAAATATTAGAATCATGGCCCTGAAATATGCACAAGCATAAAAGATAACGAAAGAGATAAACCTCTAAAGGCAGCGCACTCACATTAGCAGACAGGAGGCGCCCGTTGACTTGCTGCAGAATCCAAGTCCACCAGCTGCCGTCCGACTTGGACCGATGCAGCCGCACAAGAGTGCCAATATCAGGATTATAATAAGCTGCGATGCAAGCACTTTGCTCGTATAAGCGAGGTATAAGGCCAAGGAAAGGCAGGTTTACTTACTATAAAGGTTAAGACGCATGTAATTTCGTATATATCATCGCGATCTTGGCCAAGCTTTTCGTAGACATCGTCGTAAGTCTTTGTGGAACGCTTGGTATTGAGGTGAATATCACTGATCACTGCCTCAATTATGTTGCGTATTTTTGAGGCATATCCAAAAAGGGTACCATGCCCCCTGCCGATATCTCGCTTCAATGGCGGGATGATGAGTTCCATCTGCTTACGGATTTTGTCACTTACTTCTTTTAGGCGAACCAATGCTCTCTTCGGTATTTCAAAATATTTCTCTTTAATAATCGTTTCGATACCCTCCACATAGACAGTTGTATTGGGAATCTGCAAAAAACGTAGTCAGTAGCGGTAGGGTGTCTCAATAGAAAGATAATACCTGATCATAGTGTAGGCATTTCGCATAGCCTAATTCCGGAATTTCGTTATAGCGGTTGAAAGACCAGGTGTCGGTTCTTTGGCATAAAACGGCGCATGCATGGTTAATGTCTCGTTTCACTCCTCGAAGACCTGAAAGGAGAGGATAAATTCGAATTGGCCAATATGTTATTTGCATAGTTACAGTCTCGATATTGGGACCCATACATGCGTAATTCCTTCTCCAACACATCCAGATTACGCATGATGATTAGAGCTTCTGGCATGTTGTCTAAGATGCGCTCTAATTCAGCCAGCGCATTGCTGTCGGATGTATCCGCGAGGTCAAGGAAGATGTGTTTATCCGCATCTACAGAAGGTGGAAAGGAGGCGTCAAATGCGAAGGGGGCAACAAGGCACAAAGGGATGGCAATTCTGAATGAACTTACGTTCCAATACATCGATAATGTGCGTCTCCAATTCCATAAAGTTTTTCAAAAAAAGATGCGTGATGTGATTAGCCACATCCTTCAGAAAGGAGCAAGTGTCCTCGCTGCCGCGCCGCATTGTCATTGAAGTATCGTCAAATCCCCGATCCAAAAACTTGTTCGACACAAACGCAATATAGACGCCAAAGCTGAGGAGATTCCGAACACATTACTAGGGCGATTATACTCAGATCCAGATCCAGACCCAGACCCAGACCAAGACTCACCATAAGCCCAAGATAAGTATCGCTAGGCATATGCCGCAACAGATGCGCCGCTTGAAGTCCCTTGCGACAGTGCATGCCGGACATCCCTGCTTGCACCGACGACAGCAGCAGAGGCAGCAATAGCATACACTGCAGGAAATGGCAATAGGATTCAAATGTCGCATCTTCCTCATAGCGAATGAGTCTTCACTTACCCTATACACGGGATGAGAATGATGCCGGCCATGAAGAATATCACGAAGAAAAGCAGCAACCAGTAGCGAGCCAACAGATCGGTCCAATCGTTCCGCTCCACCTTGGGGCCCAGGGCCAGCACGTCATCGCCCAACACCATAATATATTCTATAGCACAGGAGCCCAATTGAAGCATAGGATGGTGGAGTCAGTTCGTGGGTGATACTCACTCTGTGGCAGCGGCGGATCGTCGGTGAACACCAGCCGGAAGAGACTTTTCGTAAAGTTGTAGACAAAATTCAGGGATGTGGTTGGTGAGGTAAAATCGCGGGTGTAGTTGGGACGCCCCTTGTACTTTGTGTACTCGACAGGAGGCCAGTGCACCTGTCCAAGCTGTTCGTGCGTCGTGCCATCGCCCTCGTAGCCCGCGCGCCACCAGGATGACGGATCTGTGTCATTACCCGCCTCATCACCACTACCCGCCTCATCCCCACCAGCCGCCGCATCCCCACCAGCCGCCGCATCCCCACCAGCCGCCGCGGTTGTGTCTTGTCTTGGATCTCGTCTACCAAACGCTTCGTTTCCATCGGGCAACTGAGCCAGGACTGGCATCACTAGTAATGCCAGAACCAGAACGTAAACCGGGTTTCGGGGCTTCCATCGCTGTACCTCTGATGTCATCTTGTGTCAACAAAACCTCAGTTTCGAATACTTCTCGTAGCGCAGATCCTTGTCTTTTCGGTTGTGTGGTCGTGGTCCTATGTGTAAATATACAAATGTAGGAAGCACACATGAGTACTTGTTTTGTGTTGAGCAGCAGAGTGATATACATAGGGACACTTAAATGACACCAATGACACTTAAATCTGATGCTGGTTTGGTTTTCTTTTCTACAATCGGTTGCTTATTGCTACTGAGACACATTAGAATGTCTTTATCCATGGAAGCCTTTGGTTAAATGTTCTCAGATTCTGAGATTACATTTCTGATAAAATATTATTACAGCTACACCAGTAAGAAGCCCCAACATGCATAGGAATGATTGCAATATGTGATTCTATCCAGTCTTCGGAATTTTTCAGTCCTTAAGGAATATCCTTTTGAGCGCATCGTCAAGCAAAATCCGCTCTAAGGGTATTAAAAGGCAACGAGCGTCCCGGAAAAGTTCACGGCACCCACTTAAGCGATGACTGAGTGGTGGGTCCCTCTGCCTGAGCCTGCACCTGACTCGGGTTCTTTACCTGCACCTGGACCAGGGCCTGGGCCTGGGCCTGAACCTGACTCTCGGGGCCACTTGGAAATTGCTTTGAAGAGCTGCTGCTGCTGCCACTGCTGCTTGCTTTCTTATCTCACTAAAATAGGCATTGTTCCGCCGTTCTCGTGTGCCCGCTGCCCCTTTCTTTTGATTTTTCCCAGGCACGCATGAAAATTGTTTTCCTTTTGTTTGGGCTTTGGCCGAGGCACCAGCAGACAGAAGACAACAACGGCAAAGGTGAAAGGTTGTTGGCAGCAACAGGAACTATAAGAGAGCTAAGTGCGTGCTGAGGGAACGGAATGCGCAGGAAGCCTCCATATAGGCACAGGCACAAAAAGGCCCCTAATGACAATGATAATGGAGTTCACCGTCGCATGGACCAATTCTGGCAGGTCGAGATTGAAAATTGGCAAAAATGGCGAGCAAAGCGGAATTGGTGTTGTGTTGAATGAATGGCAGCCGGAAACTGTGCCAGCGGTTGATACTGTTATGAGTGCTTTGTGCCACTTTAAGGGTAACCTCAAATCGTGTTAAAGCTCTACCCTTTATCCCTTCGAAATTCTGCCTGAGCCAGAGAGCCCGAGATCTCCAGAGCCCCGATTGTTCCACCACTAGCCACACGATAGATTAGCAAATCGATAAATATAATCGCATTGAATGCATGCCAGGCCAATTCCAAAGTGGATAAAGGATGCTGCTTGGCATCATGACAGAAGACGATTTATAATCGCATTAAAATTTGTGTAAATCTTGGGACCCATACATATATATGTATAATCGTGCATATCTATTACCATACGGAATCAGAGGTATATATCTACTTATCCAAAGCAATCTAGCGCGAGAGACAAACGGCAGCCACTTAAATGCTGTCGCATGTGAAAAACCGCAAGCTGCATTCTTCACCAGGATTGGGGATGGGGAAATGGCATAGGGTATAGGTTAGAGGGTGTGGGATATAGGGAGATTGAAAACGAATGGGATGGCGAAAGTAGAGACAGCTAAGAAAGACATTATGCGACGGCATGGAACCACAAGCACACACACACACACACACACAACAATTTCACAGACAATGAATACATTGGCAAAATGCGGGTGGGGGGGATTGGTAGCAAATGGCAAGATGCAATAATACAAGGTGAGGCAGAGAGTAAATAAGCTTCCCGAAGTGCTGGAATGCCGCACCTAATATTAACACACCTTGGACAGCAGGACAAAGAAATTTAAATAAATGCATGTACACGAATTGCACAGAAAAAAATCACAACAATTGGCCACACGAGTGGTTGGGTGGAGAAGGAGACGCAGAAGGCAGCATAAAGAGATTTCGAGACGGTTGGGGGCGGTATAAGCACTCGAGGACAACGGGCGAGCGATGACTTTGCATTTTGCATTACATTTTGCTTGTTGCAACAAAGCAGTTTGTAAATTATTGCAGAATCCCTCCACCTACCAGGAAGGCTAACACCAGGCTCCTTCTTGCTGTTTTTGTTTTCTTCCTCTTTGGTTTGGCAAGCACTTTTGCAATAGCGGTATTCCCAAAGAAGAGTTTGATCGGAGCGGAGCGTGTAGCAACAGAAAGCCTACTAGATGTTCGACCATGGGTTATGCAAGAGAAGGAGGGGTGTATTTTATGTATTAGTTGCCAATTTACCTTTCTACTTCTATCTGACTGATCCCACCGCACTCCTAATCTAGGCACCTCCAAATCTTGGCCATCGGCCAGCTTACCCGTGGGTCCAACGATGCGACGTTGCCTCTTGTGTCGTCTGTGTGGTTGTCGTTGCACTCTTCGGTCTCCTGGTCCTAGTCCTCTGCTGCCGCTGCACTGGGCCCTTTGCCTCTTCTTCTTCTTGATCACTAGAATTCGACTCCTCGTTCTCGCCAAGCTGGCGTTCGAAGTCGTCTTTTCGGCTCAACGGTACTTCTTCGAAAAAGAGTCATATCGTGGTTGGCTGAGAACTAAATGCATCGTGTTCGTGAGTTTCGGTGTTGGTGTTCGGCTGCTCTTCGCTCTCTGCTGTTGTCCACTCCTCTGTTGCTTTATTCCGCTGCTGCTTTGTTCTATGGGTGAGCTGTTCATTTAGCGGATTTTGGGTATTATTTCTGCTTTCCCTACTCGAATAAAACTAGCCTTTTTGTACATACATACATATGTACATATATAGGAATGTGGGTCTCCAGGTAAGGTTCCTCACAATGTATACATCTTTGGAATGGTCATTGGCATGCCTGTCACCTAGCAGCAGCTTAGGGAAAACACCACAGAAGCCGGATTCGCTTTGATCTGATGCTAAGAAATATTAAAATCTTACTCTGGAATACGAGTACCACTAATGTTGAGTGCTGGAGTTATTTTAAGCCATCCTTGTTGTTGCTGCTTACACACGCAAATGTCTTATTTATGCTCAGCACTTTTTACCACTAGTCCCCTCTCTTTCACCCTTCCTAGAGAGATACATAGTTGCACCCGCACATGCTAGCGTCAACTTTTTGCGGCTGAATGTCTTCGCCTTTGCTGGCTGCTTCTTGCTTCAAACTCTCTCTCTCTCTCTCTCTCTCTCTCTCTCCTCTTTTTCTCTCAAGTCTGCGTACTCTGATTCTCCTTTTTCCCTGGGTCTGGGTCTTCTTCTTCCCTTAGCGGTGCCCTGGCCCTCGCCGCATGTTCATTGTGGCTTCACTTGCAAATGTTGCAAAATAAACTGTAGATGCTTGTGTTAGTGGGTGGAGGAGTGCGTTTGCCCTGCGAAATGCAACTACAGTGGAACCTCCATGGATGGACAGCATATACACACAAAAGCTGTGGCGGGACAGGAAAGTAAATATCACTTAGTATATGTAGATAGTCAAGGTTCTTGATCCCTAAATAACACCTCCTTGGGTGCATGCCTTTCCGACTTGCAATAGATAATTCGAAAGAGCTCTTGCCAGACTTTTCACTGTTTCATTTTCTATATTCTCCGACTTGGTCCTTTCTGGTGAGTCCGCAGAAGTTAGTTTCCCATCTGCTTGTGGACCGTTAGTCGGTGAGTTAAGGGTTTATCAGGGCACTTAGGATTATGAACGCTGTGCTGAATTAAGGGACAGTGCATATGCTGGCATCTCCAAAAGGAATCCCGTTTATTATTCATTTTTAAAGGAGCCAAGCAGCCCAAAAATCCATACACTACCTCATTTTGTAATCCTCCAATCAAATGGCAATCCCAGGCAGAGCGCTTGTTCAGTGCAACACAAAGATCAGATAGCATTGGCTTCTGCTTCTGCTTCTTCTTCTTCTATTCCTTCGTTTGGTGGCGCTTCCTTGGCAGGACTTCTCTCCGCCCCCACCCCCGCCCTGCCCCTGTCTCTGGGCCATACTTCAACTTCAGCTGCGGCTTTCTTATGCAAAAATGCATTGTTGCCGCTTGTTATTTTTGCATAAAAGAAAATTGTTTATTTAGCTTTGGATATACTATACATATACATATATATCTGTATATCTGTATGTATGTATGTATGTACCATCCTATGTAGATTTGACTAGGACTGACAATGGAGTGGATTCCATGAGGATGACTTGCCCTTGCACCGCACATTTTTCGTTCTCTTTTGGTAAATAGAGTGGGGACCAAAGAGCTGCTTGCCCCGGACTCTAATAGACCCTTGCCCAAGCCTTTTTTATGCTGCTTATTATGGCTGGAGAGGATTCACAGTGGCAGACCACCATTCATCCGCCCTGTATATCCTTCTTATTTATTGTCAGGGAATTTCGAGTCGAGTTTTCATTTTAATATGGTTATAATATACAATTTTTTAATGGCACATAATAACGTTAACTGCGGACTCGTCCTCGTCCTTGTCGTTGTCGTTGTCGTCGTGGTTGACTCTAACTTAATAAGCAGCAAGTTAAAGTTTTTCCAGGGTGGGGAAAAGAGGTCTGCTGGACACGTTATGCAATTTAACACAATTATTTAAAATTCAGCAAACTTCTGTGGAAGTGGGGCATGAAAAGTGTGCGAGAGAAACTTTCCAACCGGGCTGCCAACCTGCCCCCAACTGCAGCGCCCCAACTGCTACTTGAAACGACGCGATGGGTCAGTCCGTGTAGCACTGGCAACTTTTAAATTAACCCTAATTCAGAATGCAACAGCAGCAGTAGCAACAAAATAAATACAAAAGGAACTAAATACAAAAAAAAAAAATGAATGGGGAGAGGGCAGTTCCAGAGAAGGGGAAGGGGAAAGAATAGGGAGAGCGAGCAACTTTGCAATATTCTTGCACATTTTTCAACTTTAACAATTTATTAAATGGGTCAAAAGCCACTAAAACTTCATTTATCATTGCATGAGCAGGCAATGCACCACGCCCCCCGTGCCAACAGAACCACCCACCCACCCTCAATCCTACAGCCGCCCCCCTTCGAGGCCAACCGGCCAGCACGTCAGCCCGTTGAAATGCCAACAAATCGCAGAGACGAATGAGCTTGGCCAAACTTGAAGCGCTTCCGGAATGCCACAACTATTTTTTTCCACCTACCACTTAGTTGTAGGACCAGAGGTATGCTGGCACCTTGGATACACACGTCATCATGTGCAGGTTGCAGAAAAAACCATCCATTGATCCAGAATGAATCGTAAGTATCTTTTTTATTGAATCCTTTGGATATAGGTTGATGATGAATACACAGTATTTCCTGAGGCATGTACTTATCTCCTTCATTTTTTATTTATATGAATTTTCCAGTCCACTTTTAAAAGAGAATGCAATGAAAAGTTACAGTCATGTGTCGGGGTTTGAAAAGTTACTAAGAATTCCACATCGCGTGATGACCCAGTACATATGTATGGTAGATACCAGGACTCCCACTCTGAAAGCGAAGCATAGTTCTAAATTTACACGAAGAAGGCTTTCCGATGACATATCCTTATATCCCTTGAGTCCAGAACATCTACTGGCTTTCAGTAGCTTATCCAATCAATCGATTGCCTTTTGAAATGCCAGTTGTTGGACGGTGCGTGGGTGGCCTTGGGGTATTGCCTGTGCTGGGTGTTCGGTCGGGGAACAAAAATACGAGAGTCCTTGTGGGTCGCGTTGTTCCTGGAACAAGTGAGCTTGTGGAAGCTCTTGAGGGCGCAACTGTCGGCTCCTTGAATATGAATTCTAAACGCCTTGTTGTGGACTTCAGAGGAGATCTGGCCCGTGCTGGAGTTGTTGGCTGGGATGGACGCACTTTCGGAACCGATGGCACCCGTGGACGGATCGGTGATCTGGTCCTTAAGGTGGGTCGGATTGTAGGTCGTACGTACGGTCGCGTCGGTAAGAGTCTTGTGGGCATTCGAGACCAAATCAGAAACGTCCGCGTTGTCCGTATGGCAGTTGTGGGAGACTTTGTCGTTCTGATGCCGGGAATCGCACGTCTTGCGGTGGTGGCTACTGGGGATCTTCTGGTTGTGCGCACTGGTTGAGATCTTGGTTTTGGTGTCGTCCGTCTACGGGTCGGTCTTTGTGTAACTGGCAAACGTCTCGTCGGTTTCAGTGGAACTGGGGGTCTTCTGGTGGGTCTTGGAGCCGGTCTGAATGGCGCTGGAGCTCGCCCAAGTGAATCCGGAAGAGATATGGATGGTGCTGCTGGGGCCTTGGGTGGTGAGGAGGCCGTTCCATTTCCCTGAACAGCCAAGCAGAGTCCCAAGAACACGATCCCCAACGCGTGGCGCATTGTCAGTGATCTGTGCGACGGGATTCCGGATTTATTTATACTCGTAGGGGAATCTGGAGACGAGTCTGGAAAGGAAGAAGAGTCTTTCAGTTCGAGTAAACACAGCTGGGGAAAGGTAAGACAATAGGTGTCCGATTTGGCTGTTGTTTTCTGTGACTTATTTTCTTCACTCGGTTGTTAAACGTTTATTAAACATACATAAATACATACTCGTAATTACATGATTTCTTGTGTTTGTTCGGTTCGATTTTGGGGATCGGTATGTATATTTTTAATTATTTAGTATAGTATAGTATAGTATAGTATATCGTATCTATGTATATAGAAAGAGGTTTAGCTCAACAAACATAACGCGAGTGCCATTGTACAGTATGCATAATACTAAAGTTCATTTACCCGAAAATCTGGTGCTGTACACAAGAACTAGCATAGGTATCTTTATAATGTAATAATCATAACTCGAAAATAACAATATCTTTTATGTATACAGTATTTATTTATATAGATAGCTATAGATGAAATCAGTAAAAATATCTCCTAGGTACAGATACAGTGTAGTTTCCTCTTCGATTTTGGTGCGCCAACTTCCATATACTATACATATACATACATATAGATATATATGTATATTTCATATAATTATCTTTTGCATTCTGGTTGCTTTCGTAGGTATTTGAAAATATGTACGTCTGTCTCCTCAATATTCCTGTCTATCATTTTTGTTCCTATATCTTGTTGTGTGTAAAAATTAAAATATTCAACAGTTGATTGCAATGAGGCGGATTTTCATAATATCATTCGTTACAATATCCTTGGGTCTCCTTCACTTCTTCACTTTTGTTTTTCTACTTTGGTTATTCGTTTTAGTTCCCTTTTTTTAGTTTTACTCGTAGTTGTGTTTAATGCTTTCTTTCGTTTAATTAGTAAATATTCCTTTATGGAGCTATGATTTTAATTTTGGTTATTTAAGTGTTTCCTACCCTCGTTTTGTTTGTTTGTGTTACACGATTTATAGGTACTTTATGTGTGATTTCATGGGTGATTTGATTGGTGATTTCATGCGTGATTTGATTGGTGATCGCCCAACAAAAATGTTGCACTGGCTGGTGGCGGCTAGAGCTTCCAGTGCGTTGCAAATGAAATATAACAGGCCTATAAATATTATAGATTGCACAGAGTTGTTTCTATATATATTGTATAGTATTGTATTACTTATGTATTTGTATTGCCAGCAATCAACTGCAATCACGGTGTCATTATAAATTAAGTATTATAGAATATATTCTATATTTTAACTAAGAAATACATCAAAACTACAAGGAAAATGTACCTAAATGTTTGTATTTTTTAAAGAAACTATTGAATTACCAATCGGAAATGTTTGCAACCGTTTAGTCACCCACCGTTTAGTCGTACAATATCCCGATATTTATACCCGATGTGGATGCCTCCCTTCCTGCCCTGCGTATATGGTATTTCCTATATAAAATATATGTGTATGTGTGGTTTTTGTTGTATATTGTATTCTATGCTACTTGCAGATCGTATATTGATTGCACAACAAATCAAAATAAAGCGTTATGCGTTATGCAATTTATATTGCAGGCCAATGTCCAAGATATGTTTGCGGTTATATTTGTTGTTGTTCTTTCGTTCAATCATTTTCGGATTACATGAGTGACTGTGACTGTACTGGGGGACTGCACTGTACTGTGTGTCCTTACTGCGCGAATGGATTGTGCGGATTGGCGCCGGGAATGTCCAGATTGCCGCCAGTGGTCTGATAGGTGCCGTAGGGTCCGCCATTGGGATTCATCTCGTTCAGACGGGAGTTGGACAGGGCCCGTGGTATGGGATTGCTGGGCACCCCGTGCGGCGCCAGATGCGAGGTTTCTTCGGCCACCTGGAGGCAAGACAGGATTAGCGGATTGGTACCCAATGATCGGGCATTGGGTAAACTCACCTGATGCGGATCCTCGGTGACGGGTATGTCTGAGATGAAGCCCTGCTCCTTGCGATAGAAGTTGACGAAAATAAAGAGGCCGAGCACCAGGAGGCAGGCAATACCATACCAACGGAAGGTAGCAGTAGTACCGTAGTAGGTGACGAACATTCCCCCAATAATGGCGCCACAGCCGCGACCGAGCCCATGGTGGATGCCCTGGAGCACGCCCTGGCCGGAGGCACGCAGGTGCTTGGGCGTGTTGTGGGCAATGTACGAGCAGCAGGCAGCCCAGACGGCGGCATGGGTGATGCCCTGCATCAGCTCGAAGGGGAGCACCATCCAGGGATTGGTCAGGTACGAGATGTACAGGAATCGCAGGACATTGCCGATCAGGCCCAGGCAAAGGACCTTCACGTGGCCGATCTGGGTGATCAGACGGAAGCTGAAGAAGTAGGCAAAGATCTCGGACACGTGATTGATCACGGACGCCACACCGAAGAGGGTGGGCGTGCCGCCATAGTCCTGCAGGTGCCAGAACAGAAAGGTGAAGATCAGGCCGATTCCGAAGCCCATGAACCAGGCAACGAACAGAAACGAGGCCGTCTTCACGTCCTTGAAGTGCGTGAGCACCGTCATCCACTCGGGCAGCTCCTTGGCCGTCTGCGCGAACACCTTGGACTCGGCGCCAATGTGCGGCTGTGGCTGATGGCCGCCGGCCGGGAAACTACTGGCGCCCCCTGAGGCGGCGCTGCCGCTACCCACTGCCAGTGATGGTAGATTGAGCTGAGCGGCCAGCTGGTTCATCGACTCATCCTCGGCGGCCTTCTTGCTGGGGTCCACAAACTGTGCGGAGGCCTGCTGCTGCTGCTCGTCCAGCGGGTCGTACTTGAAGGTGATCTTCGAGGCCGAGATGATGGCGCAGGTCATCAGCACCGAGAAGATGGAGAAGCAGATGTTGTAGTTCTTCTCCTTGTTGCCCGCACCGCAGGGATGGTTGGAGAACGAGGTAGAGTGGTCGAGGGCAATGCCCACCAGGAACATGGAGATGCCCCAGCCCAGCGAGCCGAACATGCGCTGGTGTCCATACTTGTCCGCATCCTCGCCCAGCAGCGTTATCACCGCCGAGTCCGCCAGAGTGATGGCCGGGGCACTGAAGAACTCCCCAATGAGGATCACCAGCAGCAGCAGAAAGAAGGCCTTTTGGATATCCTAAAAGAAGCGAAGATCAACAGGTCAGTAATCATCGTGGCAGATTGTCTCTCCCTCTCTCTGTCCCCACCGGCGTCCTGTAGACCATGGAACTGAAGATGGGCGTCACATAGTCGCGATGGTACTTGTCGTCGTAGTTGCTCACAAAGTTGATGTGCACCGGCGAGATGCCTGCATCGATTCTGGGCAACAGCAGGGATCTCTTGCTCCGGCTGTGAGCGGCCTCGGCCTCCTCCAGGGCCTCCTCCGCGGGCATAGTGCCCTGATCTGTGGAAAATCATTCGATATTATCAAAGTCCTAATACTATGCTCTGATATTGCAGGAAACTAGAGATCAGATATTAGCGGTATTATATTTAAAAAATACGAAATACATTTGGTAGGAAAGAGGTAGATCTACCTACCCTGATCCCAGTCGTACATGGCCGAGAGATCGCGCTTGGTACGCGTGTAGGTCAGCACGAAGTCCGTGGCATTCCGGCGCTCGATGCAGTTGATGGCCTCCGGCCGGATGAAGCTCAGCGGAATGGTGAAGAGCACCCAGCAGGCCAGCGAGCCCAGCAGCAGCTTCTTGCCCTGGCGACAGCGATCTGCGTAGGATCCCCAGAAGGGGGCTGACAGGAACTCGACGAACGGCCGCATGCCCACCAGGATGCCGCACTGGCCCGGATTCATGCCCATCTGCTTGAAGTAGACGCCCATCAGCGGGAAGAGCGAGCCGAAGGCCGCGTAGAAGAAAAAGTAGAAGCTCTTAACCGGTATCAACTCCCGTTCGGTGCTCGCGCCGAAGAACATTTCCAGGATGTCCGAGTGGCCGCGTATTTTGTGCGTTGATTCCTTGGCCTCCGGATATCTGCAAATGGGGAAAGTATCTTGTTCAGTATCTCGCGAAGCCGCTCTGTGGAGGGGGTGCTTACAAATTGGGATCCACCTCGCCGGTCGCCTCCACATCCACGCGAGGCCTGGCCCCTGGAGGACCGTATCCAGCTGCCTGCTGCTCCACCCCGTAGTTGCCCTGGTCGTAGCCACCTGTTGACTGCTGCTCATAGCCGTAACCCGCACCCTGCTGGCCATAGCCAGGTACTGCCGCTGATGGCGCCCCAAAGGGATTGGGTGCAGCTCCGCCTCCTCCTCCAGCATTGTAGGGATTCATTGTGGTGTTTAGTTCCTTGGTATAGCCCTCGCTCTTTCCTCCCCTTCAACCGCCTTCCTTCAGTGCTCTCTCTTGGTTATTTGGCTCTCGCTTCCACTTCCTTCGTCCCAGTGGGTCTCGTTCTTTGCTTTTGTCCCCCACTTACAGTCTCATCATCACTTTCATTATCATTCGGCAGCTGTGGAATACAGAATACAATAGAGGAGGATGTCAATCGTTTTGTCTCTTTGCCGAACCCTGCTCGTCCCGCTACCCTCCACAGATCAAAGAGCGCATCCGCATGCAATCCTTTTCCCATACTAAAGAGACACTTTTATCTTTATCTTGTGAAATTTCGGTGGCTATAATGACTAAGGACCATTCCTGACACCCTTCTTTGTTTTGTTAAGCAGTGTAATTATGGTCTCTCCAATTTGGGATTAGAGGAACCCAAAACGGAAATAGCTCATGTCCTACCGACTTCCTTTGTCCTTTGTATGCAGAAGATGTCTGTAATTACAATTGTCAGATGCTTCCTTTTCACATTTCTCCCACTATTTCGCTTTTCGCCTTTCTCTTTTCGCTTTTGAATGAGCCTCCTTCCGCTTCAAATGTGAGCAAAAGACTCGGAGAATGGCTGAATCTGCAGCTACACGATACGTTTTTCCACCAGGGCATATTTGAAATGGGATAATGTGGGCATTCTGGCAGACTCATTACAAGTCAGCCATTTAATAAGGAAAACGTGTTTGTTTTTCCTCTATTTCCAGAAACATTTAATCACCATAGTGCCTTGAATATTCCACTCTAGTCTTGTCGGTGCAAAACACATCGTGCAAGCACAGGTTGAGACTCGGAGAGAGCTAAACAAACCGCGCTCTCCCTCTGCCAAGAGAGAGCTCAATTCAGTTGAGTGGATTGCATTAGCTTTGAGCTTTTCCTGCGACATGAGCGAATGAGTAATTTCTATTCAATTTTTTTTCGTTCACTTGGCACGCTGCAAATGTGGGTGAATGGTGTCTGTATATACATACATACAAATGTACATATGTATCTACCACCATCCATATATAGAACAGACTTGTTGTTGCTCTATGTACAATTCATACATACGTCTAAATATGTATGTATTTATAAAGAAAAGGGCCTTTGAAACAGACATAATCTGATGCAATTAAAGCCTTAAAATCCCAAGTCGAAAGCTTTGTAGATTCAAAACAGTAATTAGAAAAAGCAGTTTCTTTTAAATATGTTAAGGATTATTGCGTAGATTAAAAGCCTTTGGTAATTTGTACAACAATTGACAAGGGATCTGGCGATATTCTAAATCTGTAATCCATTTTCTATGGCACACACGTGAGAATGGATGTATCTCTGTCTATATACTCGTACATATACAATATATTTTTTCGCACACTTCTTTGAAGGCCAAAGCCAGAGACAGAGACACTTGAGACGAGCCTTGTTCCACAGATAATTATGTAAACTTTAAATCCTTAATTCAAGTAAATATCATAGGATTACACACACCCAAAATACGGTTTTCTAATTGTTTGTAACTTTTGCACGACGACGACACTGGCCTTTCGGTTGAGGGGAAAATGTGTGTTACGTGCGTAATCGATAAGCAGAGTTTTCCTCGCGTCTGGCCTCTACACGAACGTTTGACGAGCTACCCAAGAATTTTCCAAAAGAGCCCCCAAAAAGAAAATGTTGCGCTCAAAGCGGAAAAGCTCGCTCAAGCGCGTTTCGTTTCGTTTTCGGTCTCTGGTGCGTGCGTGTGTGTATGTGTCTGCTCCGTCTAATGAGATTTGACGCGGCTAACGTCCCACACAGGAAGGACCTCAAACAGAGAGAATTTTAAAGAGAGAGAGAGAAAACCCAAGCGAAAGTGACAGCTAGGCGCCAAAATTAGTTGTATTTAAAAAAGACCTCGATGTACCTGTTGGAAAACCGCTTCAGAGAACTAAAGAAACGGTACATCGTACATCGATCGAGATGATTAGTGATGGGAATCACTTACCAGACCACTATCTCGTCGACATCATTGACATTGTCGCAATATGAGACGATTTGCGCTGATAAACTTGCAGAATCCCCGTCGCGGAGGCGCCCAAAGTCGCATCGATGCAGCGCTATATAAAGTGAAGCATTTCCATCGATCGGCATTCAGTTCGATCTGTTCGGACCTTCCAAAATGAAGTTCAGCCTCGTTTTTATGCTGCTCGCCTGCATCTGGGCCCTGGCCGCTGCCACTCCTGGAAAGCCGCGACCCAGCAATCCACGCCCCACCTCCCATCCGCGCCCCATCCGAGTGCGCCGCGAGGCACTGCACATCGCCGATCGTTTGGGACTAATCCAGCCCGCTGTCGCTGCCATGAGTCCCCCAATTCGGCCGGCTTGATGGTATGCCTCTAATCTCAAGAAGGGAAAAGCCCAACAAAACATTTTTTTATAATTATTTGTGTTTTGTTTGAATAAATTGACCCCCGAAATATACAAATTTTTGCAAAATAAAAACAAACCAAAAATTATAATAAAGAAGTACAAAGAAATTTCTAGGGGATTTTTCTGCGTTATCTCCCAAACGGCAAAGATGCTGGGGACTAGGCGCTGATAAGAGCCGGGCCTGTGGATGCTCAGAACCTCAAAAGGTCACGTCTGAGACATCAAAGCAAATCACAATTGAATGTAAGATCATTATGGATTTATTAGATTTTTCTACTCGTAATACGTATACACTCTAGGAATTTTAAGATCAATTAATAATTAAAGAAAGAAAAATAAAGAAAAGACAAAATAAACGTGACTTTTTATACTAAAAACACTTACCAAACTATTCCCAACTATTCCATTTGTATATATTCTCCGTTTGTATATCTCCCATTAATCAAGGGAATTTTTCTCAGTGCAAACTTTTCGTTGACATCCAAGGCGCCAAAGTTTCACACGCCGCGCTCTCGGCTGACATCCTTTCAGCCTGCTCCTGCGCACAGAATTCAATTAGGACTTGGTCGAAACTTCACTCAAGCGAGTACGCGTCCTACGACTCTCTTTCACTCATTATGAAACACCACCCACCGCCACCCAGCGCCCGCGATAAGAGCTACTATATATTGATAAAACGGGACATCAATTGAGGAATGTTTTATGATATCGCTTATAACTGTCAGAATCTGTCGTGCGCAAGATAAAGCACTTCTCCTCCATTAAGCCCACAAGGGCAGTCACTTGAAGCTGTCAAGTCGGCCAAAGGGCCTGGGGGCTGAGTGCGGCTGAGATCGACACAAAAGGAGCAACAAGTGGCGTCGATGATGCGACCAGGAAGGAGGAGGTGTGGCGTGGAGAGGTCAGAACAGGCCACACAGAAAGAATATGCAAAAGTAAATCACCGAAGAGACCTGAGGCGGGGAATTTCTAGCTGATAAGACAGATGGAGGCAGATGAGTCTTGTGAATCACAAGACGAGTGATTCCCCACTCGCGCTAGGGGTTTGCTTTAACGTTTGGAAGAACTTTTCGCTATAAAAGCAAAAGGTGAGCCACGATCAGGCATCAGTCAGCGTTCGTTCGATCCAAAGCCAATACAAGACAACATGCAGAAGGGAAGCATTTTCATCGTCGCAATCGTTGCCCTGGCAGCCATAGCTGAGGCTGTGCCTCAGTATTACCAGACCTTGCCCTATTATCCACCTCCGTCACCACCACCACGTCTCATGCGTGCTCGCCGTCAGGTTCTCGGAGGTTCGTTGGCCTCCAATCCGGCTGGGGGCTCTGATGCCCGCCTTGATCTGACCAAAGGCATTGGCAATCCCGATCACAATGTGGTGGGTCAGGTCTTTGCCGCCGGCAACACGAAATCGGGTCCAGTCACCACAGGTGGAACTGTTGCCTACAACAAGTAAGTCAATCGGAAGAAGAACGTATTAGTGAAAAGTGACTAGACGAAATTCTCTCCTTCTATACAGCCACGGACATGGTGCCTCTCTAACCAGGACCCACACTCCTGGCGTGAAGGACGTCTTCCAGCAGGAGGTGCATGCCAATCTCTTCAACAACGGCGTGCACAATCTCGATGCCAAGGCCTTCGCCTCGCAGAACAAGCTGGCCAATGGCTTCGAGTTCCAACGCAATGGCGCCGCCCTAGATTACTCACACGTCAAAGGTCATGGCGCCAGCCTGACGCACAGCAATTTCCCCGGCATTGGTCGTCAGCTGGGCGCCGAAGCACGAGCCAACCTCTGGTCCTCGGCCGATCGTAATACGCACTTGGACCTGTCTGGATCAGCCAACAAGTGGATGAGTGGCCCATTCGCCAATCAGAGGACGGACTTTGGCGCTGGTCTGGGTCTTACCCATCACTTCCGTGGTTAGGGCTGCCTTCAACATTATTCAATTATTTATTTCTTAAATTAATAAAATTTTAAATTGTTTTAAAATATTTAAAATGGTTGATCTCCAACGAGAACAATGGGAGGACTGATTGAAGCAAGGACTATCAAAGGAATCAACATTACAAAATCGTTTTAGTACGTAGATCCCTATGAGGCCTAGTAGAACGATCAGGATCGAAATACACCCTCATCTAACCGATTGGAAATTTACTTTACATAATTATCGAGCTGCCTTTTAGATTTGTTTTATTAAGTAGTTAATTGAATATTTTTGCTTAGTATACCGCACGCGCGCAAACAATTCGATTCCATAAAATGATTAATAATTTGTCTTATGTTAGATAATGGTTTCCGCTTTGTGTTCTGGTTGAGGTTGGGGTTGGGGTTGGGGTTTGCTGTTGCTATTTTTGCCAATTGATTGATTTATAATGTTTGCGCAGAAACTAAAAAGTTGTTTGGCTTGGAATCGGCATGAGAATTGTTAATTTGTTGTAACAGAAAAAGAAAACCAAAAGAAACTATGAAATGTCTGCTAGTTATGCTGATATCATGTTGAATTTGAATAATGTCGCCACCACTTCCAGCCAGTTTACGAAAGCTTCTTGGCCTTCTGATAGAGTGTGTCCACCACCTTGCCCATGCTCTGAATGGTCGCCAGCACACGCTCGTAGGTCTTGTCCACGGCCGTCTCCTCGAACACAATCAGTACACCTTCTCCCTGATCGAGAATGCCACTGAACTTCTTGTCGAGTATCATTTGAGACAACTTCTTCTCCACCTGCGCCTTGGGCAGATTAATGCTCTCAGCGACGTGGGCAACCTGCACACGGGAATAGGGCTCAATGATGCGGCACAGGTTCTGCTCCAGCATGGTGTCATAAAGCGTGCCCAAATGCGCCTGCACAATCACATCCTCGGCCAGTTCCTTTTTGTACTCCTTGAGGGCGTTTTGGAAGTCGGCGAGGGAGCGTTTGTGTGAGGCTTCTGCTACCGATTTCATGGCATCCACATCGCGGCCCGAATAGGTAATGGCCTGGTTTACAGAAGAACATTTATTTAACGATTATTCTTAATTATTTCAACTCAATTTACTTACCAGCTTGCCGCTGACAATCTGATTTACATCATCCGAGTGTCCTAGCATTATCTTGCACAGCAACATGTACTTTAAAGAGGTCAGGGCCTTGACGCTGTCAACGCTGTCGAAGCCTTCGAAGGCTTCATAGAAGTAGGAGAAGGCGGTTTTGAAGTCACGCTCATCGGCCGCATGCAGAATGCCAGACTGGAGATCGAGGGCACCCTGTACCTTGGGGGGACAGTAGATGGCATTGGCCGTGGTCCGAGCCGAGGTGAGGGCAGCTCTGGCCTTGGGCAGATTACTCAATGCATGGTAGGTTTTGCTCTCTAGCAGCTGAACTTCGACCAGCAAATTCTTGTCGTCCAACTTTTTGAGCTCCTTTAGCAGTTGCGAGCCTAATGCCAGAGCCTCTGTGTACAAAGCGGTGTCGAAGTACAAAGCAATCAGACGGGCCTCCAGAGATTGCCGCAGAAAGGTCCGCTTCTCCTGCTTGGCCCACTCAATGCAGTCTTTGCAAAGTTGCACCTTTGGTTAAATGGAATCTTGTGTAAAGGCAATGTTTTGCTAATAGAGAAACCCAAGACTCACCTCAATTCCAGTGCCCGCATCCATGTCGAGGAACATGTCTACCAATGAGCGCACCAGTTTCGCTGCCTTGGCCTTGCTAATCGAGCTCAAGAACGGACGCGTCACTTTGATGAGGTCGGCCAACTCTTTTGCCTTCCCCTCCTGTTTGTAGAGCTCACCCTGCTGCATAATGCCCTGCTCCTTGATGCGTATGCGTTCTTCATCGTTCTCAGCACCTTCCTGATCCCGCACTATTTTATTCAGCAGTGAGCTGTCCTCTTCGCGATTCACACTGGACAAGGCCTGTGCACGCTCGAAAAGTGTAGCTCCGGCCATCTTGCGACTTTGAATATGGATAACGCTCGACTTTACGACAAAATTTTGTAATCAATCAAACAGCAAACTGTGTTACAACTACAGCACTATACGTATTCCTTTTTCTCTTTGTGTATTATATGTATATTCAGTATTTAATGCGTACTAGGTGTTTTATTCTGACTTTTTTCACCTTTTCGTCGTTGTTATTAAGCGCCAGTCACGATTAGAGTTGGCCCGACTTCGATAAGTGTTATCGCAATGCAGAAAATATACTATCGATGTATCTTTATAAAAATATCGCAAACTATCGCGTGTGAAGTACTGGAAAACGCCATCACATTCGAACAGCTGTTCCAATCAAATTCAATAAATTAAACAATGCCAGCCGAAGAAACAATCAATTCCACTCAAAACAAAACGCGGACGAAGACTACGCGTCCCAAGGCCGTTTACCAGTGGACAGTAAGCGACGTGCTGAAATGGTATCGTCGCCACTGTGGCGAATACTCGCAATACGACCAGCTATTCGTCCAGGTAAAAAGTGCTTCCAGAGACTTACCAAGGTTTTCCTTGTTCATATTCTCTTTCTCTCTGTAGCACCTCCGCGTTAAAATAACTGCCTACTGATCTTGTATCTTTTTACATTCCAGCACGACATCACTGGGCGAGCTCTGCTACGCATTACGGACACCTCGCTGCAGCGCATGGGTGTGACGGACAATCGGGATCGTGAGGCCATTTGGCGCGAGATTGTCAAGCAGCGCCTCAAAACAGATATAATGGAGATCCGCGATATGGAACGTCTCAACATACGCTAGGACACCTGAAGTAGCAGATCCTGGCGTTCGAATCAGTATTTAGTTCAAGCTTTATTATATAGAAGTCTTATTGTTAGAATAAACTACATTTAAGATGAGATATGGACTTTTAATGGAATATCATCGTTTCTTAAAGTCAGAGATCGCTCTTACTATATCAATTAGCCCTCCTTCTCCTGCTTTGGCGTGACTAGTTGAACATCACCGTCCGCTGCAGGTTTTGGTGCCGGGCCTCCCCCGACGATGGCAGTGCTGCTGCTGCTGGTACTGCAGTTGACTGGCGTGGAGGATGGGGCCGTAATCACCTTTGGCAAGGAATTGGTTGTGAGTATATGTGGCATGGTGACGGTACCATTGCCCATGGGCAGAGCTGTGGTGAACAGCAGCTTAGGCGGCTGCAGGCGCTGGGCAGTAGTTGATGGAGTAGCCACTGGGACAGGCTGCACCAGGTTTGGGAGCAACGACAGCAGGCGATCCCCCATCGACCGCTCCCAGTCCAGACGCTCGCGCTCCAATGACAGGCGATTATGCTGGATCTCATTCGCCTCGTTCTGGGAATTAAGCAGCTGCCGGAGTAGGATTCTCATAGCTGTAATGGTGGATAGTAGGTTTATAAATAGCTGAATGGAGTTGGATGGAATTATTTTATACTGACTTGTCATGTGTCGCCTGGACTGCGATTCCTCTCTCTGCCTCTCTCGGCGGTTCTCGTCCTTTTCCTGTTGAATTCTCTTTTCCTTCTGTCGCTGCTGGCGTTGTTGCAGCTGTTGCTCCTGCTGGAGGTTTTGCTGTTGCAGTTTCTGTTGTTGCTGCTGCTGTTGTTGGTGTTGCTGTTGTTGGTGTTGCTGCTGCTGCTGCTGTGCTATGGCCTGAGCCTGGGCCGTGGCCAGTGGTAGCGTTGCTGCTGATTTCCCCACAGCAGCTACGGCTGCCGCTGCCTTGGCCTGCTCGGTATTCACTAGGACAAACTTAACACCGCCGGGAGCAGTGGCTACCAGACCGGCATTGCTTGGCTGTGCCGGGGCAGAGGCCGATCCGCTAATCATCAAACGGGCTCCCTGGTTGATGGCGCTCTGCAGCAGCTGCAGCTGTGGAGCAGACCCGTTGGCTGGCACGGGACTAGGTCCCACAGTAGCCGGCAGCTTGGACTGCATCAGGAAATTGGTGGGCACCAAGGAGATCTTGCCCGGCTGCAGCATACCCGCATTGCTGCAGAGTGTGCTAGTGCTTTGAATAGGCACCGAGCAACTAGTCGAAGTGGTGCCGCTCGCTGAGATGATGACATTGCCTGTCGCGTAGGACATGAGATTGCCTGGGTTCCTCGGCCGCTGCAAAATATTCGCTAGAGTGGACATGACGGGACTAGGAGACTTCTCGCTGGGTGAATCATCGCCAGCATCCACATCGATGGGCTCCTCCTTGGTCTGCGGCAGCAGCATGCAATCGTCGTCATCATCGTCGTCCTCCTGTTCAGACTCCACCGGTGCAGCAACGGGAGCAGGTCCTGGCTCATGGCCCGGCTCAGTCTTGATGCTAGGGGAGGCCAAGACCGACTGACCGATATCCACATCCGGCTCGGTTGAGCGTTTGCGTCGCTTGGAGGCGATGGCATCAAGGGTCTGCTCATTCAAATCCGTGTCCACCCCAAGGCAGGCGGCCTCCACCTCCTTACGGGGCGTGTCTTCCTTGCCTTTGGACACCAGAGAGGAGAGCAACATGTCGTCCTCCTCGTTATCGCTCTCGGACAACTCCTCGCCGTTGGCCAGCCGCCGGCTGCGCTGCTCCGCATGCTCCTCCAGGGCCTGCTCCAGTTGATATTTCAGCGATGGGGCTGGCACCTCATTGGGCCGTACACTGAAGATGGGACGCGTCATGATGGCATCCATTTCGGCAAAATGCTTCCAGCTGGGCTCCGAATCGGAGGTGGCGCCGCACTCCTTGTCCTTCTTGAGGCGATTGTAGAAGCACTTGAGATTCTTGATCCGAGTGGTTATCTCCTCCGGCGACCGGTGGTAGCCGTACTCTTGCATCTTGGCCGCCAGTTGGCAGATCACAGCGTGCTTCTTGTGCGTGGTGATGAGGGTGCGCTGCAGCTTGGGATCGCCCCACAGCTGAATAAGCAGCTTCGTCTCGTCCGTATCAAAGTTGGGATTGCGTCCCGCGTAGCTGTGCTTCTTGTGCTTTTCGGAGCTGCACAGGCTCTGGTTGCAGTTGTAGTTACTTGTTGGGGGGACGGCACTGCCATTTCCATTCCCATTACCATTACTGTTGCCACTGCCACTGCCATTCGCATTGCCACTTGCACTAGCATTCCCACTTCCACTTCCATTCCCGGTTGCAGCAGCAGCTCCAGTTGAAAAGGTAGCGGCGGCCGCGTCCGAGCGGCGCTTCTTGATTCGGGCACTGGACTTGAGACTCATGCTGGGGCTGTTTAACAAATTGAAAATTTAAATGCACTTTTAGCAACAGAAAATCAATATTTCCTCAGCGTCTGTAAACTAATTCAATCGAGGCTCTGCCTCCCTCTGCTCTGTCGTCGTGTCCAGGTCCGTTCGCCACTGCAAAGCGTCTGCCAGTGAAAACGAAAGGGAAGCCACTGCGCAACTCCGCGGGCAACCATCGAAAGCAACCCCTAACAGCCCTCCACACCCCCGGGCCCGGGCCAGAGAAGAGGCTAAGCCAAGTGCATTACCACCCAACGAAGCAGCCACATGCGCAGTGCAATCACTCTCTCCCTCAACTCCAATTGTCATGCGCACTATGTATATAGATGGCTTTCTCATTGATTTGTGCACCTTTTGAGCCTCTATCCCTACGGACAGTGCAATAAAATAGGAGGTCAGGCTCCGCCTGCCTGCAAGTGCGTCCTGTTTGGATATAAATATGTACTTTTTTTAAACCCGAAAATGGCACATAGTCGGCGTACAAGAGATACATATGCGCAGAAAACTTTACAGGACATGCGCCATGGGGGAGAGTGTGGTAGACAGGGCAACGGGGGTAGTGAGTCTGTGTATGGATGTATGTGTAACCCTGTATTGGCGGGGGTGGAAAACCACCAACGAAGCAGCAGACTTTGCGGCAAGGACGAAAAACTAAAAAATAATAAGAAAGTAGACTGAAAACCTACCAGACCTGTAGGTATACACACAAGTAGATTTATAGTAACCGGGTTGGATAAAGCCATGGCAAGTGCAAATTGCGGCTTAAAGCACCAGCAGGACCTAGACACGCGATCTGCGCACTTTGCTGGACATGCGCAGTGGGGGAGGGCGGGAGAATGTGATGAGGCCGGCGCATAGACGTTAGGGATGTTAGCTTATCGATATAGTGATTAGGTACTTTTGGAAAGCGCCAACCAGGAACAACCAAAGTTTAAGACTATTTTCTATTTGGGGCCATATGCCCACACATGCCCGACGACTTTTGGTTAAAGACGTCTTAGCAATATATATTTACAAAATCAACAGATTTATGTCGATTTCAATTTAAAGCCGATGACACAGCACTATCTAAAAACAAACCTGAACATCCTTGCTTGAGAAAAATGACAATTGTGATTTCATTGTGAAAGGAACTAAAGCGTAAACCGAACATTTTGAAAATGTCGAGAAACAAAGATGAAATGTTGATTTGTCCATTCGATGCGAGTCATACCATCCGTCGAATTCGCATGGCCGTACACCTGCAGCGCTGCGAAAGGAATCATGCTGGCTCCAAGATGGTTCGCTGTCCTTTCAATAGCACTCACTTAATGGAGGCCGATGAAATTAAGGTAAGAGGTGCCATTCATCATTCAATTATAAAATATATCAGAAGTGCTTGCATTTCACCTAGAAACATTGCGAAAACTGTCCAGACAGATTGATGTATGAAGATTTTTTAAGCCCGGACAAAAAGCCGAAAGTCGCACTTTGTCATCAGGTCGCCGGAAAGATCCGATGCCCACACGACGAAGCTAAGGTAAATGATATTTGGCCATTTTTGATTCAATTTTAAATTCAATTAATTTATAATCGCTTGTGTTTATATTTCGACTAGGCTAATGGCGAAAAACGTCAAAATCGCTCGGAGTCTGCTCCACATGCCGACATTGATAAAGAGAATAAAGGGGATGTCGGGTGCACTGAGAATTGGGACGACGAGCCGGATGTTCCCACCTACGATCCCCGAGCCAACTGGAACGACAAGTTCTTGATATCAAACCCGCAGGGCCTTACCCCTGCTGCCAAACGCGCTTTTCGTGAGCAAGAACGTAATCGTTTTCTGTCACACGGAAAATTCTAGAAGACAAATGAAGAAACTATGTACCCATAATTAATATCAGACCAATGTGCTACATTCAATCATCTATCTATGTCCTCTCTCCTCTCTTATGCTACTTAAAACAATCAATAAAGACGTCTTTATTAATTGAGGATTTTATGGTGGTATTTCCTGTTTGATTTTGACAAATGATTTTATCGTTATCAAATTCAGATCGATATATCGAAACTCGCTGTCTATCTAGTGATGGTCCGCGAACTTGAATCGGGTAAGGACCTCCTTTAACAGGTTCACAACTTGTAAACCACTTGTATTAATCAAAATACAATACATACAAGTACTTAAAAGTAGTTAATCTTGTAGAAAATGTAAAATTATGAGGGCATGTTCTATACAGCTAATAATATTCCAAGGAATATCGAACTTGAGTTCGTCAGTATATTTGCGGTATATTTTTAAAATGAAACTTTATATTATGGTATATTTCTGAGGGTCGGACGGTAGCGATAAGTCGGCAGTCACAGCTGTTGCAGCTAAAATTTTAGTTTGCAAATAAAATGGTTTTAACCAAGGAAGAGGAGGCATTTATCCGCCGCAAGCACGAACATACTCTAAAACTGCGCAATGAGTATTTGAAACAGAGCTCGAATCCCTTCCGCCATGCCACAGGCGAAGGCGGCACTGTGGTATGTAAAAAACCAATCTCCTTTCAATTGTTATGTCATCAGGCTGGGATAAATATTAATTTCCTCGTTTTGCAGTTCGATGCCGGCCTAGCCCGCTTCCAGGCTATGCGTGTGTCCAACTACGAGCACTTCAAGCCAACCGGAAAGTCTTTCCGCACGGGTCTCTTTGCCGTGGTACTGCCCATTGCCATTTACGCTTGGGCCCTAAAGAGCGAACGCGATGGTCGCGAGGAGAAATACCGAACCGGGCAGGTGGCCTACAAGGATCGCCAGTTCAAGTTTATTTAAGTAATTTCTCTGGTGATGTCGGATTGGTAGTGAAACTAAACAAAACACAAAACAATCTATTGTTAACTAAATTTAATTGTGTATATTTAAAGTATGTTGGGTGCTACGACTATTTCTCCTCCATTTGCTTGTCGCGTGCTATGACAAAGTCCTCGAACTTGACCATGTAGGTGGTGCCCTTGTGCCAGTGGGCGGTGACCTTGCAGGGCTACAATAATGATCAAATTAGTGAGAAAGTCTATTCATCATTGGTTCCCCTTACAAATCCGCAGTGTGTAAGCACAGCCTCCACAATTCCAGCCGTAAAGTTGGCACAGTTTAAGGAGCTCTTGTCTTTGGGCACACTTATGAATGTGTTCACCAGCGGCTCCTTCTCTATAATGTAATAGGTGCGCTCATCATCGTTGGCATGTTCCAGCTTCTCCGCCTCCTTGCCAAACAGATTCTTCCACACTGTCGTCTTGACGAAGAGCAGCATTTGTGTCAGCTTAGTCTCTCTCTTGGAGCTACGCTCGCGCACAAAGTACAAGTCGATAATGCGGGTCCCCACATCCTGGCCGAGGTCGTGGAGCCTGCAAGCATATCCACATTAGCTGATGCATTAAGTAAGAGTAGACTAAAGTAGCAGCAACGCGCACCTGGTCTGTAGTTCGGGCACTGTGAAGACACGACTCTGGGAGTACTGGACAATCTCGCTGAAGAGCAGAGCCACAATGCTTAGGGAGACCTCTGTTTTTCCCTTGGAGAGCGGCCGATCTAGAATATTACTGCGTGGCCGCATTGAGGATATTTTAAGAGCTTCCAGTTTTTCCATTGCAATAAGGCAAACAAAACACAGATAAAAATATGTTGAGTGTGACGCGGATTTATCGTTAAAATATACCGTCAGAAATATACGAAAATATACCGTCTATATTTAAGTATACTGACGAATTCAAGTTCTATATTCCTCGTTTTTGATATTCCGTCGAATATTACTAGCTAAAAAGAACCCTCAGCCCTGAACACATATTTTTATTCGATTAATGAATCAATTTTCTAGTCGACTGGCTAAGTTTGGGTACTTCCTTTTGTTGATTGTGTCTAAAATAATGTTAAAACAAAAAACCATTGAAAAAATAGATGCAAAGTATCGATTCAATAACGAAACAGCTGTTGTTTTAGTGAGTCTGGCAGCACTGTAAGCATTTTAGTACTGTAAATACCGTTTTATTTCAAACCATTTAGAAACACTAAAAAATCTACCTCATGCAGTGACAAGGTCCGACAGTATTAAATTCAACAGACTTAAAAGTGGTCCAATGATCAACCGGCTTTTGCTGCAGCTTCCACATGTAGGCCTGAAAGTGCTCGTATCGGATCTCACGGCTATTGGGACATCCAATCAGATGATGATAATCACAGGATTGGTCGTGAATCCAATTGCGCTCATGCGGAGTGTCCTTATGAGTCGAATTGGTCCCAAAGATCTGGTCGTCGTACATGGAGGATGTGATGTTGGTGATGGCCTCAGTCATCTTCCCGTTGACTTCGTTGAGGTTCAAAAACTGCAACAGCAGCTCATGGGTTTCTTCGCGGCGCACGAAAAGCATATACCAGAGTGGCATACAATTGAATCGAATGCATTCCACAATCTTCAGGGCGTACGCACGCCGAGTGCTCCAGTCGTGACTCATCCAACGCACCACCATATAGAGCACCTGCAGTACGAACAAGGAAATATATATTTCTTAGATATATACTTGTAAAAGTGTTCAGATTTCCAGGCTAACCTCACATTCCGTATTCAAAGCGATGCTGCTCGAGCTGAGCAAGTAAATCAAGTGATTGTGTGGTAGTTCCAAAAAATCCCTTGTGGCCGCAAAGATAAGGACAAACTTTTGTATACGCGTGAGCATCACATTGCGGACAATATCCAGGGACGGGTGGTACTGCGTCTCTACATACAGAATGCACGCCGTGACCTCATTGAAACATTGAACATCGTCAAAACAAATCCAGCAATGGGCTACAAGATGTTTGATCCGCAGGTAAGACGCCGCGATGAACAATTCGACAATGTGCGTGCGATCCAAATAGGGCTCAGCGGTGAGCATCCACTTGTAAATCATCATAAAAGCCTTCGGCGTTACCAGATCCTCAGGCAGCGTCACCATCATCGGTATCTCTTCCAGCTCCATGAAGAACTGCGAGTACACCTGCAGCACCGGCAAGTGACAGTTGAAGTACGAGTTCCTGATTTTAATAACGATGGTTGTCTTCAGGTGCAACTCCACCGTGTACTGCAGAATGGTGGCCAATTTATCCTTGGGCCACTGTTTCATCTTCGACCAGCCCTGCACATCCTCGAAATTGTAGCCAAACTCGATGAGCGACCGATTCTTGCACTCTGCGGAACTCGGTGTATCCTCGTTGCTGAATGCATCTCCGTTCAACCTAGGACTGGCGGAGGCTCCGGTTAATAGCTTTTAAGGATATGATGTGGAAGAGAAAGATAACCCACTTGGTAAAGTTCCTGGTGAAGGTGGACCGGCTCTTCGCGGACTGTGCCGACAGCCGCATTAGTTCGTCCATTCCTATGGTTTGTTCTCCTTTTTCTGGAATTATGAGTATAATGGTGTTAGATCTGTTTGGATATATTGAATGAACAGGCAAAGCCCTATGATCCCCCAAACTCACCAGATAACAAACACCAACGTTTATTTTACATTGTTTATTAAATTGTGTTTTATTTGTTGGTATTTTTCTTGGTTTGTTCACATTTTCAAATACATTTACATGAATAAATATATCGTTTATTTTACTTTGACTTTCTCTTTGCCTTTACATATCCCGTTCTTTTCGCCATACCATCCCTTCATAGATTCGTTCTTGTTTAAAATATGAGTATGCATGTATATGCGGATAATTGGGCAAACGTCGTCGATGAATTCTGAAATAGCGTGGTGGTGGTGGTTGTGGTTGTGGTGGTAGTGGGGGCGGCATGGCATCTGTTTAATTCAACTTCAAATACAGAGAAGTTGGCAAAGGGCATTCAATCTCGATATGAGATAATGATTGAATAAATTGTGTGTGTGTTTGCAACAGTTGACACCTGCTATGATCGATCTGTCGATCAGTTCGTTTCGGTTGAGCTACATACAGATTTGTGTAAGTATTGAAAGAGTTTTGGAGAGTATTGGTGGCCAGCAATAACATTCAGAGGTTACCAATTTTGGAAGTAAATTACAGTATATGTACACAAGGTAAGGTAATCGTAAAGTATATATATTCAACAGTTTGTACTTCTTGTTCTGTGTTTTGTATATTTCCTTTAAGTTATTAGTTTTTTAGTTCTCCTTTCGTTTCGTCAAGTTGCGTAAATATTTTAAATTTTTGAAAGTTTTCACACATAGGTTTCGTAAACGTTTTAAATGTGTACATACATGGATACATACATACATACTTACAATTTTCCATTTATAGATTAATTTGTTTGTTTTTGTTTTAATATAATATTCTGTTGCTTTTCTTTAATGTGATTTTTTGCACAACCTTTGCTTATTTTTTTTGAATAAATATGCGTTTTTTGTTTTGTTTTCTTTTTCCATTCAAATAGTTTTTTGTATGAAGTTCTCTTTTGTTTTTCGTCACTGACTTAGTACAACAATATTTATATAGTAAGAAATAAATTAAGTTTTCTTCTTATCATATTATACATTTACATATATAGCTGCATAAAGAGTTTCCTCAATTCTTGTTGTTTTTGTTGTTGAAAACACTTACAATTGTTTATCGTTTATGTTGTTATGTTAGTGTGCGTCCGTTCGTCCAGCCTTTCCACAAAATGCCTTTGCTTTTGGCCATTTTATAAACGGCACAAAAGCGCTCAGCGTTTCCTTCAAAATTACAAATTGTTTTTCGTTCTACAACTATTAATATTAGATTTCAAAAGATTTCACATAGTTCAATGCTGCGGTTCTCGTGTTCCCATACTCATTTTTCATTGATTTTGGTTTGTTTTATTCTGTTTTTTGTTTTTGTTTTCAACATAAACTTTTGTTGGAAATGATATTTTTTGTTTTTTGGCAAAAGAAATATTTTGAATCTTCATGAGCCCTAGAAAGAGTCAAAATCATTCTTTTTCGAAGGCAAACAATTGGGTTAATGCTTTTTATAAAACCTAAGGCTTGTTTAAGTGAACATTTAGTCGAGCAGCCAGGGGACACGAGGGTTGAGCATTGAGCGTTGGGTCTTTTCACAGAGTCAAAAACAATTTGTAACTCCCGCTTAGATGGTGGAAAGGGTTTAAGAAAGGGTTATGTTAATGTGTCGTGTCGTGTAAGACGCATCAGGTTGAATTTTTCATGCTTATCGTGCGATTTGAGCGATGGACATTGTGAAAGTCTCATTCACCAATCAAAATATTTGTAAGTCCTTGTTTTTGCCGCTGCCTCGGCGTTAATACTGTTCTCCAAGTTCTCGAATTGTGCACAAATGTGAGTTCCTGTAATCCCTAATCAACTAAAACTAAAATGAAAAAAACTTAAGGTATTGTATGGTAGAAAAAAACACGATTCGATACGGATACGGTATACGGTATACGATATAAATGATACAATTACGATTAAAGTAAATTAAAAAGAATAGCCCGTTTTTACAAAAGTATAATTAAGCGAGAGCGCACTAATAATAAATTACAATTACAATTACAATTACAAAATATATATAATATATAAAATACATGCGTCAATTCGCTTGCTATTGTATGTACAATAAATTATGGCAAATCAAATGGAGTACAGTGTATACAGGGATTCGCCAGATTCGCAACTCCCAAAATCGCACAAAAAGCGATACTTCTCATTTAGAACAGCAGGCGGCCGTAGTCGTTTTGGGCCGCCTTGCTGGTACGCGGCTGCATCAGGTACGCCGGCTGCTGCTCCTGCTGTGGGGCACCCAGGCTGTGCGACAGTTCCCAGTTGTAAAAGTGGCGCTGCGATTGAGGGTGCGCCTGGGGCTGGGACTGGCGCGGCCTGGGGCGCCACAGCGTCTGACTTTTGGTGTCTCTGGTCTGCTCGTCTGTCTGACAGCGGTGGTGGTGCTGCTGGTTGTTTAGCTGGTTTTTGCTTTGGTTTGCGTGGTTCGGCTGCTGGTTTTTGTGCTGGAGTTCACTTCTGGGCCTGGGGTCGTCATCATACTGTCCCTGCAATCTGGCCTCCAAGTGTCAGACATGCGGTTTGTGCTGGGCGCCGCAGAGACCGCACTGGATGCCCATCCAGTGGCAGGCTCGCAGCGGCGGATAACACCAGAGGCAGGGCACGAACAGAGAGAGCACCGCCAGGCCCAGCCAGCGCTTGGTGCAACCGGCCTCGGTGGCGTTGCATTCGCACGGATGCTGGGCCGTCTCGCCCTCGGCATCGCTCATGCAGTGATAGATCATGCACCTGGCACAGCCCATGCCCGAGATGCACTCGTAGCCGGCGCGAAAGGTGTCCGGGGCATATTCGCAGGCCCCGCGCCGATTGAACTCTTCGCTGTACAGCTCGTGACAGTAGCGACACCGCAAGCGCGTCTCCTTCTTGAGTATTTCCGATACGTTTTGCTTCTGCAGCGACTTCCCGCCCCCGCCTGTGCCTACAGTTTGGGCTGCCGCCATTGCCTGGGCCGCCTCCAACGCGTTGCGCTTTTTCAGTGCACTGATCGACTCGCGGCGTGCATTGAGCACCTGTGCCCCCACTGGCTGGTCCACCACTGGATAGTTGTAGTCGTGGTGGACCGCTGTCAGCGTCACATACGAGTAATTCTCGCTGGCCGCAATCTGGGCGGCGCCCGGTGCCGGTGCAGCAGACGACGGTGGTCCATCCTGGGTCGTGGTTGTGGTTGATGTCTTGTCCGTGGATATGTAGTGGATTGGTGCCGCTGGCAGCTTCTCCGAATCGGAATTGTTGCTGTAGCTGTCCTTGCTCTCTGCGAATGGAAGGTTTAGCACTCGCCTCGAAATGGCAGACCGCGTCAGCGGAATATTGACGGGGAAGTACGTACTGTGACTTTTCTCGCTGCCCTCGGGGCTTGAATGTATCTTTTGTAAACTCTCGCTCTCCACAGGTAAGTCCAGGGTCATGAATACATCATCTTCACCAACCGAATCATATTTGGTCAATGGTGGGCATATAATAGTGGGATTCGATTTGGCCAGTCCTAAACGAAACAAAAAACTTTAGCAGATGCAAAAAATCCAAATCCAAAAACACCCACAAGCACATATGTATCTTATAGATATACATGTAAGCGCAAGAGGTACGAGTACGAGTATATTGGCATAAAGCAACGATTAGTTGAAGCATTTTTAGGTGAAAAGTTCAGTTTATATGTAGAAGAAGATAATAGTTGAGATAGAGAGAGAGCATAGAGCATAGAGCATAGAGAGATCTGGAAATTAAGAAGCTAGCAAATTGACAGACAGGTCCCCAAGAGTGGGGACCTATTTATCTACATATGTATATCCGTGATTGAAGCAAATATTTAAAATAATTTCGAGTATAGCCTCATTAAACACTTACCAATTCGTTTGAATGAGACATTTAAATGATTAGATTGTCGATTTGTTTTGGTTTTTGAAACAAATCGATAAAATTCCAATGATTTGTGTACAAAATTTGTTTTACAAATTTTGGTTTGTTTGTTTGGCAAAAAATAGAGCATAAGACATACGAAAAAACGTTATATATTAGTAAACGAAAGCAAATTCGAAAGCAGAGGTAAAGAGGGGAAAAGGCATAGGAATCGCAGGCAAAGCTTAAGTTTGAATTAGGATTTCAGAGAGCAGAAGATAGCGTGATAGAAAGCAGAGAGGCGGGAGCGTGGCATGGCGTGTGTCGGTTGAGGCATGCAACTACAAGTGTGTCCGGCTCAGTTTCGAGGGACTGGATTTTACCATCAATTAGTTCATTATAGGCGCGCAGCACACCCTTATCAAAGGCTCGCGCATCGGCGGCCGTTTGAAATGTAAGGCCGTTGCGCTGCTTGCCGGCGCGCCAATGATGAAATGTTGGCATTACTTTGTAATACTTTAGATCACGATTGATGATACAGCTCAAGATGACCTGCAGTGAAGAGGAAAATGATTTCAATTTAGAGATCCTTCGATTATTTCAGTGTGCTCGAGTGTACTCACACTTTGATCGGAGATCCTCTGCCCATAGATGATGTAGTCATGACCCGATGCCAGTGGGGATAGTCTAGCCCGTTTCCGTATGGACACATTGGCCAGACCACCCCCGGCCAGCGGTAGCCAGCCCTCGGTACTCTCGTCTCTGGTCATTACCTGTGCGCGTACTGTAACTAAGAATTCGCTGCAAGAAGATACAAGAAGAAAACCAAGAATATTGTTAGTTTCATTTAAATCCAATCATTAAAACATTCAAATGGAAAGATCCCATAATTCTAGATATTCTACCTGCTGGACCTGCGCTTCAAGCTCAATTTGGTGTACGAAACCGTAGCCATTGTGGTAGCCACCAATGTCTGGCAACGAATGTTGTCCAGCAGACCCTCAAGGCTGCCTCTATATCTGCATATATCCCTGACTGTATGGATGATGACCTAAAAGTGTCACTAATTCGGCTAATTGAATTTTTCGGCCAGCAAAGGAAGCCAAAGCGAGACGGCGCACCTGCTTGCAGGACTGATTCATCCACGGACATGGGCATGGACAAGGACAAGGGAAAGGGCAAGGGCAAGGGCAAGAGCAAACTCATGAGCACCGAAAAAAAGAGACCAACTAGAGCCCACTGAAACTAAAAATAACTGCAAGTCCTTCGGTTCAAAAATAAACTGCACAGAGCAGAGCAGAGCTGAGAAGAGAAAGCAACGGCGAGATGCAAAAGAGTGTAAATTAAGGGTAGCTAAAGTGCAAAACAATATTCGATAGTGGGTTGGGGCGTACTGGTTCTGGTTATGGTTACGGTCCAGGCATGCATGCATGCATACATGTTACAGCTTCCGGTTTGGAATTGAGATTCATTCTCAGCATTCATTCGCAGCACCAGCACCAACTCCAATTCGAGTCTTATGAATGACTCCAACGGAAGGGACCGACAAAACCCCGTCCAGCGACCTGCGCACAAGTTTGAATCCATTTTGTTGTTGAATCGAATGGAGTTCTACTTCTGGAGTTACTCAATGAAAAAAGCTTCAACGAAGTTTCAGCTCCTGAGTGTTTGTGTGTGTGTTCGTATTCGTGTCTGTGCGCGCGTTGATGTGTCGCCATGCATACACATACTTGTCCTAGTTTCGTTAGTTCTACAGAATGAATTGAATAGAGTCCCCGGAATAGAGTGGACGTCACGGCACCCAGGGACATGTCAAGGACTGGCTGGCAGTGCAGTAGCTTTCATTCAGACTGCACTCCCATGGTAATGCGGAGGCGGGCAACGACGTCAGCAGACCCAAGGATGCCCGAGAGTGTGAATGAATTGGGCTGCAGCCAGTGTTGCATAGCAGCACAGAAACGAATTCTTCAAACGAAAGAAAGCCCTGAAATATACATAATAGGAGTTGCCACCTAGGGTGTAGCGAAAAAACAGTTAAAACTCCCCCCACCCAAGCCCATCAAATACATAGATATGTACGTATGCAGGCAGACATGTACACACATACGCACACCCATGTAGAAGAGCCTGCCTCAAGCTGAAACTACAAGTCCATCAATATTTGGAAGCTCTCCCCTCTAGTTGGCGCATGCGTAGGAAATAGAGCAAGCGAGATAGACACAGAATGTGGGGGCAGCTCCAGTTGCATGCGTGTGTGAGTGCGCATTTAGGCTGCGGGGGTTGTCGCCCACAAATGTTCTAGTCGAAATAAATTGGACAAGATGCAATTCTATTCACCATTTTCATAGTCTATTCCAAATATGCATTAATAAACATCTATTTTAGTTCATTTCCAAGCAAAAAAGCTTGTCCCGAACAGTGTTGCCAACTGCGTTTACTGCGTCGACACCCACACAACGGCGCACACACACACACAGGTACAGGGCTGCAGCAGGAGCAGCTAAAGATGAATGAACAACGACGCAAGTGTGCGTGTGTGCATGTATTCGAGTTGCGGGGAAGGGGGGCAGTTGGCCAGTATGTTTGTGTGCTTTGACCACCCACTCAGTCAGTCTCAGTCTCATAGCTCGACGACAATAATAGAACCTTCCAATACACCAATACACAATACAGAATACAGAATACAGTTTACAGCTAAATAGTTGTTCGACAGACAACAACAACTGCGTCAGCATCAATTTGCATGGTGTTGTTGTCGCGAGGTTGTCGTCGGTCATAGGTGCTCTGTGCTGCTCCTCCGACACCGATACCGTTGTCGTTACATTATTCAAATGGCAGTCCATATCCAATGCAAAAAATACTTGTAAATTCGCATACTGTTTCCGTTTGAAATGTAATACCCATACAGGGTGCCCGATGGAAAATACTACTAGAAACAGCAAAAAACATCTACATATGTATGTATGCATGTGTGGAGAGGCAATGTTGCAAATTAATTCAGTATACTGTAGCAACGGGAATAGAAGGCAAGAAAGATATGAATGAAACTAGCTGGAGCCTTGGGTGTGATGTATCGTATAGTTTTTGTTGCGCAGGCTTCTTTCCCGCAACGAAAATGTGTACTTAAGAAACACAATAAAAGAGCAATAATAAGCAGACACAATGACATCATCTGTGGATATCGCCGACAATACTTTAAACTGTGGCAAGCAAAAGACAATAATACGACAGGGAAACCACCGCACATGCCATTGCCAGTAGTCCGGGGGCGTTCCATTTCATTCATTAAATGTGGCGACAGACAGACTATGTGGAGACTTGTCCGGCGGACCAGAAAGCACCAAACAGCAAGCAGCCCAGGCAGACAATGAATCACACACACACACCACACAGTCCATTCATGTGGATGCCGTGCCGTGTCTTGTTCATTGAGGGAAAACTGCAACTAAGAAGCGTTTCCATTACGAATTTCGTTCAATTGCAGCAATTAATTGGATACAATTGGAGACGACGCATCAGGCTCGGCTCAAGCCTGCGCCTGCCAACAGTCTGGCAGCACTGGAATCTCGACTTAACTGTGAATGGCCATCTCTTGAGGTGGGGGGGATGAGGGGGCAGGGCAGATGATGCTATGGAACTGTAAAATATGTATGGGTATGTATGGTATATGGGAACACTTACCTTTCATGTCCTTCTGTCATGGTTCGTAATCAGAAAGATTTTAATATAGCAGCGTATTGTGTTGGTGTTGTTGTTGTTGGTGGCAAAATACACCATGATTAAAGCATAAAGACATTCAGAGCTGCTGCTGCACAAACTTCCAAAAATAAAAGAAAACCAAAAACAACAGCAGCCACGGCAAACGGGATGGGGAAAAACGGGGAGCACTTCGTCTCCTATTGGGGTTTTTGCAATCAGTTGTTCTATTTTTCTTTAACTTTTTTCGTTTAGATTTTGGCACACTTCTTGTTAGAACTGTTTAGTTGAGGTTTATACACTGAAAGAACATTACAAATTAATAAACTGATATTTATTAGGCTTCGACGAGGGCAGCGAGAAAGCACCAGCCAACAGCGCCAACTGCGGAATCACTTCTACTTTCCCAAATACACAAGCAGGGCCACTTATGTGGGCGTGTAGACAGGCACATTGGAAAACTTCACACACACACGCACACACAAAAGCACGCACGGAGAGGGGATATTTCCAAGCAACAAAAGATGTAACAGGCATTGGAGGCATCGAAAATTGAGAGGAGAGCGACCAACAAAAGCTGGTCTCTGGAGTCTGTGTGGAAGGAATTTGAGAGACGAGCAGCTGAAGATGAAGGAAAAACCTCGCAGAAAACTAGTCCAACACTTTTCTGATCATTATTGTCTGGCATGCTATGTGCTTGTGCTACCTTCCCTGAGCGCTGACTATAATTAACATAAAATTGGCAAAAGTGAAAATTCATTCATACATTTCCATCAAGGCTGGGGCTCTCTCTCTCTCTCTCTCCCTTTCTCTCTTTGACTGGAGCACAGCTCGCTCTCCCACACACTCGGTCTGCTCTGTATCCATCCGCCTCTACCGCTGCCTATGCCTCCATCACCATATCTCTCTCTCTCGCTCTTGCCTGCCCACTCAGGGCTGGCTTGCGCAGAAAGTTTTTGGGCGATTTCTCCATGTGTGTATATAAAGATTTTCGCCTATGCTGCTGGTGCTGATGATGCTTGCTGTTGCTGCCTTTACATATTTCACATTTACATACACATATACATACATTCATGCAAAAATATTGCACTATAGCTACATATTTTTACAGATTTTCCATCAATGGTTAATTTAATTGTTTGCTGCAGCATCGCCTTTTCTTGTACTGTTTTTCTTTTTGTTTCTGATTTTCATTTTGCGTAGGTTGCAACTTGACCGAGCTCTGGTGCAAGAGCGGGGGCGATTTGCCTTTCGAAACGAGGCGAAATTAACGTTTTGCAAAATATGTAACTTTTGCTTAATACTTTTGTTTGACTACTCGCACGCACCCACACTCACACACCAAGGCAGACACAATCATAGAACAAAAAGCAACAAAAACGAAATTTCCAAACAATCATGTTCTGCCCCGCCACTCCTACGGCCCGTCCAGTGGCATTTGCTGATGCTGCTCACGCGACTTATTGATAGTTATTTTGTTTTATGGGCGTTGTAACACAATTTACACAAATTTTCCAAGTTTTATTGCGCCGCGACGCGCGATAGCGCCGATTCGAAGGGTTAAGATTAGAGATGATAAATATACATTGATGTACATCAATATATCGATATATAAAATGTTTGTGGGTGATATTTCCTTTGACTGGAAAAATATTAATTATTATAATTAATTATGCTATCACCGGAAACGATTTTGAGGTCAGGACTCTATTTTTCTGTTGTTTCATGTCGTTAGATCAGGTGTAGATATCCCCGTGACATTTTATTCTACTTTCTCGATGCACAGGGTTAACTTGAACAAAATATCGGTAGTTTTATGCGATAATTGGAAAATGTTTGGCGGTAACATGGCATTATTTTTAAAGTATCAATATTAAAACCGACATCCGACTGTTGCTTTGAATTCAAAAGCCAAATTGAATCAATACGGTCACATTGACAATATTCATTTTTTGTGGTATTTTTGTTGCATGCAATATATTAAAAAAAAATATATATATATCGATCCTGTACATCGATACGAAAAATCTCGCAAACAACTTAAACAACAGAAGCGAAAAAAATGCTCGACTTTCCCTGAATCGAGAAAAGTAGTTCTGTTGATAATATATTCCACAAATATATCCATATCCAATAGATTCGCTGCTCAACAAAATATCAGCAGTAACATATATCGATTGTACATCGAAATGTATTTAAAACCCCATCCCTAGGCTCTTTTCACTTCGTGCGTTTGTGTTTGATGACGGAAAATTTGCAAATAGGACGTTGAAAATGGCTAAAAAGAAGAGTGAAGACCATTCCGGTGGCGATGCGAACGACAGTGACTACAACGAGGAACCCAATTTCGAAGATCCGCCCAATTTCGTGGACAATATTAGCGATGATGGTAATTACAAGTTCCGGCTCCGGGCCTGCCAGCGCAGCACACGCGGAAAACTAACCTCAATGTGATGAATGTGCGAAAATATAAATAATTCATATAATGTATTGCAGATCTGCTCGGTGACATGCTGGCGCAGCGGCCTTCTGAGGCCGACGGTGTCGAGAGCGTTGTCGTGGTGGACAATATCCCTAAGGTGGAGCCGGTGCGTTTGGAAAAATTGAAATCGGTCATCAACAAGCTCTTCTCGCACTGCGGCGATATCGTGAATGTTGTTTATCCTGTCGACGAGGAGGGCAAGACGAAGGGCTATGCGTTCATGGAGTACAAGCACGCCGGCCAGGCGGAGGAAGCCGTCAAGAAGCTGAACAACCATCGGCTGGATAAGAACCATACGTTTGCTGTGAATTTGTTTACGGATTTCCAGAAGTAAGAACATATTTTCTTACTCAATGGCCCACAAATTAAGTGGTTTTTTTTCGTTTCGAGGTACGAGAACATCCCGGAGAAATGGGAACCACCAACTGTGCAGTCCTTCAAGGTGCAAAACGATCTGTACAACTTCATCAATGACCCCGATGCGTATGACCAATACTGTGTGGCAGCGGAAACTTCCCAGAACTGCGTTCAGGTTGGCTTCTGGCAGAATGTTCTGCCCGAGCCCAACGAGCTGGAGACCCGCGAACGGTTCACGGACACTTTTGTCAAGTGGTCGCCCCTGGGCACGTATGTGGTGACGTTCCACAAGCCCGGCGTGGCCATTTGGGGTGGCAGCAGTTTCCAGAAGATCCAGAAGTTCCCCCACACTGGAACACAGTTTGTGGAGTTCTCGCCCTGCGAAAACTATTTGGTAACCTACGGCCCCACTCCGACAGGTCAGAAGATTATCATTTGGGACATACGCACTGGCGCTGAGAAGCGCTCGTTTGTGGCCGACGGCATGTCGGTCCTGTCTATGTTCCGTTGGTCGCACGACGACAAGTATGTGGCCAGGATGGGCGACAACTCGATCCACATCTATGAAACACCCTCCTTCTATCTGCTGGATCTGAAATCCATCAAGATTCCTGGCATCCGAGGATTCTCCTGGTCGCCCACGGACAATGTGATTGCCTACTGGGTGGAGGAGCAGAATCAAATACCTGCCCGCGTCACCTTAATGGAGATTCCCAAGAAGCGGGAGACTCGCAACAAGAACCTATTCCATGTGGCTGATTGCAAGCTCCACTGGCAGAAGTCCGGCGACTATCTGTGCGTCAAAGTAGATCGCTATTCCAAGTTGAAGAAGGACAAGAAGGAGCTGGACGTCAAGTTCCTGGGTATGTTCTACAACTTTGAGATCTTCCACATGCGGGAGAAGGAGGTCCCAGTCGATTCGGTGGAGATTCGCGAGCTCATCCTGGCCTTTGCCTGGGAGCCCATCGGCAACAAGTTCTCTATTATCCACGGCGAGCCCAACTCCGCCAATGTGAGCTTCTACGAGGTTAACAAGGGCGTGAAGCCGAGCCTGGTCAAGCGGCTGGAGAAGAAATCGTGCACGCATCTGTTCTGGTCGCCACGAGGACAGTTCATAGTGATGGCCAATCTGACCATGGGCACCTTTGAGTTTGTCGATTCGACCAATGACTACATCATCAGTGCGTCGCCTGATCATTTCCGTGCCTCCGAGGTTGAGTGGGATCCCACTGGCCGGTATGTGGTCACTGGCGTCTCTTCCTGGAAGGTCAAGGAGGATACCGGCTTCAACATGTACACGTTCCAGGGGCGCATCATCAAGCGCACCATTCTGAAGAACTTTGTGCAGTTCCTTTGGCGTCCCAGGCCTCCGACCCTCCTCAGCGAGGACAAGCAGAAGGATATCAAGAAGAACTTGAAGAAGTACTATCCCGCCTTCGAGCAGAAGGATCGCCTGCGACTCACCCGCGCCTCCAAGGAGCTGCTCGAGAAGCGTTCCCAACTGCGCGAGACCTTCATGGAGTATCGCAACAAGCGCATTGGCGAATGGAAGGAACAGAAGAGTCGTCGCGTCATGCTGCGAGGACGTAAGTTTTGGACAAAGTTTGCATCTCCTTTTCGTTTTCTTTAATAAAATACTTTTCTTTTTTCAGATGTGGACACAGATAACTTGGAAACTGAAGAGGTCGATGAGGAAGTTGTTGAATTTTTAGTCAAGGAAGAAATCACTCTTCTAGAGTAGACGACCCCCACAACACTTGTCGTCGTTTGCCCCATTTCGAAGTGAATCTGTCGTCTCACACTTGCGTGTCCGAGGCGCGTCTACGCCCTGGCCCATACCAGGGCTCCTTATTATCTGGCCAAGTAGCGCGTCTCCTGTAATCAAACCAAGCGGAACACGTTTGCCCATACATACAATATACATTTTCACGTTTATTCTAAGTTCAAAAGTAACGTCCCCAAGCCAATAAGAAACCCGTTTGCGAACAACTTTAGACCTTATTCAAATTATTTTACTAAGCAGTTAACAAGCACAACCATAATATGCCCAAAAGTAGATTTGCAATGTATTTGTATGTAAACAGCAAAAAGAAAACGAAAACAAAACCTTGATCATGCATTTTTTTTTTTTTAAATCAACAATATCCTTTAGAATTTTGGAAACTCGATTAACAGAGTCTCATCTCTATCTTTTCTATCGATAACTCAATCGATGACCAGTTGCCGTTAGCAACCATTCAATTGTCAAAACAATCCTTTAGCTTTAAATTTTTCAGGAATTAATTGTAAACACATCAATTATCAATTATGGAGACGCCTTCTCCACCAAGGCGCGGCAAAAAGAAGCGAAAAACGCAAACCACACGGGCATATCGAAGATGTGAGCAGGAGGTCGAGTCATTGCTGAGAGAAACCAAGTACGAAGATTGCGGCAGCCAAGAACTCGAATTGGAGGCACGGAGCCTGCAGTTCTTTCACGGCGCAGACGATGCGGCTGTCGGAGAGAAGGAGATACTTGTCCAGGAAATAACACCGGAGGAGAAGGGGGCCGAGGACAATTCCATTGACGGCGAGGCGGCCACAGAGACAACCGATTCCCCGGCCCAAACATACATAGATATTGAGCTCCAGGAGCCGCCGCTGGTCTGGCCAGGGGTCCACAAACAGGTGCACTATTATGACGACAGCCTGCTGTATAGGCCCGCCAATGCCGTGCACTTTCAACTGCATCTGAGTGACTGCAATCCGAGACCCTCGCAAATACGCATGCTGAACCGCTTCCAGGAACAGGCAAAAGGCGATGGCAGCAAATTAAGCTCCGACCTAGTATCGGAGCTGTGTGATGACAGTCGTTCCCAATTTGTGACGGACAGCCGCCTGTACCGCACTGTCTGCAATAAGGAGTTCCAAGGCATTTTCCTTGCACCAGCACCAATCAACCAGTTCATGGGCATACCTACACGTCGCTGCCTCACGCTGACGTTTAAGCAACTCCGCTTTACTGCGCATCCCCTGCTTCTGACAGAGCACCGAACGGCGCAGCAGCTGGAAGATCTCTTTGATCAGTATACTGAAAATCGTAACCGACAGGTATGCCGGAAGCTGAAGGAGGAGCTGGACATAGCCCGCCAAGTGGGTGCCAAGCTCGTCCTCTCTGCACGGCCCGAGCTGACCGACGAGATTCGGCGTCAGCTGCGCCTCACGCAAAAGTTGCGACAACGTTACTATTTGGAATCCACGGCCGAGCGCAATCTCTCCCTACGCCTGCTGCGCGTATGGTCCAAACTGAAGGCGCTCCGCAGCCAGCAGGACTTCCAATGCACCCGCTTTCAGCTGAAACTGCATGTAGGCCATCATCCCAACCTGGAGTCCGCCTACTCGGACTGGAAACAACAGTTCGAGGACGATCTCGCCGAGGTCTATCGCGAGCAGTTGGAGCTCTTCTACTGCCGACGGCGTCAGTGGGGCGAATCGATGGTCGATGGCGCATCCCCATCGAAGCCGCCACGCAAGCCGAACTTCGAAAAGCTAATGGCCAGCCTCAAGAACGACTACGATCGTGCCTTTAAGGATCCCGAGGAACCGTTAGTTGATTTTGTGCGTCTGTATGCGGACGAGGCAGCTGCGAAGCTCTTCCTGCCAGCTAGCGAGCAGCTGTCCAAGCGTCGCAACCGCAGCTACTTCCTGAAGCTCTACCTGGACGAGCTCTATGTGGGCCAGACCAGGACCTACCGCCTGGAGGATGATCTTCATCTCTACATGAACGAGAGCATCGGTGTGCTGCTGGAGCGAACGATGCCGCAGAACCTCAACATTTGGCTCTATGAGAAGTCTACGCTGACCCAGCAAGGACGCCGCCTGGCCGTGATGAGTACGAGGCTGGATCTCAGCCGAAAGGATAAGGCGGTGCATCTAAAGCTCGGCTTCTTGGCCTTCCCATCTTCGCCCAAGATGGCCGGAGATGTCTGCTTGTACTACGACTATGGCCCAACAGAGGTGCGTCAGGGGGCCAGTGATTTGGATGACATACAACCACTGCCCGATGCCCTGCTTCGGACTCTGTTCCCTCCAAGATCCAAGGCTGTAGCTGCCGTCGCTGCCACCACGGAGCCGGCCACGCCCATAGGACCCTGCCACAAGCGCAAGAAACACAAGCTGCCAGCTCTGTTGTTTACAGAGCAGGAGCTTCAGTTCTGTCCCATCCGCACGCTGTTCAGCAACAAGCGATACCAGCTGCTCCGCTCGCGGCACCAGCAGCGAAACGTCCACACCAAGCAGCTTCGCTTTATCCCCGCCTTAGAACGAGAGATAATATCCGACGATGGAGATGCGCTTTCCACCGCTGGCGACTCGAGCCAGCTCCTGGAGCCCGGAACCTACTGGAATCCCATCGATCTGCACAAGCATAGGGGCTACAAGTTCCTGAAGCTGCTCTACGAGATCATCGGTAGCCAGAGCGCCCGTCGGGCCAAGGCCCAGCAGTTGGCGCATCCCCTGCTGTTTCTAGCCGATGGCTTTGATCTCTCTCTTGCCACCGGATGGACGTCTCTCTGGCGTGCCTTGTGCTCGCTCTTTCAAGGACAATCGACCGCGATGATTCGCGAGCCAGCTGCTTGGCAGCCACAGGCCGAGCACGATCAGTATCAGCACTTTGTGGTTTCCCTCCATGTGGTGAGGGCCACTGGGGTCCCGGTGCGTAGCCGCCACCTTCTGAACATCGAGGATCATCCTAACTCCGAGGCAGACATGAGCAACAGCCTCTTTGTCACGCAGAGTAAGCCCTGGCTAGGCATCCATGGATTCTTTGAGTATTTAAAGAGCTTCCTTTTCCGTCCCCCCTTTCAGCTCTCATGTACTCCAATGTGCGTCCGTTTGTGTCCTTGAGCTATGGCCAACGACTGAGCCGCAGTCGCTCGGCCGAGGGCAGCAATCCCACCTGGAACGAAGAGCTGCAGCTGCAGCTCACCGGCTGCCAGAAGGATATGCGCGAGGATCTAAAGATCAGCCTGTTCGACGAGGTCATCGAGCGGCAGCTCAGCGACGAGGCATCCGATCTGTACCAGCGTGTCCAATGCAATTGGCTGGGCGAGTACCGAGTGCCAGTCAGCAGTCTCCTGACCAGCGGGAAGGTGAGCGATACCATACCCAATCCTTCGTGCCATTCAAATATCAGTTTTCCAGTTTGAGGGATGCATTGAGCTGGCCATGCCGAAGGTGCTGATCGGCTACAGGCGACCCCTAATTGAATCTGTGACGAACATGCCCCCCGATCAGTATCCCGAGTTCAAGGAATCCGTGCATATCTGGTTCTATCTCACCATCGAGCCGAACCGCTGCGACCTGCCGCCGCTACCCACGAATGTCCTGGCGTGTGCCGAGACGGTGCAGCTGCAGGCATACCTCAATGAGCGCCGCATGGAGCTGCAACAGCTGCTGCCCCAGCCGCAGCGCTATGTGGAGCCTCTGGTCTGCACGGCCTTGGGCAAGCGGGTTTGTGTGACGCGACTGCTGGAGCAGGTGCCATTGCCAGGAGTGCTGGCCTCCAGCAAGAGTGCCCTGGAGAGTGCCTGTCGTTTTGTGTCATTGTTGTGCCAACTGCGCAGCTATGATCCCTGCATGGGCTTTCGTGGGGTCTGGCTAGACAACCAGACGCTGCTGGACAGCACTTGGTGCTCTGTCAAGGATCAGGGGGTCCTGCTCTGCAACTATATGCTGGGCCTGGGGCTCGAGTGCTGGCTGGTCTTGGGCCATTCCTGTCCGTATGGGGAGTGCTGTTATGTGCTCTTTCGCCAGCCGGATACGGCCGAGCTCGTGTTCGTGGATCCTGCCAGCGGCAGGCACTATCAGCTGCAGGATGTCTACTGTCCGCTGAGGCGCGTCTACTGCGTGGTGGGGAAGCAGAACGTAAGTCAAAGAACTACCTAAAACCTGCCCCCAATCTATGATTGCCTTATTGCAGATGTACTTCAACATACAGACAGAGACACGCGTCAGCATGACCCACTTCAATCTGCAGGATGCCGCCTGCTGGTTTCCGCTCTTCAACCGCTCATCAAATCAATCCGCTCCCGAGGGGGGTGTCCAGGAGCTGGACTATGCCTACAAGAAGAGCTTTGAGCTGAGCCAGCTGCAGAAAAACATTGAACGTAAGATCATGAAGAAGATCAGTGCCTGGCGCACCACACGGAAGACCAACTTTAATCGGTGGGTATAACCATTGTGTCGGATCAGACGAGACCTCATTCAAGTGATTCTTCCTGCAGGGCTTTTCTACCGCACCTACAGCAGATACTCAGCGACATGGAAAGTCTGGCCACCTTCTCCCGGGCTCGCTACGAGAAGAACGCCTACAGCGAGCAGCTGGAGCGCGTGTTTCCCAACTACATGGTACGTAAATATCAGCCATTCCCTACCATCCCCGCCCATCGTCCCATCAATCATTATCAAAGATTAACTTGATTTGTGTCCTCAGCTGCACGGCTTCACCCTAAACTTTCCGTACACCAACCTGGCGGCCGTATCTGACCGCATCCGCACCACCTGCATCCACTACAACAACAGTCCAACGGTGGAGTTCTGCGTGGCGGTACATCTTAAAGCGTACGCAAACGATGTGATATCTGTGTGGGTGTTCCTGCTAGCCGTAGTCCCACTGGATGTGAATCAGAGGGGACAATGAATGGGTGCACCCCCCATCTGGGGGCGGGTTCCCTTCGATCCCGATAAGCAATGACATTTTACAAATTCATGCGGAATCATACGAAATGATTTTTATCAGCGATTTCACCTGAAAACCATTTAATTTGGTTTACAACCCATAGGCGTATACATTCTATGTACAAATATATACAAATATAATGATAAGCAATGAATGAGGTGAGGTCGGCGCCGGTAGCTTGTACCGCGTTTAGTTCACCGCGCACTCTGGGACCGTCGAGACCTTTCGCACAGAAGAACAACGCACCAAAGCATGTTCCAGAAACTGGCCGAGGAATACGAAAAATTTAAGCGCTATGTGAAATGGCTGTACGTCCTCTACGAGCTTAATACACAGATCGCCATCTGTGAGCCCTGGGAGAAAGTGTTTTGTCGTAAGTACATATACCATCCCATCCCACCCCGCAACAGCCCCAGACACATTAGCGATTATCAGTTGTACACTGGGCGTACTGTTTCCATGTTTTGTAAAGACAATAATAGTCTTTACTCATCGATATCTTATCTATACCGGTCACTCTTAGTCACAGAACGAACCGAAACATACGACCTGAGTGCGCCTGTTCTGCCCATGCTGTCTATGGTCTATGCCTATAGTTCTATTATTTCTTAAAATTTCCACTTTTTTTTCACATTTTGTTTCAGACGTACTCCTTGGCAGCTGTCTGTCCCTCATCCTGTACGCCTCATACGCCTTTGTGCCGGGATATTGTCTCACGCTTGTTAAGCTTCTGTGGCCAGCCTCTGACGTACTAAGCCCCACCAATGCGTGCAATATAAATGCCGATGTCATGTGTGGCAACGAAAGTGAGCCATTTCTAACCTAATCTTAGAATAGATTATCTTTAATAATAAATTATTTCAAACGTAACGACTATGACGTTTTTTCTGGTTCGGTGATATAGCAGGCAGCCTTCTACACATACTAGAACCAACCATTGTGAACCAACCAATGTTGTTAATATTAATAGATAGTATATACTAGACATGATATGATATAAATAAATAAGTTAAATACTTAAAACAAGCTAGTCGAGTAGAAAATATGTTCACTAATCGGATAAAATTATGTGGGCATGGCTAAATGTTCTATACAGCTAGTAATATTCCACGGAATATCAAAAACGAGAAATATGTATAGTATAACTCGAATTCGTCAGTATATTTAAATGATTTTTAAATGAGACGATATGTGGCGATAGTGGCGCCACTCGAAAGTTTTGAAGAGAAGGATTCAAACCATCGATACTATCGATAGTGCCATCGATGGTTTGACACCTCTACGATAAAACCACCTCCAGTTTGTTTTGGTTTTAAAGATTTTTTTAAAAAATTTGTAAAGATGTCAAACGACAAACGCACTGTTTATGTGGGAGGCCTGGCTGATGAGGTGACAGAGAGACTACTCAACAATGCCTTTATTCCTTTCGGAGACATTGCGGACATACAAATGCCAGTGGACTACGAGTCGCAGCGACACCGGGGCTTTGCCTTCATAGAATATGAACAGGCGGAAGATGCGGCTTCGGCCATCGACAACATGGTAGGTTTCACCAGCGAATTAATGCTCAAAACAAAAGACTAATAACCATATCCAAAGAACGATTCGGAGCTCTGCGGCCGAACTATTCGCGTCAATTTGGCCAAACCGGTGCGTGTAAAGGAGGACAGCTTCAAGCCTGTCTGGGCGGATGACGACTGGCTGCAGAAGCACGCCGGCGCCACCTTAGAACCCGCAGAAGCAGGCGAAGCAGAGAAGGAACCAGTGGAGGCGCCATCCACAGGCCCAGCAGTCATTGAGAAGGCAGAGAAGCGCAATCCACAAGTATTCTTTGACATTCGCATTGGAGGCAATGATGCTGGACGTGTTGTGATGCTTTTGAGAGCCGACGTGGTGCCCAAGACCGCGGAAAATTTCCGCCAGCTGTGCACTCATGAGCAGGGCTTTGGCTACAAAGGTTCCACCTTCCACCGCGTGATTCCAGAATTTGTAAGAGATTGGATTTTTAGAGATGTTTTGTTTCGTGTCGTTCACATCCATTTTACTCACTTTAGATGTGCCAAGGAGGAGACTTCACAAACAACAACGGGACTGGCGGCAAGTCCATCTATGGGAAAAAGTTCAACGACGAAAACTTCAATCTGAAACACAATAGTTTCGGCACCCTATCCATGGCCAATTCGGGCACCAACACAAATGGCTCACAGTTTTTTATATGCACCACAAAGTAAGTTGAAGCCTGACTAAGAAATGAATTGAATTTAATCATCAATGTATCCAATAGAACCGATTGGCTGGACAACAAGCATGTGGTGTTTGGGCATGTCATCAGCGGAGCCGATGTAGTTCGGAAAATGGAACGCTGTGGCTCGAAAACAGGCACTCCAACGCAAAAGATCATCATCTATGCCTGCGGAGAATTGAAGTGATGTCGAATTAAGGAACGCGAACAGCTCAATAAAGAAACTCTTTTTGTATAAATGTATTTTACTCTTCAACGTTCTCATTTTATTGAAAAAAACCACTAAGTCAATTTTAGGAGCACACGCAGTGGGCTCCATTCGGCTGGGGATATCCTCCGTTTTACTGGAAGTAAGTCCTTGGCTTTCTGAACGAGAACAGCTTCCTGTTGCCCTTGTGATGGACACGCTGTACCAGTGGGAACTTGATCTTGGAATCGTGGAACTGCTTGACGTGCACACGGCGCGTCTTGGCGGCAGCGATCGACTCCACCTTGATGATCTGGATGGAGTGAGCACGAGCACGATGACGGGCACCCATGTCGCGGTAGCACTGAGTTACGGCACCGCCAACAGTCAGGTCACGGTACTCGCGGTACATGTTGTGTGTGCCCGAACGGGAATCGTAGCGCAGCCAGATGCCGAAGTTCTTGATCTTAATGGGCGAGGTCTCGTACACCTGCTTGATGGACACAATTTCGCCGGTGGTCTTCTTGAACTTCTTCAGCTGACGCAAAAAGTACCAAAAGCGGGATTTGGCGACAATGTTGTCGGGAGCGAAGATGCGCATCTTGTAGAGAGGCGTCTGGGGCTCCTTCTCGCTGGGCAGCTTGCGGCCCACGACCTCGTATTCCTTCAGCTGAAAAAGGCAATCGTTTTAATGAATTCGTTCGTTGTAAACAAATGCGGCGACAGGCAGGGAAACACACGCACACACACACGCGCGCATGGCACGCACACTTTGGAGGTTATGTTCTGTGGTTTGGAAAAACAACATATTTTCCATGAATTTATTAAATATGATGCCACTATAGAGATGCGCTTTTCACATCATCTTTAAGAATCTCTTGACAGCATTGTCGTTTATTTTATATGGCGCTTGTAGCAGACACATTCATTCTGCCAACGATGTCCACGACACTCCATTTATTTGTCGGGTTTTTACAAATAAATTGCCCATTTCCACACATTCCCACGATCATGTCAGATGCTCGGTGAGTTTGCCTTCCTGTTGCACACATTTCTACCGCAAATGTTCTCAATTTTTGGGTTTATTTCATTAATACTAACCAATCCCTTGGCTCTCATGTTGGACGTTCACGCGAAAAGGAAACGGAAAGAGCTTGTCAAATCGCAATCACACTGAACCATAAGTCAGGGCTGGCAAAGACTATCGATAGATCTATTCGCAAATAAACAATTCATAAAATCGCCCAATCAAAGGCATTAACGTGAAAACTATGCTGTACCTTGGTATTAATATTGTCACTTATATATTAAAATCAAGCTGCAACAAAGATTTGATATACCATTCGAATGATTAGTAGCTATCGATATTTTACCACTGAACTTTTTCTAGGGTCGCATTTTGGACAGTCACCCCAGGGCCCAGAGCTATCAAATCAATGTCCATCGCTAGCTTCTGCGCGTGTTTCAATGGCTGTAAAAGCAAAAAAATATTGCTAAAAATTATTTTCCACAAGCAGTTTAAGGGACTTAGCTAATAATTATATTGTATACACACCTAATTTACAGTTCAAAAATCTTTGCATGTAATTACAAATAGAAAAGTGCGTAGAAAAAAGTGGTCAGAGTAAAAAATGCAAAGCGTGGACGACGACGTGCAAAAAGAGGAAAATTTTATACCTAGAATTCGAGACGCGCAAAAAAACAGAAAATCGACTATTTCCTGGTCGCCGGGACTGAGCTAAGGAATTGCGCGATATTGTGAAATTTGTGAGTCTCTTTCGGGACTCCCAGTGTTTAAATTAATAATAAAAATAAAGCATAAATTGTATAAGCGAACTGTCTGGGGTTGATGGTAGAGCGCTGAGAGGGGTAGGCGAGTCTCGTTCTTGCTCAGTTTCAGCCCATCCGCTGTCCGCTGGGCAAATCTCTCGGTCTCGGTCGCTCTTTCAGTTCTGCCCCGAACTTCCGTGACATCGGTTGTTGTTTTCTCCTTTCTTGTTTTCGCGCGTAAAATTTGTTCCTTCGTTTCCCACCCTCGCCGCCTGCTACAATTTGTGGGAAATTTTGGTACCTAAGCCATAACAGGAACTGCAACAACAACAACGCCAACCGCGCAAAGCAGGTAAATAAACGTGCACAATTGTGGTACATGTGATTATAGAGTATCATTCCAAGAATATGTTAAGTAAATTCATTTATTTTTAGCCATTAGTTGCTCTCGCGCGTTTGCTTTTTTGCTCCATTTATTTTGGTATTTTCAATTATTTGGCCAGGGCTGCATACACCATGACCGGTAATTTGTATTTGTTCTGATTCAGTGTTTATGCACACGCTTCTGATATCGTGATATGCAAATAAGTACTTACTGAATAATGCATTTGTGTGCAGCAAATTTCCTTGGGTATATATATGTATATATATTTATACCACTGTATAGCACAATTATCGCTGAACAAACATATTGCAAGAATATAACGCGCATAAACGTGATGTTTTTCTTTGGTTTCTTCTTTGTGTGTGACTTGGCCACCGCCAAACCTAATGCATATTTCATTAAAATGATTTGGTGTTGTTACGCTTTCAGCTGCGTAGGAGACGGATGCGAAAGAACAAAGCGCGGACCGGAACGCAATCGAAAAACGGAATGCAAAGGTAATGCAAATAATCACATTTTTGTCCAGGAAAACTCGATTGATTAACGATTTAATTTTGTTTTGTGTGTTCCTTGCCGTGTGACAGCGCATAAATGCAGAAACGATGATGGAGGCATTGGATCAGCAACAAGCCAAGCTTACGTCTAACATAGATGCCGGTGATGCGGGTGGCACGGGTGACAGAGTCGGAGTCGGAGTGGATGTCGGTACGGGAGCAGCAAGTGGCACTACCAGCGAGGAGGACGATTACGAGGACACTAATAATGCGCTGGGGCTGGCGAAAGAGGAGAGCCCGATGGAGCACAGCGACAACAACAATGCGGACGCTGGCGGTGACGAATGTGGCCTAAAGCGTAAAAAGAGCACCGATGACGTGATAGACTTGACCCTGGCAAACGGTCAGGATAGCAGCCAAATGGAGGCGGCGGCGGCGGATGCTGATGCAGATGCCGAGTCGGAGACGGCAGATAGCGAAAAGTCTGCAGACGAATCGCAAACGGGTGAAAGCGACACTTCAAAGGAATCTCTTCTGGCCGAAGATGCAGACAACGCAGACGAAGCGGGTGTTAGTGAGAGCGATGATATTGGGGAGACTCCGAACTGTCCTACGATTGTTATTGAAAGCGACGATGAGCAGCCGACCAGAACATCATCCTCTGCTTCGGGCAATGATTGTGTCGAGCAAGAGCTGGTGGAAGACCTGCTTCCATCTGTGGAGGAGGATTCTGCACAGTCCAGCCCAAGCCCAGTAAAAAACGAGTGCATAGAAGATCTGCCAGTGAAGACGAAAGAGGAGCTCAAAAGTGATACCGAGACTTTGCCCATATCTGAGCCAGAAGCAGATAATCCTCCCGTGATGCTCGGGGAGTCTGCTGTTGCATGTGATGATGATGATCCAGTGGATACCTTGGTGACGCCCAAAGACGAAGAGGAAACCCAGCAGGGATCGCCGGCAGTCAAAGAAGTCATTGATGTGAAATCGGAGAGCGAAGAGGAGGAAGCAGAGGGATATCTATCGGCGAGAGGAGATCTCGATATCGATACGGAGAGTGAGAGTGAGGAAGAGGATGTGGATTCGTCCCTGTCCATTAAGGAAAACATTGACAAGACTCCGGCGGCGACTGAGAAAGAGGACGCAGAGCGCTCTTCGTCTATTAACGAGCTTGATGTGGAACCAGATAGTGGGGAGGATGAAGCAGAGGAGCCTCCAGACGTTAAGGTTGATTTTGATATCGATATAGGGAGTGCCGAAGACGATGTAGATTTAACTCAGTCCAAAAAGGCGACTCAGAAAGAGGGTGCAGAACGATCTTCCCCTATAAAAAAGCTAGATGTGGAACCGGGGAGTGGAGAGGACGAAGCAGACGAAAATCTATCTGTAAAAGGAGATCTGGATATCGATACGGAGAGTGAGGAAGATGAAGAGGATGTTGATGCAGATGCTTCCCTGTCCATTAAGGAAAACTTGAACAAGGGTCCGGAAACCGGGAAAGTGGACGCAGAGGGATCTCCGTCTAACAAACAACTAGACGAGGAAACTGTTAGTGCCGAGGAGAACGTTTCGTTGGCTGTTAAAAAGGATCTTGATGAGGATACAGAGAGTGCGCAGGAGGCCCCTTCTCTGCCTATCAAAAATGATCTGGAACAGGATTCGGGCAGTGAACCGGAACAGTCGGAAGTCCTGTCTATCAAAGGGGAAAAAGCAGGCAAGAGATCTCCTTCAGTTCAAAAATGTGTCGAAATGAATGCCGAGAATAACGATTCGAGGACGAGAGATTGTCTGGCTTCAGACGACGAATTCGATGAAAAGGCATCCCATTCCAGCCGCAAATCGTCTGCAGAGGAATCGTCTGATTCAGAGGATTCTGTAACGCTGACCATGGACGTGGATCATCCATGTAGCGAGGATGAGGATGCGGATGCAGTTGCGACGCCAGGAGTCATTAAAATTGAATCAGACTCGGAAGAAGAGCCGCAGATGGAGGAAAACCTCAAATCAACAGCTCCTGCTGTCACTTCCACGGAAGTGGATGTTGCGCCGGTAATCAAAGTGAATGGAACACACAATTCCCCCATTCCCGAGGATAAAGAGCAGGAGGAGCAGCTGGAGAAACGGGAGCTGGAAGAGCACAACCAATTTTCTGTGATATCAAACCACACTGCGGCGAACGAGGACGGTGAAGAAGAAGGCGCCTCCACGTCACAACAGCCGCCCATGAAGGCACGACCACTGATCCTTCCCGTTCGCAGAAGCCGCAGTCGGAGTACCAGCAGAAGCAGCACAATCAGCTCGGCCTCACAGCCCCAACTGGTCATCGATCATCCGGCCGAGAGTGAACAGAATAATGGTAAGGTGCAAGCCCTGAAGCTGTCGTTCAAGCGCAGGCGCAGCAGCAGAACCAGTACCTCCTCCGCCGCCTCCGTCAGCCAGCCCGATAAACAAATGAAGCTGGGGAATAACTCCTCGCTGCTCTTGCAACGTCTCCAGGGCAATACCAATACCAATGCCAATGCTGAGCCCGCCAGCGATACCCCTGAGGCGAGCAACCTGTTGTCCTGCAGCAAATGCAATCTCCAGAACATTGAGACTGTTCAGCAGCTAAACGAACACCAGGCGCAATGCAAAATGGCCTCGAAGGTGAAGCCCGAACAGAAGAAGGAGCGTTTCTTTCGCTGCGCACAGTGCGGCACCGTGCATCAGTCCTGGAACTTCTTCAGCCATGTGCGGAATGTCCACCAGAAGTACGTTTGCTTGTACTGCAGCCTCATGTATGCCACTGCGGAGAAGCTGTCGCTGCATCTGGAGAACAAGCATGACATCGATCAGAGGCACCTGTCAATGGATGAGTGGGCCGCGGAGCAGCAGAAGGATGATCGGGGCAGGTATCTCGTCTGCTGCACATGCCAGACCACATTTCCGCAAGGCTCAGGCTTCGAGAATCACGACTGTTCGGAGCTAATGGAGCCGTGTGCTCAATGTGGGGTAAAGGGATGCCATGCCATGGCCTGCAGAAACCAGAAGAAGAAGCCGCACAAACGGAGGAGAGTACGGAAGCAGCCAGAGCAGCAGCAGCAGCAGCAGCAACAGCAACAGCCGCAGGCGGTGCCATTAACAATCCCAGTGGAACAGCAGAAAACCCTGCAAACGGAGCCAGCGGAAAACAGTAAGTTTTCATCGCTAGCCATGTATTATTCGCACATAATTAATGCTCTTGCAGTTCCAGCGCCAATGCCCATTTGGCCGAACATGACACTCGACCCAGACACTCCGGCACAACCAGCTCTAGTTCCGACACCGTCTCCGGCCATTCCCAAGCTAGTTGTACCTAAAATAATGCTGAGGGTGCCGAAGGAGTTTCAGAAATCTGTGGACGCTGCTCTAAGCAGCACGGATACGGAGGAGGAGGAACCGGATTTGCACACAGCAACTCCCCTGGAACAGGAAACCGAAATGAATCCTTCGTCCCCACAAACACCAGATCCAGCGCCGATGCCGCCGCCGCCACGCCACAGCCTAGATGATTCGGATTGTGCAAAGATGATGAGCCTCATGCAGGCCGAAGTGGAGCGCACCGAACTGGAAATACAGCGCATCAAAGCAGACAGGAAACCCGATAGGAAGAAGCACTCCAAGGCCATAGCTCCCGCAGATGTGTTGGACGACGGATTACCGCAGCACGCAGCGGAAGTAAAGGAGCAACCCCAGCTCCAGGTGCAGGCACTGGTGCAGCAACCCCAGCAGCAAGAGGAACAACGTCGCTGGTCGCTGACGCCACCCGCTTCGCCACACAACACAACGCAGCCACCGCCCGCAATTATCACGGAGTTCCAAGACCAGTCGGATGCAGCCGATGCTGAAGCATCGTCTGGGCGTCGCAATAGCCTCGGTAGTGATTGCATGGACATTGATGATAGCTTGAACGGACCAACGGCTGCCAACGACGGAGAATTCGGACCCCCAGAGGGCCCATTGATGGAACAGATGGAAGCGGTGGCGCTGCCACAACCACTGCAGCCCGTTCAGTCGCCTCCTCCACCCTTCGATGGCATAATGGTGGCCGGAGAGGACACGCACACGATCGATCTGCAGCTGGATCGACCCCTGGATCGGTTCTCAATGGTGGAGTTTGTGCGTCTGTGCCTGAAGGCTGTCTACTCCATCTGCCTCTACTGCAATCACGCTCGCCGCATTGCCGTCAATGGCAAGCAGCTGGTGCTGCACATGATTAGCCAGCACCGCTTTACGGCTACGGTGGACAGCATCACGGCCGAGGAGCTGTACGCCGAGACGATTGTGGCAAGGCTGAAGAGCTTTGTGCCCCAGCTGGAGGAGGAGTACCTGAATCTGGCCAGCTGCTGCACCGTGGAGAACGGCAAGTACGCAGAGGTCTTCAACGAGCGGATCTATGAGTGCTTCTCCTGCCGCTACGTGGCCGCCACGCACAAAGAGCTCTACACGCACAACCGCAGGATGCATGCCAAGTCGAACATCACGTGCATCATGTGCCGCACCAATTTCTACAGCTACAGTGAGATTCTCTGTCACATCTGTCCGGGTGAGGAGGCCCTCAGCGTATACGACTTGAAGTTCCGCTGCTGCCTGTGCGAGACGTCGCCGCCGCTGCCCTCCGCCTTCCGTCTGATGGTGCACCTGCGAAAGCAGCATAATGCCTGCGACATCTGTCTGGAGGATTGCGTTACCCAGGCGAAGCTCTCGTCCCACGTGTGGAAGCACAAGCTGCTGCATCTGTGCTACCGGTGCGGCATCGCCTACCGCAACAAGCAGGACATTTCCAAGCATCTGTTCTGGAAGCACGGCACCGAGAGCGCCGGCTGCAAGCGCTGCCTGCAGAAGCGCTGGCCCCATGTCTACCACTTCTGTGTGCCGCCCGTGACGTTCCCCTGCGAGGAGTGCGGCTTCAACTTCAGCAAGGCCATCTACCTGGAGGTCCACAAGCGGATGCATGCCGGCGACTTTCGCTACGCCTGCGCCGAGGAGCTGTGCGACGAGAAGTTCGTCTCGCGCAAGCTTCTGCTGAAGCATGCTAGCACGCATGAGGCGAAGGCGGATTCCCCAGAAACGCCCACAGAGCAGAAAGAGGATCAAGCATCGGAGCAGCCACTGGAAGCAATCAAGAAGGAAACGGAGGAGGAGGGAGAGGAAGGGGCACAGCACGAGGCCGAAACGAAGGCTTCGCCGTTTCCCGAGAAGGAACCCAAAACGGAATGCACTAAGGTGGAGGCTGCAGACAAGAAGGAGGCGTCAGAGCAAACTGCTGCCAAATCGGAGACTCGCAAACGACGCAAAAAGTCAAAGCGCACGAAGGAATACCTCGAGGATCTCAACCTGATAGCCCCAAATCTCTCTGAGTCGGACAGCAGCGATAGCAGTGACTCGGATGCGCCGCCGCCGAAAAGTGGCAGCCATGGTCATGAGCCACTGCCTATGCGATCCTCTGTGGAAGATCTGGATATGCCCAAGGTGATGCTGTCGCCCTCCTCCGAGAGCGATGCAGACGAGCAGCAATCACAGCCAAGCCAGAAGCGGGAAGATCCACTCGAGGAGAAGCCCTTGACGGAGTCAAAAAACCAGGAAGAGGAGACGACGAAGTCAGAGGTGGAGGTGGGAGCAGAGGCGGAGGCCAAAAAGGAAGAGGAACCGGATGATGTCTCTGATATGTGGAAAAATCTACTCCAAAATCAGCCGGTGAACTCCAACACCAATCCGAATTCCAATCTTGAGGAGCAGCCACCAAAGGAGGAGGCGGCACCCGCAGATGTGGAAGTCCCTCAGATGCCCAGCAAGGTGCATGTGGCATGGTCCGATCACGATTACTGCAAGCTGCATCGCACGCCTCCCCCGTCGCCGGCCAAAAAACATTCCACTCCCAAATCGTCGCACTCCGGCAAGCGCGCCGCGAAAAACAACGCCTCCAGTGACAGCGACAGTTCCAGCAGCTCCAGCTCCAACTCGGACTCCGATTCCTCGAGCTGCTCCTGTGGATCCAACTGCAGTTGCAGCTCCAGCAACAGCAGCAGCTCCAGTGACGACTCTGACGATTCCGACAGCTCGAATGACGCGGCATCGCCGTCGAAGAGGTTGCGCAAGAAATCCCTGAAGCAGAAGAAGAGCGAGTCGCTCCAGCAGGTGCCGCAGCCAGACCCAGAAGAGGAAGTTAATGTAACCTCTGTGACCGAGGACCAACTCGTGCCGCCTCCGCCCTCACCAAAAGCTCCGCAGTACAACGAATCAGATTTCGATACCGCATTCTCCGACACCGACGAGGAATTCTACGATGCCCATCCCCAGAAGCTGGCCAGCGAGTTGCTGGCCCAAAAGCGCGAGGCCCTGCTCGCCGAGCATCCGCCAGTGGGGCCGCGGAACAACTACGACATCGTCGAGAACAGTCGTCCCTCCACGCCGTCCCTGCCAGAGGAGGCTGTTGCCTACGCCGACAAGCCGGAACGGGTTCGCAACAAAAAGAAGAAGCGAGAGCGAAAGTCCACATGTAAATCGGGAAAGCTACAGCTGCTAACGAGCACACCCCAGCCCATGTCCGTGTCGATGGAACCACCCATCGCCACACAGATGCTGCCTGCAGAGTCACCGTCGCTGCTCCCAGTGACACCGCTGACGCATCGCCACCTGCAGTCTGGGGGATTCCTGGGCAGTAGGATGAGCGAGGGCAGCAGCTGCTCCGATGCCGATGGCCAGCTAAAGCGCTCCAAGCGCCAGAGGCGTCCCAACAAGTTCTATGGCTACACCAGCGACGACGAGAATATGGGCACCATCCTGGCCCCGCCGCTCCTGGTGGGAATGCAGCTGATCAAGCCACAGCCGCCGCCTTTGTTGACTTGGGCCAAGGAGGATTTGCCGACGCCGCCGAAGCAGCGCAGCAGAAACAACAACAATAGCAGCAGTGGACATCACCACCATCTGCACAGCAATGGGGGTACGCGAACGCCCCCGACGGGATCCGGATCGAGGAAGCGCAACAGGCAGCGGTCTCAGGCCCCAAGCGCAGGCGGATCGAGTGCAAGTGCTCGCTCTACAAAGCGCCACAAGCCGCACAGGGAAGAAAAGTCATTGCCGCCGATACCCACGCTAAAGATACGGCCCAGCTTCCTGACCTCCATTTCACCGCCGACGGACAGCAGCGATAGCAGTTCAGAAGACGAGGAAGTGAACGTGACCAGCCTAGGGCCGCCTACTCCACAGATTCCTCCAGTTTTTGTAATACCCCCAGCTCCACCCGTGGTCCTACCGGTCCAGCTGCCACCGCCACCGCCGCCGCCGCCTGCTGCCACCGCATTCAATCAGCCAATTCCACCGGCTCTACTCCCGAATCCGGACTTTGCCACACTGCAGTACTTCAAGGCGAACAACATACGCTACCCGATCAGACCGCCGGCAGGGGCCCGGCTGGCGCGCGAAGGCGAGTCCGTCTACTGCTACTGTCGCTGTCCCTACGATGAGGTCTCCGAGATGATTGCCTGCGACGGCGACAACTGTCTGATCGAATGGTTCCACTTTGAGTGCGTGGGCATTATGGTGGCGCCACAGGGCAGGTGGTTCTGCGCCGAGTGCAGGCCCAAGTACACCGAAGGCCTCTACCCGGGCGCGACGGCACAGTGACATCATCTTCCAGGAGGAGCTTGGCTAGGATTCCGTGGATCCTCCTCTTTCACACAGTAGCCACAACAACCACGCGATCGAAACCCCACTACAGAATGGAATACGCTTATTAATTGATAAAAACAAAAAAAAAACTGAGGATATCTAAAAGTTCTATATACTACAAATGAAATCTAAATATCGTAAGACATTAAATATATATATGTACATTTAAAAGGCAAGGCGGTTCGGACACCTGGCTCAAAGTGCACTCTCCCCGGAGAGAGTGTAGATAGGGAAAACATCTTATTAAAGAAAAATAAACGTATATATTATATATATATATATATATATCTATATATCATATATAAGGCCAACAATCGTGTGTAAATATCGAGAGATGCATATCCATTATGCAAAATTGTACCATACTTAGAGATCCATTATAAATAACTAAACACCTATGAATAGCACCTCCCAAACCCTCCCATGAGCCGCAATCCCAGCATAGTTCTTAATTAAATCTATCTATGTGTACGTTTACATTTAGTGACTACGAGTAGGTACCCAAAACAAGGATAAACGGAAACAAGCGGATGAATAGTTAATCATTCAATCGATCTTGAGAAAAATACACATACAACTGTGACAAAAAGAAACAAAAAGAAAACAAATAAGTAATACTAAAAGGAATGTTCACGTTTTGTTTTATTTTCAATATGGTGGAGGGGATTATCATCTATAATGAGATTGAATGTTATCTGTGGCAATCGTCTACAGACAGTAGATATATTTACGAAATACAGCTTATTTGTCTTCAATATTCAAGTACATACGTATGTCTGTTAAAGAGAAGCGTCATTCGCATCCATGCTAGCGAAAGATGCAAAGGAAAATGCTGAGAATCAAATACATGTCGTGTCAATGATGATGCACATTGCTGCCCGAATCGAGTCTCGCCGATAAGGATTGGTTTGTTGTTGTTGGACAGCTACAAAATCGAAAGAGCGTGCTTTTTCATTCCTTCTCATATCGAATCAACCAAGCAACCAACCCTTACGATATTGTGGTAACATTTATGTTTGTACCTTGAACATGGGCCCAAAGAATAGGCCAACGTTAACCCAGTCGCCCATGTGCAGGGTTTAATATCCTGAAAACGAATTCCACGCTCCATGCTCTGATTATGGCAAAGTAACGTCAAAAGTAAATGCAAATAAGCCACGACAAGCGGGCTAATGTTGCTGTAGTGGCTACAACCCCGCGTATGAATGGGCGCGGAACCACGCCAGGGTCAGTGGTAGGGTCATCCAATTCCAACCACCACCCGCATGTCCGGCCACTGGCCAGTGGCCACTGACCACCACCCCGTCATCGTGGGTATGGGCGTGGGTTTGTTTACCAAACAGCACGCTGATTTAATTGTTGTTCGGAGGAGGAGGAGAAGGAACTGCAGGAGCATGGGCTCTGAGCCCGAGCTACGAGAGAGGCGCAACAGCCACAACGAACTTCAATTACAGGTGGCGATTGTGGTCGCCGGACGAACCAGACGGACGGTGGGAGAGACGAGCGATGGCCGGTGTGGTGTGCGTGAGTAGAAATTACCATAAATCTGAGAGGGCTCGAATAAAAAAGGCTTCTCTGGTGAACTTGGGGCGGCAGTTCGTGTTGAGTTGTCGCGGCGAGCGGTTAACCCGAGGCTCCCACTTTTGACCGGAACTGAGTTTCGAATTTGCGTTCGTCGTTCGCGTGGCAGATCCCGCTGTGTGTGTGCGTGCTCCTTATTCCGTAAGCGATGTCCACGGGACAGCCAGTTGAGCAAACAGTAGTCCAAATAGTCCAATTATCGTCCTCTGCTGGTCACCGGCTAGACCGCTAGGACTTGGTGGCGGCAAACACCATGGTACGTCGCGCATCGAGCGTGCCGCATTTGAATAGCAGCGGAGGTAGCAGCGCCGATAGCGCCAGCACCTCTGGCAATCGGCGGGGCAGAGGCGCCGTTGCCGGCTCACGCGCCAGGAAAGCGCCCACGCCCACATCGACGTCCACGTCCACGTCCATGTCCAACCAGCGCCAGAGCTCCGGCAGCAGCAGCAGCATGCCACGGTCCCGCAGTCTCACCAACGGCATGCGTCGCCTCAGTCCCCAGAAGGGAGCAGGGAGCGGCAGCAGTGGCGGAGGAGGAGGCGGAGTCGGAGGCAGTTCCCGCAATACGCCGTATTTTCTACGCTCACGGGAGAACGAGTAAGTGTGGGATAAGGAATGCCGCCGCGGCTCCGATTGCGGTACTTCCCACCGTAATCAATAGGCGATAGCTTGCTGACGCTTGAGAAAACAGTGGAAAGCCGCTAAAAAGACTGGGGAACAATATCCGTGCATGAGGGAAAACTTATAAAAAATAGATCTCAGAATTCTACACACTGAGGGAAAGCAAAGCCACTATTGGGTCTTAAACGTGGAATTACCATTTCTATCGTAACTGCTAAAGACTACCTCTTTTAACAGAGAATTTATGGATATCTAAAGGTTGAAGAACTATTCTGTATTGCCTTTACCCTGATAGTCCTGTGCTACTGTACTGAATATAATTTTTAGGAATTTAAATGGACCCATGAATATTGCATGCGAGTATTCCCTTGTATTTTTTCTAACCTTTCGCAATGTAATGCCACTGCTGTGGTTGTAATTATTAAGTACGTACAAATATCTATAAAGATACACTCGTGTATTGTATGAGCCACTAGGAAAATATATTAATTTTGATCAGTCCATTCGGCTGGGCAGGGCACTTACAAGGAGTGTGAGACTACAACCATTAATAATAACACGACAGGGACTGCTCCTGGTCTCCCCGGCTCACCCCTAATCGGAGGAAAGACCCATTAAAAACCCGGCCGAAGGCAAGGAAGGAACAGACACAAGCCAAACCATAATGACCACGCACAATACGAGTAATCCAAAAGAAGGACAGACAGACAGGCAATCAAATGGACAGAGAGACAGACACACAGACGGACAGACACACAGACGGACGGACGGACTGGGCATTTTCTTTTAGTTCTTTATTTAAACAATTTGTGGAAAGGAAGGAAGTATCGCCAGTGATCTGGGGGTTGAGCAGAGTCGAGCACTAAGCGGACACGACACAAATCGATTTTGCAATTAAAGCCCATTGAAGTCTATATGTGGGATATGACCGGAGTTGAGAGCGAAAGTGGTCATACTCGTGTTTACGAGTCTATGTAGTATTGTTGGGGTTTTTTGAGTTCGATTCCGATGTGGGTAGGGTCCAGGTGGAACGTAACAGACAAACAGCCTAAGGTTAAGGACCCCAGGTCCCCGAGCTGAGGAACTGGTGACAAGTGGGTTAAGTACAAGTTTGGTTCGGGAGGAATATTAATTATTCAAAACCGAAGAACTTTCTTTTGATGGAATCGAGGCTTGAACTACTTAATATGATGATACGATGGTATCACAGGTAGCTAATCAAGTCTTTGTTTTCACATCAATTGTGGTACACCTATAATTTCATTAATTTGGATCATTAATACTGGCATTGTGTGGATCCCCCACCCCACCGAAGGCAATGTGCCGAAATTTCGTTTATTTTTAGAAGTTTCTTCGATTTATGCTGACATTGTAAATAAGTAACATATTCACAGCTATTACCCAGAAGAGGATGTTTATGTTATTATTGGAACTGGGGAGTGACACACCAGACTTGAGATTCTAGGAACCTATGACTCGTCAGGCGCCCGCGCGACAATTTGTTAGAACTTAGTCGTAATTAAACATCATTTTCATCAGCCTTGAACATGGGTAGCTGGAATACAACCTTTTTCTGTGAATCTGTGGCTCGTTAAGGGCCTTTCAGTCCCAAGGTTACCATTCACACCTATGTCGCTTGGAAATTTAATGGATCGCCCCGATATATGGGATTGCTTCTGCCCCAGCAGGCAATTGGCATTATGGTCGTTATAATTATAATGGGACACGCATATAGACCTATCTTATCAATCATTTTGACTGATGAGTGCGTTGATAGCTGTATGATTGACGACACACATTGGATATACTCCACTTAGACAGCAAGGGCTGTGCTGTGGGTTTTGGAACCAATGCGCAATGGACACTGGGCCCTGGGCACTGGGCATTGGCCTTCCCCAAATCCGATCTGATTTCAGGCAACTTTGAAAGTGAATTCGCGTGCGTGTCGTGGCTGGAAAAGATTGCAATTTAAAAATCCATATAGACAATATAGCGTATACGTTCATATGGATTTTCTGGCATGCACAGCACGAGTTAGGTAATAATTACGCCCCAAAAAAAAAGATAATCAAAGTCCACAATTCGTTGCTTAAGCTCTGCATGCTTCATAAATGTCACCAGGAGGTTTCCCAAAACACTCCCACTCCCAGTCCGACGCCCACTCTCCGGGATGGGAAATAAAAGTGAGAGTTCCAGTTTCAGACTCGTTTCAGAATTTATTTGTTTCGCAAACATGAGTCGCCGGAAAAAAGCAACCCAGCTGCCTCTTCTGCCCGTAATCCAATCCAATCACGACTGGACAATTAGGAATTTTTGGTCTGAGGTCAGGGTAAATATTATGCATGATAACAAGCTGAGGTGGGTTTCATTTGTTCGGGTCTACAAATACCACCAGGGGAAAGTCAATCTCCTTTAAAAGAAAGCATTATTTTCGAAGCGAAAGAGAGAAATATACCCCTAGCAATAATAAGCATTATATTATCAGGAACCCTTTCAAGAACAAATCAAAACTTTCGCTCTTAGCTCCCCATTATTCAATTAATTATTTAGTACCAAAAGTTGATTGAACTTTTCCCCAGTGGCCACCCAGTACGGTGTTACTTCCCAGGACCTGCTCCTCCTCAAGACTTCGTTTCTCCTGAGGGTTCGTGTTAATTCTTTCTATTGGCGCCTTTTGAAATATTTACCAAGAGCACACACCACACTCACCTCGCACACGCACACATAAAAAGGCCCAACACATGGCTGATTAATGTACGAGTATACGGGTAGACGAGCATACGAAGTTTGGTCATTAGTCTATGAATGTTTAACAAGTCATTTATGGCCAAATGTTAAATGTCAGGCTCAGAAACAGCCCCAGCCACAGAAACCATTGGACTGTAAGATTGGACATCGCACATACGACTCGTGGTTCAATAAACCAACTATGATTATTTGTATTGGAAACTTCTCCAAATTCCCTTTTGTGCCTTTAGCTGGATAATTATGGGTTCAACTAAAACACAACGCTAGGTACGACTGTCTAAATCAATAATTTATCGCTGCTTATTTGCATATTCATATTTCCATAAGGGAAAATTCCGCTGAAGAAAATTGTATTAATCACGCTCATCCCCTACATCAAAAAACTAATTGCGATTTAGTGTAAAAGAAAACGCGAAAACCATGAGCTAAGCCATCCCATCCCCAACCACCCTTAACCTTGGCTATTTATAGGGCCAATGGTCAGTGCCAGGCAACGTCAAGTTCAAGGCAAATCCCACGAAATTCCAGGGACTCGCAGTGGCCACAACAAGCGAAACTCACAAAGGAATGAAAGCTTTTTAGATGTTACTCTGATTGATTGGTTGCGATTATTGATATTTCCAATATTTGGGAGGGAATCCATAATCTGAATCCATAATCCAGTCCATTTCCATATCGAGTATACGTTGAAAAACAAACTTCATGCTTCTTAGGATTGGCAGCGCCGATACTCTGGAAATTGTAGCCTCCAAGTCCACCGGCAGCGAAGAGTGCTCCACGCCCGAGGACAACATCAATGTGGTGGTGCGTGTGCGTCCGCTCAACGAGAAGGAGAAGCGCGATCGGCACGGCTCTACGCTGACATTTCCCGGCAACGGACAGGTCATAGTAAGTATCCCCACTCCAGAGTATGTTTATCTGTTATGTGACGAATCGTACCGTCAGATTGAGGGCAACGATGTGGGACAGAAGCGTTCGCACAATCGAGACAGCGTTCGCGTATTCACGTACAACGTGGTCTTCGAGCCCGGAGCCACCCAGGATGATATACTGGACTATTCGGGCATTAAACGCATCATAGAGATGGGCATCGAGGGATTCAGTTGCACGGCCTTCTGCTACGGCCAGACGGGCTCTGGAAAGACGCACACACTGACAGGACCACCAGACCTGGTGAGTGGGAAGGGGGACCCCCAGACGTTCAGATTGATGAATTATCATTTTGCAGTTTGTTGGAAAGCCGAATCCAAAGGATCCCCGACATGGCCTCATCTTCCGCTCGTTTGTGTATCTCTTCCAGTTGATTAAGAACCGAAAGGATGTCAATTATGTGCTCAAGGCCTCGTTCATGGAAATCTACAATGAACGGGTAAGAAAGCTTCAAAATTATCCATTTCGTATCTCAGTTTTGGAGTCGTTAAAGCTAGAATACTATGTATGTATATTCAATTCATTTTCTTGGGACGGGGCCTAGTCGCATATTCGATTTAAATTTAAATTGCATTTGCCATAATACTGATTGCTTTCGCTCTGGCGCTGGCCCCATTCAGTTCGGTTCGGTTCAGCAAACATGCATTAGATTGACCTGACCTCTATTAAATGGATGTCAGCACGCTCTCCATGCCCCAGACCCAGTGCGTGGAATGTTTCTGCACTTGGCTTGGCCTTTCAAATGATTTGTTTTCTTAGCAGCTCCCACAGCTCCGTTGCACTCCTGCAGTACCCCTCACCTAATTTCATTATTGGTTTACCAAATTGAATTGAATTTTATATTTCCCGGCCTTCAGGTAATCGATTTGCTCAATCCGGGAAGTGCACGGAAGCCGCTGGCCGTGCGCTGGTCCAAGAAGTCGGGCGGCTTCTTCGTGGAGAACCTATTCACGGTTGACTGCGAGGAACTGGACGATCTGCTGGCCGTTCTGGAAGAGGGTAAGTGCGCTGCATTGATCCTAATCAAAGATTCATTCATCATCCCCTTTTGGTTCATCCGTGCAGGAATGAGAAATCGAGCCGTGGGCTCACATGCCATGAACGACCATTCGTCGCGTTCGCACACGATACTTACAGTGCACATCCTATCGGACCAGCAGACGGATGGGGGAGTGTTCCTCTCCAAGCATGGCAAGATCAATTTCGTCGACCTGGCCGGCAGTGAGCTGACCAAGAAGACGATGAGCGAGGGCAAGACCCTGGAGGAGGCGAACAACATCAACAAGAGCCTGATGGTCCTCGGCTACTGCATATCCTCGCTGAGCGATGCCAAGAAGCGGTCGGGGCACATACCCTACCGGGACAGCCAGCTGACCAAACTCCTGGCCGACAGTCTGGCCGGGAACGGGGTCACGCTGATGATCGCCTGCGTCTCTCCGGCCCACTACAATCACGCAGAGACCTTGAATACCTTGCGCTATGCCTCCAGAGCCAAGCGAATACGCACCAAGCCCGTGATCATGATGGACCCCAGGGAGGCACTGATCCTCAGCCTCAAACGGGATATCCACGCCCTGCAGATGGAGAACGATCATCTGAAGGCGGCCCTCAATTTGCACCATCAGGCGGCCTCCAGTGACGCCGCCACGGACAATCTGCTTGACATGCAGCTGGATCGGCTGAGCAGCGCAGGCGGTGCGCCGGCGCCAGTGCCCAAGGTGGATCTGGAGCGGCTGCCCGAACTGGATGGCTCAGAGCTGGCCGAGCTGGTCAAACTCTACATGGTGGAGAACGAGTCGCTGCGGCAAGAGAACAACCATCTGTTCACCGTGCGCGAGACAATACTCAGGGATCAGGAGATCGTTTGCAGAGAGAACGAGCGGCTGCTCAAGAAGCTGGAGGATGTGAACAAGTGAGTTTCAGTGGCGGGTTAGCGAGCATAGAACCGTTTAGGGCTGCATTCGTTTAGGGACCTTCTCGAGGCTTGGCTCATTGTTCTCTCCCATTTCTGACTCGTTCTAGATCGGTACCGAGCGGGGACGAGGACGGGGACAATGGGCCGAGCACCGAGACGCAGACGAACGAGATTGAGCCCCCCACAGGAGGGAGGACATAATCTCAGATATTTTGATACTTTAAATCCCTATATTTCTAAACGTTTTTTGAAAACAAGCCTAGAGTGTGACTAGTCATATAAGATTTTGTAATAAAAGTTTGTTTCTGTTCCTATGAATTGAATGAATGAATCTGAGAAGTTTACAGAGGCAATTACTGAATATAAAATAATACATTTATGTTATATATTTGTCCGCCTCTTTCTGGTTTACAGGGTTTGTGTACGTTCACCTTTGATACCTGCACGTCCGGCGATATCTCCGACCTCCGGCAAGGAAACGCCCGGCACTGAGATCTGGACAAATCCTGAACTCAACGGCGCTGCAGTTTTGCCGCTGGAGCAGAGAATGTCGGAGAATGCCGATAGACGGACGGACACGGCCCAAAAACGCATCGATCAGAAGCGTATCGCCAGGAATATTTTGATAATGGCGAATGCTTTCAGGAAGCCGGACGCAGATCTGGCCAAGAAGCTCAATACGGATCCAGAGAATGTTCCGGCGAAGCAATCTACGGACTATATGACGGAGTAAGTGTAAATAACCAGAGACTGAAGGAGTTCATATACAATTTCTTTTTCTTTCAGCATGCTAACGTAGAAAATGGTTAAGGGTAATGGATGTGGTCTAACAAAGATATATATTTTTGCAATTATTGTACTAAAAAAGTGCTCAATACATTTAAAATAAAGTTGTTGCAGTGTAAAGCTAGTTAATTAATTGAAACACTTTTTTCTTGGTAGATGGGGTTCCCGCCCCCATCAAGGTAGGAAGAGTCTACTACGAATTTAAAAAATAACCGCCAATTATATTTAATCGCAAGTGGGCTAAATTCTTTTTTCCGCCGGTGTATTTTGAAACGGTAGACACGGTATATATGTAAGACTCATTCCATGCACAGTGCGGCAACATTTTGTATGGGCCAGACTCAGCTGCCGAGAAAAGAAGCAACATGTCTCGCAACATTCGGAATACCCTAGAAAAAAGGATATTATAAATTGAGGAAATAATAATATAAATTTATTGTATCAATAAATTCAGAAACAGAGACTGGTCTTACAGCTATTAACGATATTTTGCATTTAGTGGTGATCTTACAGAGAATATGTCTATACACAGGAAGCTAATAGTATGTATCAATAGGTCGAAAAAATGTCAATCTGAGAAGAAGTCATTACCAATGTTTCAACTATGCTTGGAAAACAGAATTTTAATGTGAAATAAATGAAATAGGGTATAAATATGTCCACACTCATACCTGATACCTGTTGACCAGCAATAATGACGTAATAAACTTACGTTTCATTCCGTACACACTTACGTTTTTGTGCTTTCACTTTATTTGTTTAAAGCTTATTTAAGAAAAAATTCAATTAAGAGCAGTACTTAAAGTAGCATATCTCGTGGAAAATTCATTCATCAATGGGATTGAACTATGTGGGCAGAGCTGGGTGTTCTATCTAGCTAGTAATATTCGGCGGAATATCAAAAACGGGGAATATGGTTTCCAATCCTTGACGGAGAACGATTAATCCATTGGTGACAAAGGGGTAATTTAATATTTCACCGTATATATTGAAAATTTTAATAATTTTAGCGCAGTTTGGGTTGTCCTGGTTTTTTTAAGTAAAGAGGAAGGATAGGATAGATCTACGAGAAGAACATATAAACACTAATATTTTCCGCCATTTACCTCTAGTCGTTGAACTGTTTAAATAGAGGGGGCTTAAGTGGGCTAATTTCGTTTTGTCATCGGTATACCTGTTGTTGTATTGATTTTTCAGCGCCCAGAACTTAAAATTCGTGCCTGTGCGTGCCTGTTGCTAGAGGTGAAGACTAATTATTATTGATTAAATTGCAAAATTGCCTCGAGCTCAGGACTTTTTCTTTTCAGCTGCAACGGTACTCCAAGTAGATTCGCTGGCAAGCCCACTCCGCCCCACCTGCACCACCATAGGTCTCGCCGAGACGGCTGTCCTAGACCTGATGGCTGCCAATTTGCAACAGCAGCGTTCCCTTAATTCCCAACTACGTCGCGAGATGGGAATAGAACGGATTCAGGTCTCTGAAGCGTGTACGCTGATGATGAAGTACATATTGGAGAACGAAGGGAACGACTCTCTGCTGAGCGGATTCAACAGCCAAAACTTGAATCCGTTCCGCGAGAAGAGCTCGTGCAGCATCTTATAAGTATAATTATAAGTTCGAACTGTGCCACCCCACACACGTTCCTAACAACAGTATTTATTGATATATACAAAAACTACTCATATATTATATTGTACTCAAATAGACCCGCCGAATGGCGGGGAATATGCATGCATGTGTGTATTAGTATAACCTATTGATGTTTGTTGTAAGTATGCTGACCTCAATTATGTCTATAAACTGAATATATACAATGTATAGGGCAGATATTTATGAATGTGTAAACATTCGGGAACCGTCTTGAACAAAAATGCCTGCATAGTATGTATAGATATCGTGTATTTTGCTATCCTGTAGCTCTTTTTTGGAGAAAGACATACATATTTATGAATTAGCAGCCCACTTCACCCCCTCTATAAATGTTTCCTATTGAGATATCCGTCAAATAAATCTATATATTCGTAAAATAAATCAATGTAGACAAGCATTTACACATCAAGCCGTTTATTTTTGAAACAAAATATTCTCTAAGGCACATCTATACGTATAAATTAAAACTTGCACGATGATCGACTCGAAGGCGGTTAATCCCTATTTTGTATTTCTGGATCAGTTTCGCGATAATCTGAAAAGACGGGGCATAAAGAACATAAAACCCACAGCCGTGGCCAAAATTTGTGGACAAAAATGGCGCGAAATGAGTGATTCTCAGAAGTCTGTGTATATTAAAAAGGCCAAGATCAACCGTGAGATCTTAGACTTTGAATTATTCGGGAAAAAAGCGTAGGAGAACTGGAGCACCACATAAGTCTGATGGGTCACGCTCTTCCTGGTAGCGAATCACTTTGGTTATCGAAATTATAAAGTTAAAATCCGCGGCATAATTTCACATGTGACGACGCTGGATGATGCTGTGCTAGGATTGCCTGCAGCTTTGCAACCTGGAGTGGAAATGTTAAGCGCGAAAGAATCATTTTCAATCCGTTCTTATTGTGCGTTGTGCGTGTAGACTTTATAAATTATTAAATTCAATTATCTCCCAAATTTTCCTTTTTTGCAGATGATGAGTCAAACAGCTGTTCAACCGATGAGTAGTGTTAAAAAATCCAGTGTTTTTAGATTAAAACAAATTAAATCAAAAATCAAAACAAAGATTTTACCCGTTTTTTAACAAACTACGTCCAATTTTGACAGCGACAACGTCAAATTTTGACAACAACCTCAATACTGTCGCTGAAATGCAGTATAAAAAGAACTGCCCATTGTGAAAATTTACCAGCAGAGATTATACTGTGTAATGGGTAAGACTTTAATGTAAACGAAAAATTTAATATATATTAATATTTATACACAAGGGCGACGATTCTGCCTCTTTTGGTGGTCAGATAAAGTGGGGGAAAATTCTGGACTCATGGCATTTGAACTCGAGTAGTCCACATAGTCCGAATCGAAATTCCCCAGAAGAGAGTCCATTACTCCATTAATGTTTCTATACCCGATACTCAAAACGAGTATTGGGGTATATTAGATTTGTGGTGAAAATGGATGTGTGTAACGTCCAGAAGAAATCGTTTTCGACCCCATAAAGTATTCTTGATCAGCATCAATAGCCGAGTCGATTGAGCCCTGTCTGTCTGTCCGTCCGTCCGTCTGTCCGTCCCTTTCAGCGCCTAGTGCACAATGAGTATAAGAACTATAAACCACAACAACACCCAGGATAATATTAATAAACATGTTCCTCATTTGGTGGACATTCTGAACCAAATAAATCCTGATATTATGGTACAGGGCCATCCAGATGCCATACCATTATTCACTCGAATCATCGGAGTTGTGGTTGGGCTGACACGCCCATCCAAGCCCACGCCACGTCGTGCTAAACAAAGAGAGACGCGGAAGGATAGTGCGACTGTACTAGACATCCTACAAGCGGGCGGTAGAAAAAGCCCTCCCAGTCCCTGCTCAGGTGCATGGGCCAGAAGGAGGAGCTGGACCCGATTAAGCGGCGGAGCTTAATTCAGCTCATATGCACATATTATAGAGAAAAGAAGCTGCACCTAACATCCAGAGAAATACAATGGAGCGCGAGATTGTGCAAATCTTTCCAAAAGAAAATCGTCAAAACTATCGCACGGAAGAACGGTCTAAAATTGTTATTTTCAACAAAATGTTAAAATAAAGTTTAAATACGCGGCATAATTTGACCTTTACCAGAACTGTTTTAATGTCGATAGCCAACACTACTCCAGAAAGACAAAAATTGTGGTGTGCATCAAAAAGTGTTTTTGTTAAAATAAAATATGAGTTCAGGCTTTGTAACTGAAGCAGAGGCGGCCGAAGCTCGGCAAAAACGTCAGGAAGAGTGGGAGCGTGTCCGCCAGCCAGAGGATCCACTGGAGCGACCAGAGGAACCATATGACGGACGCTCACTTTACGACCGCCTGCAAGAACAAAAAACCAAAAAGGACATGGAATACGAAGAGGCACACAAGCTAAGTAAGTCTATGAAATGTATGAAAGAGCTCCCCTCTAAGTGTCCTCAAATATAGAGAACCTAATCCGCGGGCTGGACGATGATGAGGTGCAGTTTTTGGAGGCTGTCGATGAGCACAAAATAAACGCGGAGCGTCAACAAATGCGTGATGAGGCCCGTGAACTAGAAGACTTTCGCAATCGAGTGGAGAAGCTGCAAGAGGAAAGCGTTGATAAGGTAAACTGTTCGGGCACCAACATCAATATTCGAATGACTATTAAATTAATGTGATTATATAGAAACTGCAAGCAGAGTTGAAGACCACCGCAAAATCTGTTGGTGCTACGGGGGCCCGAAACACACAAAAATCATTGCTGGGCCACGGAATCAAGCGCAAAAACGGGGAATCGCCCACCACAAGCAAAGTGGCCAAAACGGTAGAGAACGACAGCACTCCAGTGCAGAAGGAGGAGCAAGAGAAAACACAGCCAGCTTTTCAAAGCGGGCTGCAATTAATAGCCACGCTGCCTGGCATTGGGCCTTACACGGAGTCCAGCGACTCTGAGGCTAGCACTGATTCGGACGATCTTGATCGGTTTACTCGTACTGACTTGTGTGGTCGAAAGATACCAAAAAAGAAACAGTGCACAGAGTAGGGTCAATCTTCTTATTGGCGTTCTTAACATGTAATTCTTTCTTGCAGCAGAATATAGCCTAGAGTATAAACATTACGTGTCCCTTTTTTTGTTGCGGTTACGATTTTTCACGTTGGTCATCTCGTAGAAGTTGCTGCCAATCTTCTTGCGCTTCTGGTTTCGTTCTAAGGCACGCTTCTGTTTGGCAGTCAGCCGTGGAGCCTTCGCACTGCTGGGACCGGCGGCGTCATCAGAACTATTGCCCATGTCATCGGAGTCTCCAGGCTGGACCTTGGCCACACGGAACTTGCCAGACGATGTGATGGCCAATTGTTGGATCTTCTTTGTCTTTGCTTTCCTGTGGACGACACGCTGCAAATCATCATTGTACTCATCCTCCGAGTAAAAATCGCTGGCTCCATCGCTCGATTCTTCCTCATCGTCGAGATTGACCTGACGAGCCTTCTTGCGGGCCGCCCGTTCTGCCTTCTGCTGCTCCAACAGCTCCAGGTCGATATGATCGAGCTCCTTGACATCCTGCTGCTCGTATTCTAGACCCACTCGAATCTTTCGGAAGTCCTGAATCTGCTTAAACTCTCGAGCCCTCTTTACAGACTCACTAACAAAGGTTGGAGCCTCGGACTTAGCATCTGAATTGGCATCGTCGCCAGCTGCCTCTTCTGATACCTTATCCTCTTGGGATTTCGGCGTGGCGAAACCTTCAGGTGGCACATAGAATGGCAGCTTGCCTCTCTGCCAATCATTAAGCACCATACGGGATGTCACCGTAACGTCTGGCTCGCCTCCCTTCAGCAACTTTCCAGACTTCTGGGCCAACTGCTCGAGGAAGTGTTTCGGCGAGGTCCAGTCATCGATTTTATAGTTTTTGGCAATGTACTCCTTGCGCACACGCTGCAGTACAGTGTCCACATAGTCCTCCGGATTGGTAACTAACTCTACTCGCACCACACCCTTGAGCACCTTTTCCGTGTCTGTCTCAGCCGTAGGGTACACCACTCCGGGGCAATCAATCAGGAAAATACGCTTCATTAGTGTTATATATTGCCACACTTTCGTCTCTCCCGCAATGGGAGCCACCTTGCAGACCTTCTTCGAGCGCAGAGCATTGATAACCGAGGATTTTCCAACATTTGGGTAGCCAATAAATCCCACACTGATTTGCTTCTTGTCCAAGTGAAGTTTACCCAACTGACGAAAAAGATTGATGAGCGCGCCTATTGCGAGAATCGTAAATGGAATGATTTTCTTGGCTACAAATAAATTAATAAATATATTACTGACCTTTGCCAAATGGATGTTGAAGAGAGGCATGGAACGCGATTGTGGGATACTCTGCACTGAGGATGGCCACCCAACGCTGAGTGACCCAGACAGGCACCAGATCCACTTTGTTCAGAATGAAGAACAAGTGCTTGTGCGGCTTCTCTTTGCGCAGGAACTCCTCGATGTATTTGGAGCGTGTGCCCATGGGATCGCGGGCATCCAAGACCTGAAGCAGGACGTCGGAAGCGTCTACGACCTTATGAAGCTCGTTCCAGATACGTCTGCTCCCTCCAGCCCCAAACACCCAATCTCGCACGGCCTTCTTTTCGCCAGTGTCTTCGCGTATCAGATCTATGTCCTTGGTAGAATCGTATTTATCAGCCTGTTCACCTGCCGCCTTGCTCAAATCCTCCAGATCACGCACTTTAAGGCTGACACGTTTGCGTTGCTTCTTGGGCCCGAATACGCTGTCGAAGCTTTCTGTGTCCAGAAGGTGGACGCGCTTGTATTTGGAGGCCTCATTGAGTAGCGTCACTGGCAGCTGTGATGGCTTCATAATGACTTGATAGGGATCCTTGACGGCCTTGCCAATCTCATCCTGGAACTTTTGCAGAGCCGTTTGTGATATTACACGAGAGTTGCTGAACCATTTCGGTGTGGGCTCCACTCTGGCCATTGTACCAGCAGGCAGGCGACCCTACAAGGAAGAGATTTAGCATGATATCCACAGTGAGGGACAAGTGGTGTGTACTCTTTACCTGAAACGGAGCCGGACAGATAATCTTGCCGGTACGATCACGCTTGGCCTTGAAGTTGCGGTACATCTGGAGCCGCTTAATGGTCCCCTTCGTACGGGGGTGGGCAACACCTTTTAGTCCATCCTTTGGCCTTTCTGGATTCATCGAATGGTTGGAATGGTTGAACCCCTGGGTCCGGGGCTTGCCCGTTGTGCTGCGTACTTTCGGCATGATTTCTTGGTTAAATCGCGTGCCTCTCAAACAGTTTAAGATATCTGTGCTGCACGGCAAAACCAAAACACACGTGCTTGGCTAAAATTAAAAAACAAAAGGAACTGTGCGGTACTCAGCACTGGTTTACAACAGTGCTGCCAGATTTTGAGTCACTGTAAGCTAGATTGAAGAAAAAAATAAGCTAGAATAAGCTAAAAATTATGTAAATGTGCAATCATGTGTAATACTGTAGTGTGACTAAAATTTATCAACGAAAAATTACCATGCATTTATACACAAAATTGACATACCAAAATACGAACAACATATATGATTTTTGTCCGATTTCTCGATTACAATACAATAAAAAAATAAAAAATCGGGCTTACAAGACTATTTACAGCACTGAAAATGTTTACAGTTGCCAGATCCACTAAAACAACAGCATTGATACAAAAAATACATTTTTTTAAAATAAATATCTCCAAAAATTTGAAAACCCACGAGGAATGCTATAAATTAGTATTAAAAATTGCTTAACAATCACCCTTCATTGATACTGCCAATATGTGCAACAAATGCAAAGATATTTCCAAGTGGTTCCAAAGCTGGTTTCATACATCCGTGTACATATCCGCTTAGTATTTGTGTTCACACGAGCTTCGGCTGAACTTAATAAAATTACCCGATTAATTTTAATAATTAAAATGTTTCAAGTTAAAAGTGATAATGCAAACGAAACCCTTGTATGAAATCTGTAGTAATTAGTCGAAAACATATTCCGTATTTCCTAAGCCTGTCTTTGCGTTGCTTCGAGTGTTTTGTACATCTATGTATATGTGTTGTGTATGTATGTGTGTGGCGTTTTGGAATGTTGCCTTGCACGAAATTCAAATTGTGACCCCATCCTTGAGATTGTGCTTTTGAGGCATACCTAAGAAATGGATGAGCATACTTTGAATGACCTGTTGGAGTGTTCGGTTTGTCTGGACCGTCTCGATACCACATCGAAGGTGTTACCATGTCAGCATACATTCTGCCGCAAATGTCTGGTGGTGAGTACGAAAGAAAAATGCTCGTTTTTCCTACTCTCCCATTGACTAATTTTCCCTTTAGGACATTGTGGCCAGCCAACACAAGCTGCGGTGTCCGGAATGCCGCGTCCTGGTCTCGTCCAAAATCGATGAACTGCCTCCGAATGTCTTGCTGATGAGAATATTAGAAGGTAATGAGGGAGTATGAGCCATGAGTGTGCGCAGCCCACGCGGCTATCAGATGACGGTCGCAGCAGCCCACGCGACATTCGAACTAGAATTCTTGAATTGTTGAGTGCGGCACGGCGGCAGTGGCCAGATTGTCAGCAAGTGACTCGCCTTTCCCTATAGATTCTCAACCATTCATAATTATTTCTCTCTCATTCTGCAGGCATGAAACAAACAGCGGCTGCTGTTAAAAACGACAATAAAAGCGAAGAGATCGAAACGCCCCCAGAGAAACCCAAAACCCAACATTTTACGGAGACGGTGGCACCCACAAGCAGTACACAACTGCATCAGCAGCACCCGCACCAGCAGCCACACCAGCAACAGAAATCGCAGACTCAGGTGGCGCGTCAAAAGCAACGACGGTTTCTACTCCCCCACGCCTATGCCCTGTTCGATTTTGTCTCCAGCGAAGCCAACGATCTAAAGTTCAAGAAGGGGGACTTAATATTGCTTAAGCAACGCATCGACAACAATTGGTTCGTGGGCCAGGCCAATGGACAGGAAGGAACCTTCCCCATCAACTATGTCAAAGTGTCCGTCCCCCTGCCCATGCCCCAGTGCATTGCCATGTATGACTTTAAGATGGGACCCAATGATGAAGAAGGCTGCCTCGAGTTCAAGAAGAGCACAGTCATCCATGTGCTACGGCGTGTGGATCACAATTGGGCTGAAGGTCGAATTGGTCAAACAATCGGAATCTTCCCCATAGCATTTGTGGAGCTAAATGCTGTAGCCAAGAAGCTCCTGGATAGTGGAGTAATGAATCAACAACCGTGCCATCCACTACAGCAGCAGCCACAACGTGCTCTTCCTCCTGTCCCCATAATTGATCCCACAGTGGTCACGGAATCCAGCTCTGGCTCCTCAAACATAACGCCAGCTAGTAGCAATTCCAGTTCTACTTCCAGCTCGAACAACTGTAGTCCCAATCATCAGTCATCGCTGCCAAATACTCCCCAACACGTGATGCCCTCTGGATCCGGATCTGGATCTGTTCGGTTTCGGGATAAAGGAGCTAAGGAGAAGCGGCATTCGTTGAATGCCCTTCTAGGAGGAGGAGCACCTCTTAGTCTACTGCAGACCAACCGCCATTCTGCCGAGATTCTGAGCCTGCCCCATGAGCTGAGTCGCCTGGAGGTGGCAGCCACTCCAGCCGCAGCGGCGGCTGCAAAAGCGACCCCCGCCTCCCAATCTGCACGTGTGCTGAAGACAAATGTGCAGCAACAAATGCCTCCCACTCTGCCCTGGGGATACCTGGCCCTTTTCCCATATAAGCCACTGCAAAATGACGAATTGGAATTGAAGAAAGGCTGCGTGTACATTGTGACCGAGCGTTGTGTCGATGGCTGGTTCAAGGGAAAAAACTGGCTGGACATCACTGGTGTATTCCCGGGAAACTATTTAACGCCATTGCGTACACGCGACCAGCAGCAGTTGATGCACCAGTGGAAATACGTTCCCCAAAGCTCGGATGCGAAGCAGATCCATCCCCAGCAACAGCCAGTGACGCCAGATGTGCGCCTCAACAACATGCTGCCCATGCAGCCACCGGACTTGCCGCCCCGCCAGCTGCAAGCAACGACAACAGCGACTGCGACGACGACCAGCTGCTCGGCCTGGACAAAGCCAGTGGAGGCCTTGTTTAGTAGAAAGTCCGAGCCTAAACAGGATATCTCCATAGCCACTTCGAGCAGCAGTTCCTCGGGCGCAGTCGGACTTATGCGGCGACTAACGCACATGAAAACACGCTCCAAATCCCCAGGAGCTTCGCTGCAGCAAACTCCGAAAGAAGCGATCACAACAACCATTGAAAGCAGTGCTAAGACAACTGTTCCTCTCTTGCACCCAGTGCACGTTAGGTAGGTGCTTCCGCTAATAATCCCGTACCATAATCATAACTATCGGTCTCTCTTCAGATCCGGATCATGTCCCAGCCAACTCCAGCATAGTCAGCCGCTCAATGAAACGACAACGACAACAACAACAGCTCCCCCGTCCGCAGGTCAACAGCATTTTCAGGGCAAACAACAGCAATTGCCTTCTGTCAGCAGTGGCAGTGTCTCTTATGGTTCGCAACGCGTGAAGAGCAACAAGGATCGGCCACATTTGCTTTGGTTGGTGGAATCTATTGCTGATAGTCAATAACAAAATCAATAACGTATCAATTTTTAACGCAGCGCACGCCAGTCCTTGGACGCATCCACATTCCGCAGCATGTATAACAATGCGGCCTCATCCCCTCCACCGCCTGCATCATCAAAAGCCGCACCAATCTATGCCGGTGGGCAGCAGCCCGGTAGCCAGACGCAGCTGCATGCCAATATGATAATAGCACCGAGTCATCGAAAGTCGCACAGTCTAGATGCTGGCCATGTGCTCTGCCCCAGCAGCAATGGTATCACCGAGGCGGCCATAAAAGCCAGTGCAACAACAAAGTCGATTTATTGCACGAGAGAAAGGTTAGATTTCAGGGCGGATACGATAATTCAACTAGATCTTAACCAACTTTTACTTTCGCCATTTCAGTCGCTTTCGTTGCATCGTGCCGTATCCGCCGAACAGCGACATCGAGCTGGAGCTGCATGTTGGCGACATCATCTATGTGCAGCGTAAGCAGAAGAACGGCTGGTATAAGGGCACACATGCGCGCACTCACAAAACCGGACTGTTCCCAGCTTCGTTTGTCGAACCGGATATCTAGGTCCAAGACATTTAAGCATTTGTTAGGTGAAATTCCAAATTACTTGTCAAAATCTATTCAATCGCCGGTCGATTTGGGCTTCCAGGCAAGTTGAAGAAACCCGTTTTGCAAATTTGTAATCTCTTCAAAAATGAAATCTTTTGTACTCGAATTTGAACTGGCGGATGTACTTTTTATACGATCTTTAATCAAAATAGGCAACCCATTAGTGCATGCCTTAAGCAACATGTTACTTAAGCACTTTTAAGCGTAAGTTAGAGAGTGAACTCGATTAAGAAATAATATTTTAGAAACGGCGTGTCCCCCATAAACAATTTGTGCCCAGTTGAAAGTTACATATTTGTAATATACTAAATTGTAATAAAAAATGTATACACACGTAGCCATGTAGATCGTTTAAACTTATTTTATTTACTAAGCAAAACTATTGTGGTCAATTTGGAATGACCAACTCAACACAACGTATGGATGTTACGAATGCCATATTTATTCGGCCTTGTCGTATTTGGAGCCATAGATGGGAACGTACTGCAGAACAAGCTTCCAGTCGGTGTAGTACAGCAGAGCCAGGCCAGCGGCCCCACCGAATCCAGCTCCAGAGCGAGCGCTTAAAGAAATTGGGAAAACAACATTGTTATTGAATCTGCACGATTATGCAATGTGCCTGTGTGTGCACATTGGGCCGAATTCGAGTAGTCTTATGATGATCCGACCAGGATGTCATCATTTACTTACAAGGACGACGCGATTTCAGCGTGTTTCTTGCCAAATGGGATGCGGAAAGCCATTTTATTCAGCTAAATTAAATTTTCTGCGGAGTTAAGATTCTCTGTGGCCTTGCCGTTTTCTTACACTAGAAATTCCAAAGATATGCAACGCAGCCCTGAACTGCGCTGCTCCGACCCTGGTTATTGAACGGTTGGCAGCACTATCTGGAGTACGTGCGAGTAACAATTTGTCATCAAATCAACCACATTAGTTTGCCGTAAAACTAAATCATACCATCACAATGAAGATGTCTATATTTGGTGAACTTAACACGTTTGAGTTGCTCGTCCTGAGCAGCTTATTGCCAGGCGTCTTCGTGTTCCTGTGGACATTAATAACCGGGGATATTAAGGTCGTGCCCAAATCTTATCTCTCACGGAATGTTTATTTTCATGCAATTTTTCTAATACTTTTACAGAACTTTAAGGGAAGCAAGCTGGCCTACTCAGAATTCACCGCGCAGGATCCTATTAACTGCTACCAGAATTACGGCGAAAAGAAAGATAAGGATTCTTAAGTCGATTGATGCAATTGATGATGGTCATCAAAGATAACTAAATATATAATGTTTTAAAATTGTAAAAATATATTGCGGATCTGGCAATAGAAATAAAGTCAGATTGAACCAGAGGCTCTCTATTGAGAAGAATATTTAAATAATTTTGTAGTTTTTTGTGTTCGTTGTTTCTTGCCGTGTCTGGTCACACTAGATATTGGTCGATGTTTGCCAACACTGTTCGACGAGTCAGAGAATTTTGTCTCATTTATGAGTTGTTTTAATTGTTTAAACCCGATTAACTGCTCCTAAGCTTCACTATCATAGATTATATCGTATCTGTGGCCTTTTCGGGGCACATCCACACAATTACTTTCATCGTAGGAAACACCCATCGACCAAACAGGCCTCTGGCTAGGAGAAACAACGAAACAAAGGCTGCGGACGACTGCACACAGACAGGGAACAAAAACAATGTCTGAAACATACGGTTTGTCTCTACACGAATAACTAATTAGAAGCAATTTCTAATTAATTCTGGTTGGTGAAACTCGTCTAGATTACCTGTTCAAGTTCCTGATAATTGGAAGCGCTGGCAGCGGCAAGAGTTGTCTGTTGCATCATTTCATCGAAAGCAAATGTAAGCTTGGTGTTGTAATTTCCCTTTTATGCGTAGTATTAACTTCTTGCTCCGTTTGGCAGTCAAAGACGACAGCTCCCACACCATTGGGGTAGAGTTTGGCTCGCGCATTGTAAATGTGGGTGGAAAATCGGTTAAGCTTCAAATATGGGATACAGCCGGACAGGAGAGGTTTCGATCCGTGACCAGGTCCTACTATCGCGGAGCTGCAGGTGCTCTGCTGGTCTACGATGCCACATCGCGGGACTCGTTTAATGCATTGACCAATTGGCTAAATGATGCGAGGACCTTGGCCAGCCCGAACATTGTCATTCTGCTGGTTGGAAATAAGAAGGACTTGGAAGAGGCACGCGACGTAACATTTCTCGAGGCCAGCACCTTTGCCCAAGAGAACGGTTTGTTCTTTTCACTTTTGTGCATTCCCCTTTCCATTTTCACTTTCCGAATGCTTTCGTAGAGCTCATCTTCTTGGAGACGAGCGCCAAGACGGGCGAGAACGTCGAGGAGGCCTTCCTCAAGTGCTCCAAGACCATCCTGGCCAAAATTGAAACTGGAGAGTTGGATCCCGAGCGCATCGGCAGTGGCATACAGTACGGTGGAGCCGCTCTACGCAATCTACAGACTCGGCAACGGAGCATCAACAAGCCAGATTGCACCTGTCGCGTGTAGAGAAACCAATCTGTCGTGCATCGTGTATCGTGCAGTCGCCAATTACTTACTCCTGGCGTGTATCGTATTATCATAAGCGAGCAAATTAATCTCTATTTTATCCGTACTCGGAATGTGACCGCATTACCCCTAAGTTGTATTGTGTAGGCAGGGCAGGCGTGTCGTGTGTGTGCCTGGTCCATCTCATTTCGTTTAGTTTGTGTTTGTCTTGTTAGTTTTAATCATTCCAAATTGTAAGCAAAATGCTTTTTAGATCTTTGGAACATTTAACCATTTGTTGTTTCCTCCAATGTTACTTTACTCTAATTTGTAGGTTATAAGGCACTTAATATATGTATCTGCAGAGGCATATGCCTGAACAGAAGCCACCGCTGTTGCATGGACACTCGGATCAAATGAATGTAGAGTGCACTCTGCATTTTATTGTAAATATAAAAAATGGCATTGACGTCGTTGACGACGTAGCCCGCCCATCTAGCCCATTGTGAATCTAGCTAAAACGAGCACGCGAGGTACATAAAATCGTACATATTAAAATAATTTTTAGAAAATTATGGTAAAATGAAAAATGGTAAAATTGCTTTTTTGTTCATGAAAAGCTTACTTACAAATAATACAGTGACCAATAAAAGTCTAAGCATCACACCCATTTTGAACATTCAGAGGTGGAAATGAATTGTACATATTCAGAATGGGTGTCAGGCTTAGACTTTGTGGGTCACGGTGAATGGTATGTAGTTCTATGGATTATGCATCACATTTAGCCAATTTCTGAAGAGCGCTCTTGGCAGCAGCCAATTTGGCTTGGTCCTTGTTGGAACCGAAACCAGTGACCCGAATGGTCTTCTCCATGCAGGTGAACTGGCAGTACATCATCACAACGTCCTTGTCTACCAGGGGCGGACCGTAGACGGGATTGGCCAGCTTGTGCTCATGGAGCTGACGGATCGGGCTGATGGGTATATTCTGGGAGAATTCCTTCAGCTCGGGCTCAAACAAATGGTAGATCATCTGCCAGGTTGTCTGCAGATCCCGACAATCCATGTAAACGGCCGCGATAAGGGCCTCCAGGACATCGCCTAAAGCCTTGGGGACATCTACGTTTTGCGCCAAGTTGAAAGCACCGATGGGTGGACCGTCTTCCGAATCATTTTCCATGGCCATCTCCACTTCATCGTCCAAGTCCAGAATAACGGGCTGCACATCTCTCTCCTCGAGCAGAAAACGTACATGATTCGTGACTCTGTGTCCCTGGCTCTCTTGGAATTTCACAAACTTGCTGATGGTCTCAGAGAGCAACGCGTTCTCTGCCAGAATGAAGAGGTGCAGCTTGTGGCGCACGCAGATGCATCCCAGTGTCGTGTTATTGACCAAGGCCGAGCGCAGATCCGTGAGCTCGCCCGGACGCAGCTTGGTATTGTTTTCGAAAATGTATGCAGAGATGAGAAAATCGAGTATGGCATCGCCAATGAACTCCAGCTCCTGGTAGCAGCCGGTCAAGCGATTGGTGGGAAACGACGGATGCGTCAGGGCCTGCAAGAGGTAGCCCCGATCCCGGAATTTGTAGCCCAGATTCTGCTCTAAATATGAGTGGTTGATCAGGAAGCCATCAATATCGCCAGGGCTCGCGTTGGCTCGCATCTTGGTGCTCTTCAACTGAAGATCGAGCAGCTGCGACAATGGCTTATCAACCTCCGGCTTGCAAATGCCGAAGTATTCCAGCATGCGAAAGCCATGTTGCAATCCATAGTTTCTCACAATGACTCCCAGAAGGGCCTCCAGAGTGTCAGCCACCACCTTGTTCTGAACAGTGACCTCACCAAAGAAGTAGTTCACGCCGGAGGAGAAGTCTCGGCCGGCATAATAGCCTTGCTGATTGCTCTTGCAACCGTGCACAAAGCGACGATAGGTATCCTCGTTGCAACGACCTGCCAGAATCTCCTCGTCACTAAGGGCCAGATCGAAGAGATTATGGGGACCAATCAGTTTGGCAAAGCTCGGCTGCTCCGTCCACACATCCAAGACATCTTCGGGCAGATTAATGCTGGGCGGAAGCCACGTTAATCTGGGGTCGAACAGACTGCAGCTAATACGACTGGGAATATCCGTCTCCCTGAGGCAATACATCAGGTTCTTGTTGGACACCAGCCTCGACTTCACCTGCGTGAGCGTGCCTTCGTTCCAGTCGGGATACCTGCTGGCCAGGTAAAGACTGGCACTCATCTTGAGAAACGAGTCACCCAACAGCTCCGCTCGCTCCATATCATAAACATCGGCAGATCCCGCTGTGGTGATGGCCGCCAGGAACTCACCCTGGTGGGCCGGAGTGATGTGATCATCGGAGACGCTCTTCATCAGAACCGGCAACACATTCAACGACTGCGGTTTGGGAGCTGAGCTGGTCGGCGGGAGCAGGGCAGGCCGGGCGGCAGGGTTCATTGCTGGACTCCTGGTCTCATAGATGTTCCCTTTAGGCATCTTGAACTGCGTCTCCTGCCAGAACTCCCTGTAGTCCTGCTCCACTTTGTCGAGAGACGCCACTTGGCCGGATATAAAATTGTTGTAATAGTTCAACTCCACGGTATAGGCGGACATGATGTTCCGGGACAGGTCTACGGGTTCCAGGTACTGCTGCCACGAATGTTGTAAGTCGCGTATCTGCAGTTTCTTCATCCCAATCTCAACGTCTTTGATGGGTAGGGGCTCCAGAATGGAGCGTGACCCTTCATCATAATCATTGGGAACGGCATTGCCATGGGAATCCACATTGCGGCGCAACGACCAGTCGATCTCCAAGAGCTTTGGCCTATAGTCAACTCCATTTTGAGGCAGATGTTGCAACCCCAGGTAGGTATTGAAGCGTTGTCGTAATGCCTCAGCATGCAGCATGAAGTGGAGCCGGTTCAAGATGCTGGGTAGAAACATTGCTTTTATCCAGAGGTCGCCGGGGAAATCGAAATTAAAGCAGAGCTCCGGAATGAGGATGATCTTTACCCTGGCCTTGCTCTGGGCCGACGTCTTGCCCCGCTGCTGGACATAGAAGTTCAGTTGCTCCGTAAGCTCGCGCACCTCGATCAGGAACTGGTCCATGCGAACAATTCCTTCGATGTCATCGCCATACTTGGACGTGGTGAACTCGCCATAGCTCGTGTTCTGGTGGTTGCTTTCCATCAGGCTGCTCGGAGTCAGGTCTCTGCGCACCTTGTGTACGAGCATTCGCTTGCTCGCGAAGTTGGCATACCACTGAGTCACAATTTTCCCCTCATAGTCCTCTGGACGCGGCGCTTGCTGTTCCTTGCGCTGCTTCACACTGACAGGCTTCGGGGTGGGCAGACGCTGGAACTGACGGACCAGCGACCAGTCCACCACATTCTGATGCTCTGGACCCACGGCAAGAGGCACGATCAGGTAGGAGTTGACCTTGCCTCGACGATCCAGTACAAAGCAGGGACGCCAGATCTTCAACAGATCGCGGAACAGCATTCCATGGAACTGATGCAGTTGCTCCAGCTGCTCCGCATTTGCAATAACCAGCTCTCGCGGGTGCTCCCTAACCTGCACATGCAACGGGCCCTGGTTGCAGAACAGCGGCATCTTCGAGAGAGGCGGCAGCTGCTTTCTCAGCAGCAACGCAAAGTTCCTACCCGACAGCATGTTGTCGTGGATGTGCTCTGTGTAGTCGTTGCGCTCGAACTGCGGCTCCAAAATGATCTCATAGGCATAACAGACTTCACCCACCCGTGGCCGGCAATCGTAGAACTCCGTCGGACAAGAGGTCTTCAATGTAGTTTGTGTCTCCGGCTTGAGTTTCTGCTTGTTTACCGTATCGATAACTAAAAGCACCCAAGGAGGAGAATGATTAAACAGAATTAGTTGGTATTTGATTTAATAAGACTCACCATCGTCGCTGTATTTCTTCCAGTGGTCAAAGTGAAAGTCGGCTATCGCCGTCACCCGGTCCTTAAGCGTGACGGGTAGGAAGCGCTCGTTGAGCTCCCCCGTGGAGTACAGTTTAATGCAGGTCTTAAAGGCTGCCGATATTTTTGCCGCCTTAACGGAGGTCATGGGATCGCTCTGGAATGATTCGAACATGATTACTGACTGTCGATGCTGGGTAGTCCATTTTGGGCTTACATAAAATATGTCCCGCACGGACGAGCTGAGTGGAAGTTCGATAGAGACAAATTCTTTGCTTGCAGCCTGTGTGCCAAAGAGTTCCCGCTTCTGGTCCCAACTGATTAGTGTGAACCAGGGCTCCACAAAGCCGAATGCATCCGAGGGCAGGCTCTGGCAGTAGCGGTGGAGCAGAATCAGGGCACTGCTAGGCAGCAGCACGGCACCTTTTTCGTTTATAAATGGTGGGATCAATTCGTGGAAGTGATCGGCTATCTCTTGCATCAAAGGTTCGGCCCGATCCAGGACGCGATCCTTTAAATACTCTCCGATGTCGGTATGGGCTTGGCGATATTGATTGATTTGTTGGTTGGTTTTTATGCGGTCCAAATCTGAGGAAAAAAGGACAAACTGGGCATCCTTGGATCGAGCCCGCCCCTTCGTCTGCACGTACATGTTGAATGTCTTTATAGGATCCAGGATCAAAACGTAATTGCAGGCCTTTACATCGATGCCTTCCTCCAGAACGCTCGAACAGACCATCAGGTTGGCTTCGCCATCCCTAAATTGGTGAATGGCCTTTGATGGGGATTGCGACAGGGGAGAATAATATACTGTTAATATACTGTTCTGTGCTGAGGCCCGAGGCATAACGTACCGACTTTTGCCACTTGCGCTCCAGGACGCTCTCACAATCCGCTGAAACTGAGTTGCGGCCCACCATAAACTGCGGCACGAGAACATCGCGCAGCGCCGGAATAGCCGCAATGAACTTCTTCAACAATTGGTATATGCATTTGCTCGTATACCGGCGCTCAACGAAGACCAAGCAGCAAATATCCTTGGCATTCTTGCCCGAGAACGTTTTCTGCACGTAATGCAAAAATCTCTGCACCTTGGGAGTCGAAAAGTTTATGATGGTTTCCTCCGTGTGGACTGCGTCATCGGGTTCCGTATCATCGTCGACCAAATCGCGAAGCTTTTTCTTTAGCATGTGATTGATCCGGTTACACATACAGATGGCCAACTTATATATGTGGGTCAGGGCAAGGGTTTCCGACTGATGCAGCTTGATTTCAAACTCTAGAATCACCGATACTATGGCCATGGCTGCCGCATATACGCCGTAGTTCTCCAGCTGGTACTGGAAGTCGTTGAGCAGAGTCTTTATATATCCCTTCTTGTGCGGATCGCGGAGGGTCGACAGTCCCTTGGAATAGCGCGTAGGCTGTTTGCCAATCTCCAAATCGTCTAGGCGTACGTAGAAGTGCTCAATGCATCGATGTATGGCGTGCCCGATCTCAAGGCTCCCCACTTGGTTTGGATAAGTCACTAAACACTCCCTTGGTTTGGTAGAGTAGCTGCAAAAAATAAATAGAACTGCTATAGCGTGATTTCTTCTATGGAAAGGGCTTAAAAGGTCTCACAGCATCACGTTTTTCAATTCCTCCGTGTCGGACACGGTGATAATATTGCTTCTGTATGTCGTCTCCAGCTCTCTGAGCTTTTGAGCGACCAGCTTAAATTCGTTGCCTTTAATGAGTACACCCGTCAGTCCCACAACGCGCGGCAGTGGCGTGTTCCGGTCAGCGAGTAAAAACAGATGCATGAATTCATGGTAGGGATGGTGGCCAGTGCCATGGTGGCACTCGTCTATAATCACGATGCTCACAGAGCTCAGCTCCAAGTACTTCTGGGTGACCATATTCAACATGACTTGGGCTGTGCCCACCAGAACCTATTGTCGTTGCAAGATATAAGAAAATTCAATTAGAAAAAAAAGCCAGGGCCAAATTTGTAAAGCACTTAGAAGCACAAATACTAGTACATCCGTTATATATAAAAGAATATCAGAAATTCATATTGGTTTCATGAGGCGTCATGAGCTCGACACTAACTTGGCTATCGCTTATTTCATGGCTCCATTTTATCTTCGACCAGTCGTCGACGCCCTGCTCCCCCACAAAGAACCCCACTTTGAGATTTGAGAACTTCCTCACGGCCATTGCCTGCTGGCGGGCTAGCTCGACTGTATTGCACATAAATATAGCTCGTTTTCCGCCCTCCTCGATTGATCTGTAAACAAATCCGAGAATTCAGTTCAACAGCTACATATGTATTTGCTTATGTATGAGTGTGTTTGCAAAATTCCAGTATGAAAAAAAATGCAAGCGACTTACTTGTCCATGTCTTTGGAGAATCGCTTCAGGGCCAGGATGGCCACGTATGTCTTGCCAGATCCGGTCGGCAAGTAGATTATCCCATTGTTCTTCGTAATATGATCCACGAGACGTAGCTGATAGCTGCGAGGCTGCAACAAATGCGAATGCATTTTTACAATTCAGCAAAAAGTACAAACTTATGCATATGCACTGGAATTTATCTTATTTATACCTTTATTTCGGATTCCCCACTATGTACGTTGTCTGCCATGATGATCCTATTTGCTCCGGGTGCCAGCTGAAAGTGATGAAATAAAATAAAATTCAGTGACTGCTGGCACAAGCTCGCCAACTAAGATGATTGCTGACGTGGCTATAATGACAGCTGGCTTCTCAGGATGTGGCCAGCTACTAGCTGGAAGTACGGGGATTTACATTTTTTTCCAGTCACCGTTCTCTGTATGCGGAAAACACCGCGATGGACGCGCAGGTTGACCGGCAAATGTCTCGCCTCACCTTTGTTTTAATTGAACTTTGTTCCACCGATATATTGTATTGAACAAGTATTTAATCAGATAAGATAATAAATTCCAAGAGATGAATAAAAAAATTGCCAAAAACAGGAAAAAATAAAGTGAAGTCCTGTCCCTCAGTATTGTCCGCAGGTTTATCGCTAAAATATAGCGTCCGACCCTCAGAAATATACCGAAATATACCGTCTCATTTAAAAAATATACCGTAAATATACTGACGAATTCAAGTTATAATTTACATATTCCTCCTTTATGATATTCCGTGGAATATTACTAGCTATATAAAACATTTAGCCATGCCCACATAATTTTATCCGATTTGTGAATCTATTTTCTATTTAACTGGTGTATTCTTAATACTTGCTTTTATTGAATCTTGTCTAAAAAAAGGTTTTAGCGAAATAGGTCAAACAAAAAAAAAGAAAAAGGATATTGCTCAATTGATATACTCCGTTGAATAATTCTGGCTAACTAAAACCCATAGTTCTGCCCACATAGTTTTAGGCCATTGATGAATAAATTTTCTTCAAAATTGGTTAGTTTTTAGTCCTTGCTTTTGTTGTATTTTGACTAAAACAAGGTTTAAACAAAATAATTCAACAAAAACACAGTCGCAATGTTGTTGGTATTTTAAGACATGATGCGTGTATAGCCCTTTGTATACCCTGTTTTCCAAAATGTTTTTAAAACGTAATTGATGAAGAAATTTTCTCAAATTGATATGTTTTAGACATATTCAATCATGATTATTCTTGGTCTCTGTAGAAAGAAGATGAGCTGCAAAATATCGTTGAAATAGGTTTAAATATTCCAGAAGGGTATTTCATATGTTCCACTGTTGCTATCGATAACCGGGAAAACTGCCAACGGCTGAAAAACTGCACCAATGAAATGCTGCTGGACTGCCAACCTGCTTTAAGTAGAGCGCGAAGTATGAAAGTAAATGAAAAAAGCACCAATGTTTTGAAAAGAAAATGTATTTATATAATGTATTAAAATAATTTTAATATTTGTATCTAAAATAAAATTTAAATTTAAGCCCAGCTATGGTTAACAAACGAATCAAACGCAGCTGTACAAGTACACTTTCAAGTTCAAGTGCGGCTTGGAAGTGCAATAATTCTTATCAGCAAACAGCTTTGCATTAGCTTCCGGATTTGAACAGTAAATTCATTCAAAATGCATTTCGTCTGCGATCTCAGTTTAATTTTGATTGCAATGTGCACGGTTCGGAGAATACGACTAACAATGGAAAACTATTTCGTTTTACTGCTGATTCTTTTGGCTGTACCTTGGTCCTTTGAGGCCACCCCCAAGCTTAAGCCAACCAAGGCCGCCATTATAGACTTGAAGAACAAAACTGAAGTAGTACCGTCAAGTAGCATGCCCATTGCCAATGTCACATCCGTGCACGAGAAGTTGGCAGAAGTCCACATTGATCAGCACAAAACCATTCGCATTAGCAAAGGAGATCTGGATGATCTATTGGACGTTTATATGGGTAAAATAGCAGAGAGTGCAGCCACCATCAAGGACAAAGAAAATGAAATAAACAAGCTTCAAACCAAGGAACACACTGACGACGATCTACTGAAGAGATTTGAGAATCTCACAGAGATTTGTAATGCTCAAAATGCTACATATACAGCCAAACTGAAGGAAAAGGCGGATCAAATCAAGGAACTCGAGCAGAAGGTCAAGGTCTACGAGACCAGATTGAAGAGGAAACAGCACGTGTTGACTGATTTAAGAAAACAGAACACCTCCAGTGCGGCATTGATCGATCATCTGAGCGCCAAAGTCGTATATTTTGAAGGTAAGTTCAGGGAGAAGAAGGACGACCTGTTGGCAGACTGGGAGGCAGCCACCACCACTTGTATGCCCTACGGCATGTCGTCTGGGATTCATTTGATCCATCTGCCAGAGTTCCTGCCCTTTCTGGTGTCCTGTGAGGGTCTCACGACCGCCGGTCCTGGATGGATGGCTATTCAGCGTCGACTGGATGGCTCTGTGAACTTCTATCGCAACTGGGATCAGTACAGGAAAGGGTTTGGCAAGCTCAACGGGGAGTTCTTTATTGGCCTCGAAAAACTGCACCGCCTGACCAGCTCCCAGCCTCATGAGCTCTACATAAGCTTCAGGAGATTCAATGGAGAGTCAAGCTATGCTCACTACGATGACTTTGTTATTGGCAGCGAGGAGGAAGGTTACGAATTGAAATTGCTCGGCCATTATCAAGGAAATTCCAGCGACGCGTTACGCACCCATGACAAGATGAAATTCTCAACCTTCGATAGGGATAACGATGAATTTACGCATATGAATTGCGCCGAGTATCACCACGGAGCCTGGTGGTACGACTTCTGTTCGCGAAGGTAATTCATCCGTCCGCTGAGTATTACACAAACACATATGAATTATTCAGTTAATATCCTCTTCCCATAGCAATTTGAATGGCAAGTACTTCAAGGCCGAGGTGGACAATGTCCAAGGCATTTTCTGGGAGCAATGGTATAGCTTCAGATCTCTGAGATCCGTACAGATGCTAATCCGTCCAAAGAGCCAAATGGAGCTGAACGATTTACCGAGGACCAAGCGTACTGTACCCCTAAAAGTTCATTAAAATGAATCCCTCCATCAGCTCAACACACAAAAATACTCATTATTTTTAATAATTTACGCGTATTATGTTTGTTTCTAGAGGCTTTAAGAGCACTGTGAAACCAGATAAATCTCAATACGAAGCCGAGCCCCATTCGTCTTTGTTATTTACTCTTCCGACGCCCGCCCACCGCCACCATTCGACAGTTGATTAGCTTTCGATTTTTCGCCCTCTCCTCTCCCGGGTACAATAATTACTTCGTTACAGTTCACTGCAGTTCGCTGCTCTAGACATTTGTTTATTCGCGCACAAGTGATTAGTGCAATTAATTCTCATTTTCATTTTCATTTTCATTTGTGCTCGCATTTCGTTCGCTGTTGCAACAATTTAATGAAATCTAATTGAGCTCTGACTCTGGTCTTTAAGTGCTTCTATGGGCCTGGTCTGGTCTGCCCCCACCATTTGTCACTTGCACTTTTATTGCCGAGGGACCGCTGTGGGAGTGGAGAAACTCAATTGGAGTAAATAAAGGCTTGACAAATTAGCCAAAGTCGAGGCATAAAATATAAATGAATATCGATGCGACTGAGGATTTATGGCCTGAGAAGAACAATTTTTATTTAAATTGAGTTTATTCCAGTTTCATACAGAATACACCCCCTCCAACTGGTTGTTTCCACTTCAAAATAACTGAAGAGAACACTTATGTACATTTACAATGCACATATGTGCATTCGATTCATTCCATATGTGCATTTGTACATATGTATACTTGGTTTCACTTTCAATGACATTTCGACAGCACAACAGCAAGTTACAACCATTCGGTTAATGGAAACCTAATCGCTCGATTATCGCGATTAAGCATACTGAACTCAAGCAGCGAACTCTAGGGGCCAGGCCATATAACAGACATACTTAAATAGTAAATAAATACATTACTTAGTGCTAGATAAGTACACTTCCAGCTAGCAATATCTTCAAGTGGATGATGGCAATATAAGTTGTACAACTCGTAGCTAACTCTCTACGATTGCCTTGTAAATAACATGGGGCACAGGAGTGGATGCGAGCTCTACTTCTCCTCCGATTGCCCAGAGCCGTGTGCCCGCTTTTTGTGCCAGCGCAGACTGGCAAACTGGGCGAATCGTTTGCCGCACGAGCAGCACTTGTACTTCTTCACGGCCAAATGCAATTCGGTGTGCTTCTTGAGATTGCCGTAGGTGGTAAAGGTCTTGCCACACACCGTGCACAGGTGCTTGCGTATGGCCCAGTGGGAGTTCATGTGGTCGGTGAAGCGATTCTTCTCGTAGAACCCCTTTGCACAGATGGGGCAGCTGAATGTCGACTGGTTAAGGTGTCTGCGCCGATGTATATCGAAGAAGGACCACGTCTTGAAAGATTTCCCACACAGGTCACAGATGTAGGGCCGCTCTCCAGTGTGCGTCCGCAGGTGGATGGCCACCTCTGTGGAGGTGGCAAAGCGTTTGTCGCACTTCTCGCACGCATAGGGAAAGTCGCGCCGATGCCGTCGAATGTGCACCGTCAGATTGCACGGCATCTGGAAGCCCTTGCCGCAGAGCGTGCATATGAAGGGCGGGGTGCCGTCGTGGCCGGACCGATGCACCTTATACTGGTCGCAGGTCTTGATTAGCTCCGAGCAGACGTCACATCGGAAGGGCCCCAGGTTCTGTTCCAAAAAGTCCGCCAGTCTTGCGTGCAGCAGGGGAATGCTGCACGAGTCCCCTGGGTTGGTGAGTATTTTCCGTTTCTGCGCTGAAAACTCTTTGCGCAGCTCGAACAAAGTCTTCTCCAGTTGCTCCGCGGCATATGCCGTATGGAAGGTTGTGTTCAGTTCGTCCAACATCTGGGCCAGCGCCTGACTGCGGTAGGCATTCGATCTAAAGTCGGGATGATCCACATCCCACAACGCCGCATAATTGCGATAGATCTCCACAAACTGCAGCTGATCCTCTGCCCTTCCGAATTCAATGGAGCTGGCATCGATGAACTTCGTCTTCTGGTTGGTCTCCACCACACCGACCTTCTGCAAAGACAAAGGATGGATTTTTGAGGTTCTAGATGGGTAAAAAATCAGCGGACCTACCTTGCTGATCTTGTTGAAGATCTGCTCCTGGAGTATCGGATGCAGAAACTCCATCTCGTCGTAGCACCAGAGCTTGGGCAGATACAGTCCCTTGTGTTTGATCACCATGCGCAGCTCCTTGCGATAGCGCGTCCTCAGCTTCAGTATCTCCTTGTGGCACTCCTCGCCGCTCAGCTCGTAGTTGAGCTCCTCCTGCAATTGGGCGGAGATCTCCCGGTACAGCTCCTTCTTGCAGCAGCTGGCATACTCGTAGTGCTGGGGATTCCACAAGCACTCCAGCCGCTTGAACGCATCCAGTATGAAGCTGAGCACCTCACGATACAGGGCAGACTTGCTGCAGGACTCGCCATCGGTTTCGCATGACTTTTCGCTTTCGGTGCTATCATTGCTGATCTGTAAGTACACCTCCAGATGAGTGCGATGTGCGATACGAGAGAACCGTATCTGGCTACCTACCTTGGCTTCCCTTTCGGCCCGCTTGTTCTCGATGACGCCTCTGAGGAAGTGCATCTTGTCAAAGTACCACAGGCGGGATTTGTACTTCCCGCCGAGGGCATTTAGCTTGCTCAGCTCCCGGCGATAGCGGCCACGCAGCTCCTTGAGTACGGCAAATATTTCGACGCCCGTCAGCTGCATCTGGCAGATGCCCTCCAGTGGGGCAGCCAGTTCTCCGTAAACACTCCGCTTGGCATTGTACTTGTAGTCGGGATGCCGGGGATTCCACAACTTTTCCATGCGTTCATAGGCCGCCAGCAGAGAGCCAACGAATTCTCGATTTCGTTCCAGTTCGCGACGAGTGCGCTGCAGGAAGGGAAGGGTGGATCTCTTAGAGAACGATCATATGGGGGAGGGGCCATCATTGGCATATATGTATGTATATTTACACACCGCCTGGAAGTCCATGTTGCTGCCAATGCTACTCGTGGGGGACGTGGGCGGCCCTGGGGTTGGAGGCGTCGCTGGCGGTGTTAGCTCCGACACGTTTTCGGGGGAGAACTGTTCTGCATCTGCCGCTCCCGTCACTGCCTCTGCCTCTGCCTCCGCCTCTGGCTCTGGCTCTTGCCGGTTGGAATCTTTTGCATTCTGGTTTTCCGCCTGACGAAGCTTGCGCTGCATTGCCTGGAGATCCAACAAGAATAAATATTTCGCATAAATAAATAAATTTTGTTATTGCTTCTGTTTTTGTTTTGTATCTTTAAGATAAGCAATGACCAGGCCACATGATCTTGGCCAGCCTCAGTGGATTGGGAGGGGTTGGGTTTATCGATGGAACAAACAAGCACACAATCACAAAAACAATCACATGAACACGAACTCAAACAAAAAGGGAAAGTCCGCTCTCCTCGCCACAGTTCACAGTTCCCAGTCCTCCAATATCAGCGGCTATTGGCCTTTGTGTCGTCTACGTTGTCGTTGTCGTCGTCATTGTTCTTATCGGCATTGCATATGGCATATACATACATACCCATATACACTCACATACCTCTACTATATGTACACATTTCGATGTGTACTATATATCTTTTTGCTCCCCTGTTGGTTGTTGCTTTGCGTTTCGAAAAATATACAAAACGAATCCCTCGCCAGCGAGCGCCTAACCGTTCTCATTCTTCGCATTCTATTGTATTGTCCCCATGAATGAAACATACGAGTATGCATGAATAATTCAAGGCGCTGGGTGGATATATGTAACTTCAATCCGAGATGCTATTCTCCTGATCTCTCGAAACCCAAACGAGTTCCGACCTACCCCATATACAGTGCATAGGTACAACTGAGAACAGAAATCGATACAGAAACTCCAAATTAATTTGCGTAAGCAAATGTTTTGTCCTACCGGGGCGACTGGGGCTGGGGCGCAAACATTAGATACGGTATATGTACTATATGTACGTGATAAGCAGTTCTAACCGGTTCCCACCCGCTGTGATCGGCATCGCGTGAAACATAATATATTGTAATGGCACACCCTCAGCTTTGGCTAGAGGTTAGCAACGCCAACTAATGTTTCCTTTCGCTTATGGGAATTTTGCACCATTCGACGAATAATTCCTACTGGTTGTCCCCACTGCGAGAGGGTATTCCCAGCTCCACCCTTGCTTTCAGTAGTTGTAATTGAAGTTGTCTGGAATTAGAGCGGAAGGCGAGTGGCCGGGCCCCAACAATCGTCCATGTTTTAGCACCTCTTTTTTGTTCCATACCCACCCATAAAAAGTCGATATCATTATTGGGGGTGGTAGATAAAGTATAATAAAACGTTCTTTGGGCAGACTTAATTGTGATTTGAGGTATTGGAAACGATTACCCAAAAACCTGGTACATTAGCTTTGGCTAAACTGTTCTAATAATTATACACTATTTCCAGAGTGTCCTTTGTGGCTGACAGAAGTAGAAAGAGTTCTAAACTAAAATGGTACTACGGAAATCAATACTAATGTTGCTATAATCGTATTGGCATTAACCACCATGTGAGTCCGAGCTAATGACCATTTCTAGTGTCGAACGATGGCCAATTAAAGGGTACGTGGAAACTCCATTAAAATCATTCCCCTGCTGACGTTTATCAAAGCTACTGCTGTGTCCACAAGCCCGGTGAGTGGTAGCCCAGTAATCAATATCCAAATGGGGTTACTGGCCAGAGTGGATTCTGATTAATTGGATGGCATTTCAGCGGAACTCAACCACTCTCATTCACCTGTCCGAAAGGGGCCTTGGCCTAACCTTTTCCATGAAAAAACGAACGGAACCCTTTCCAAGTTAATTGAATAACTAAAAATTGCACACAACTAAAAAAAAAAGAAAGAAAAAAAGCCTTGGCCCCAATCGAGAATGCAATTTAAAAACGTGGAAATTAAAGTTTCGACCCAGGAAAAACATGTTCGGGTCGGGTCACACCCAACTCTCGACGAAAAGAACGCCACCCCAAAAAGGTGAGCGAAGGAAACTGAAAGCCCATTAAAGTTACCACACCTCTCTCTCTCTCTCTCTCTCTCTCTCACTCTCAGTCGTATTCCCAAGCTCGACCCGCCGGCGGACCCTCTATGGCCTGGGTCTATCCTTGACGTCGTTGTCTACCTAGCAACAGGAAATAGTTGCATATCCCTACAGTACATATCCGTCGCTGTACATCGCTGTAGAGACCGACCATATCGGAAATTTGAATAGTGCAAATGGTTGAGCAGCTGTTTCTTAGTGCTCTTCTTTTTAGCTTTTATTTTATTTTATTCTTTTGTGTTTTATCTTCGAATGTCGAGTGTCGGGCGAGAGAGGCAAACAAAGGCGAGGCTAGACGGGCTTTGCCGCTTCTTCGGACCGCTCAGACGCCGACAGACACATTTCTAAGGCGTGTCCAGTCTGCCTGCCTTTTCTCTGTGTCTGTTTACTGAACACGCAATTCAAATAATTGATCCAGTTAGCTGTTTAACAAAATTGCATAAAAATTCAATAAGCAACAACAGAAACAAAAGGCGCTACGATGACGGCAACGGCAACGGCAACGTCAACGGGCGCCAATAGATGGGGCAGGGACTGGACTTCTCCGGGGTATACTGCATTGAAACCCGATCGCAGACCAATTTGATTGAGTTAGCTGTGTGTTTTGTTTCTCCCTTATGGTTTATTTATATATATTTTTTAAACGGAAAGGGGTCGAAACTCGTCAAGGGATTGTCAGGGATTGAGAGGGTGGCAGGAAGGCAGTGCAGCAATGCATTTTAAGTGAAGCTCCGAAGGCGGAATAGATTGTGTTGGGGCAGGGATTAAGGACATCTGAATATTTTCATTTCAACGAAAGGAAGCAATGTATGTGGTCAAACTTTCCCAAGACTAAGCATAAGGAATAAGTTCTGCGATAAGCAGAATCCACACTTGCACTGCGGCTCCATGGCTGACGATTCCGATTTCAATTCCAATTCCGGGTTCGAGTGCGAGTGCGAGCAGCTGCGTCATCCATGCCAATGGCTGGAGAGGGTAATGGTAATGGGGTTCGTGATGGGAGGGAGGGGGGTGGTCCACTCTGATGTTTTCTCGTCAATTAAAAACGATTGTTTATTGCATTTGTCACCAAGAAATATGCGGGCAGGGCCAATCAAAAGTTCCTTTGATGATGATGCGATGATGCGATGTTGCGATGCTGTTTTCGTTTTCGCCTCAAACTAATTAATAGAAATACACTTATTCCGATACGTTTCCATTACCATTTTGTATTTCGACATCGTAGACATTTGCCGATTATCGCGGTGGATCGGCTGGTGGAGCCCCGTTCCGCCCCCCCGCCCAATCTCTTAGTTTTTAATTAGAACGCGCTCCAGTTAAGACACTGGCCAAATGTGTGTGGAGCGTTGGATGTGGCCGGGGGCTGAGCTGGGTATGGGTGAGTGCAAATAAAAAGATTCATGGCAAAGCCCGTTAATGCTGCACTTACGGGTAATACCATTATAAGGCCTTGGGCATGGAAAGCCCTGCCGAATCGCTGGCAAATGGTGTCAACTTGTGTATTCGGCCCTGCTTGATGATTGCAAGTTTTAGGTGTTCTGTTCGGTTCGGTTTTTTCCCCGTTTTATGTTCGATTTATTGCTCCCAGTGAATCGTTTGACAGGCCCGAGGGAGGGCTCTCATTGATCGGCATTTACCAAAACTCAAACATTGATGCGAATGATGGGCCAAGCTCCCATTTGTAGGCTATATAAAATATCCCCAAAGCCATATGACAACAGGCAAAACACCGACATGCAAAATCCGGAAGAACACGAGACCCGACTCGACTCGACTGGAATGGAATGTAATAAACGAAACGTGCGCTAATAAATTATGAGCAATACTTGGTGTGTGGTTCCACGCAACCTGCGGGAGGGTTTCATTCATTTCTTTTATGGCCTGGCCCACGCCCTCTGACGGAGGAGGCCCATGCAACCGACGAAAATAAACCTTGCGGCGGGAAACCTTATAGAGAATGCTAGAACCGGGAAGCAAATACAAACGAAAGTCGAAAAATCAAAGATAATACTCGTACTACGCGGGGCATTACGGTGCAATCAATTTCTGACAAAGCGAAATGCGTTCGGTTTGAAAAGGTCGGAGAGCTCTTAAGCACGGAATCGTGGCCAAAACTTTAAACAAATAACTTTCGTCAGACCGTCAGGCCGGCGGAGTCAGTCACAAGGCAGCCTTAATTTAATTAGACTGATTATAAAACCCCGTCAGCTGATCGATCAGCGGCCAGGTTGCGGGTGGAAACCGCTCTCTAAGCCCACCCTCCCCAGACAGACCTTCCACCTGCCCAAATGTTGAATGTTTAGTTAAACTTGTTAATTATTTAATAAGCGCGGCTGTGACTGATAAAAACTGAGGCATCGCCTGTCAAAATGCCCCCCCAGCCACCACATTTTTGGGCTCAAGAATGGTTAACGTTGCCATAAAACGCCCCTGCCCGAAGATGTTGAAATATGGGAAAGGAATTATCGCTGGGGAACATAATAAACCCGCACAGTGATATCCCCGACTTAAGATTAGATTATACCCAGTGATATATGGGATAGTTTTCGGTGAAGTATACTTTGATTTCAACGGATTATTGATGATTTAGATGTGGCTAAGTCTTCGAGATACTGTTTGCTGATAATAAAAAGCAAATGACTAATCTCTGGTAATAATTTCAGAGATTTTTCAACATTCAATGGGTTCCAAGAACCAAGAAAATGTACCTACGAGTACATACATATATGTATGTATAGTTGATAAATATTTATCATGATTGTGGAACAATAATTATCCATAAAACACTTCCAATTCTGCCAATACTAACGTCACCTATGGTATGACGATCTCTATGTGTCACTCTGTTTGGATAATGATTTATGGACAGCGATCGCCTTTATGGCAGGTGCTCTAAAAATTCCAATTTACAAGTGTTTAAATGAACATTAAAACCTCCTTAGTTGGGGTTTTGTGCAGCGCTTTCGCCGTCTTTTAGCCGCCTTATCTCTAAGCCATTTCCCATAGCTAAAAACATCGACAGAAATCTACAATTATTTTATTACCCCCGACGCGAAGGCGTGGTGGGGTTGGTGATAAAGAGGCACTGGGAGTCAGAGAGGAGGACTGATTGGGTTGTCTGGGGCAACGATCGGTCGAGTCGAATCGATCGATCGATCGATCGTTAGCTCGGGCGAATGTTAAATTACTCAAAGTGGCTGGAGAGACGCGCGTCATTGTCATCGCCATCGCCATCGCCATCGTTTATTCACTTAGTGATGGCAAGCAAAGAAATATATCAAAATTAGACAAGAAACCAACTGATTTCATGGCAAAAACTGATTGGAAACAGGCGAAAAAGGAAGCACTGTGCAAAGAATTTGCAGTTGTTTGCAGTTTCAGAACAATTCTGTTTCCATTTACCAATATTTCTTGCCTCAATGTGCGTAGAGTCTCGAAAACGCTTACCAAATCGAAGCTTAGATAATTTTCCCCTATTTGTTTACCTCTTTGCGGTCTAGATAATGCCCGCGTCGCCCGACAGACTTGCCCAATGTTGATAATAGCAAAATACTCGTAAAAAAAACGAAAGGAAAACAGACCAAAAATTACCCATAATTTGTATTGAAAGTGTCGTGTAGCCGGGGATCTAGGGGCAAATAGAAAACGATTTTTATCAGCATTCACATTCACATTTCACAGAGAGTTCTGTTATTCTGTGCCCGCCCCCCAACCCCCTCTATGGTCTAGCCCGGATATCGGCTATGCGATAATAATTCCTCTCTTTTTTGTTTGCACAAGTACTCCATGTATTCCCTTCCATCATTTATCCGTGCCATTTTCCCACAAAATTAAAATCAGAACCACCATGTGCTGAATTAATTATTATTCATTGACATTTACATTGCGTCAATGCAGTGGCCGCTGGCCTGTATCTGTGGTCTATATTTATCTGGAAGAGCGAAAACTCTTGAAATTTCTCTACGTCAAATTGATGGGGAACGAAAAACATTACCAATCTATGGTCTGATAGTTTAAAGGCCGATTACCACCTTCGTCATTGACAAGCATCTACATCATGGCCTAAAGTGTTTGTCAGAACAGAGAAAGCATTTAACTCAGGGAGGGTTGCTCGAGAAGTAGGTCTAGAAAATTATATAAACTCTATTGTATGACCATTTACGGGTACGAGTTATACTCAGAATATGAGTACGAGTATACGCATAATTTGAAACACATTATACTACCAATTCGGTGTCTATGTATAGGCTGACAATGTCCACGAATTTCGTTAATTCTCGTTTAATAGGTTTTTATTTTTAAAAATCCACAACAAAGAACGTGCCACAACAAACCCGAAAATATACTATAAGCTTTTCCAAAATGCTGAAATTTTTGTGTCCCACATTTTGAGTAAATGTATGTATGTATTTATTTTTTTCGGTGGCACAGAAATTGCACAGATCCTACGTACGAGACATATGCACAAAAAAAAGTTATTGTTGTGTCTTCTTCGAAATTTCCATGTCCACAAAAACAAAACAAACAAAACAGAATTGGAAACCTGAAGATGAAAAGAAACTGAAAAATTGCGTCGCGTTGAGGGGAGAAGAAAAACAAAATGAAAAGTTGTTGGCCGAAGCTTTTGATACCCCTTTTAAATCTGCATACGGTAGTGCTGAGTGCTGCACATAGACGGGTAAGTATGTGTAAAGAAACAGTAGTTGGGATTAAAAAAAGCACCACAAAATAACACCGTTCAAATGTCCATGCTGATCAAGAATATACCCTCCATTTTCGTTGCGTTGCAAACATCTGATCAAAATGATAATACCCTATGCAAGTGTATACAAACGGAACAGCAAAAATAGCAACGGCTCTGACGAACTGACAAAACGTCTCTCTCTTTCTCTCTCCCTCTGTCTCCCTGTGCTTCCAAAACATAGGGCCGTGGATAACAACGGGACTCAAAGGGGAAGACAAAAAAACAAAGGAGAAGCACGACGGAGCGGGAGAGCGCGGACGGGCAGGGCGACGAAGCGACACACTTTTTCTCAATATTTTGTTGTGTGCCATTGCGCCGTTATTTTGAAGGTCAAGTGACCAGGTTAAGCTTCCTCCGGAACTGCCTTTCAGCCTTCAGCTCTTCCTCCACCTCTAGACAGCGGCGGAAAACCATTTTTGCATTACAAAATCTAATAAAAAGAAGGAAAAGGGGAAACGACAGTGAATCACCCCGAGCGCGAACTACTTTGGTAATTGGAAGAGCAAGCAATATTGGTGCGCTCGCGGCAGAGCGTTTACTGTAACAAGAGAGGGCAGCGAAGTGACGCAGAGCGGGTGAGCGGGAAAAAGAGCGAATGTACAGAAGGAATCGGCGATTAACTTACCACGCGTCGTGTCTCGTATCGCGGCGGTTGAAGTGGAGCGGCGACCCCAACACCAGGCCCAGCCAAAGGTGAGGGCGTCGGCGTAGACGTGACCGTGCCCACTATTTCATGAAGCACTTCAAACGAACCCAGTGCCTGCAGGCAGGTCTGCTCGTCACCCGAAATGTCCGCGGATGGCGGCGGTGAGGGTGGCAATGGATTTTCCATAACATAAACCAAATCTATTTCGGGTGCTCCTACTGCATGGGATAGTTGCATTGTGGGGGTCGCTGCGACGATATTCATCAGCTGAATGTCAATGTCTATCAGCCCCAGGCGTTGCGTGTCTGCCACAATCGTGGATTCCGTCTCAGTTCCCATCTCCATCTCCATTCCATTCAAATTTGATTTCTTCGTGCATTTGTCGGTTGCGGTCTGGGCCTGGTCTTCCAGTTGGAATATGTCATGGCAGTCCATTTCCATTATCATTAAATCTGTTTGAGTTGCTTGTTCGATTGTATCCTCGGAGTCTTCGTACCGTCGTCTTACGTCCTGAATATGCTGGCCGCGAATGTGATCCATAAACACCGAGAACTGCAGGCAAATTGCAGGGCAGAAGGCGCAATTGAAGCCAAAGCTCTGCACATCCGGCGATGTGGTAAGTTCTCCGCATTTTCGAAAGTAGGCGTAATCCTCCAGTTGCCAATTAAAGGTCTGGGGTTGTGGCGGCGGTTGCTGCTGCACTTGCTCCTGCAGCGGCAGCATGGTGGTTGTTTCTTGATTACACAGAGAGTGTTTACTTTGTCTGAATTTGTTTGGCGCACACACGTCACGGTGGAAGCGAACTTCAGCGGCGGGCTTTCTCATAAGAAATGCGATTTATTCTAGCATTGAACACACGGCAAACTGTCAGCCTATTGGTATCACACGCGCCGGCGTTTTTCAAATGTTTGACGGTCGCGCTCGTCTCTTCTGGCCAGTGTGACCGCGGATATATCGGTCAAATATACCGCCCGACCCTCAGAAATATACCGAAATACACCGTAAATATACTGACGAAATACATATTTCTCGTTATTGATATTCCGTCGAATATTAGCGGCTAAATAGATCTTTCAGCTTTGCCCCCATAATTTCATCCAATTAATTAATCTATTTTCTACTTGAGTGGTGTATTTTAAATACTTGCTTTAATTGGATTTTGCCTAAAAAAGGTTTTAATGAAAAAGGTAAAAAATAAGTATAAGAGTAACTGCAGAGAAAAGTAGATTGGCAGCGCTGGAGTATAAACATAAGTTGGCAGCGCGCACAATTCACAGCTGATTGCTGTTTCCGAATTTTGTTATTTAACCAGAAGAAATTTAACAAAAAAAAAATGCAAAACTGTATTAAACTGGTGCCATTGGCACTCAAGTGCCCGCAGAGAGCCATCAGCACGTCTGCTGTCTTGGATGGCAAGCGGAACTTTCGCAAATTTAACGTACACAGCAAGCGCGGCACTCGCGTGGTTAAGGAGGCCCAAAAGACCATGGCCAATCCCCCGGTGCCCATTGACAAGCGGGGCGTGCGCGACACAGGCATCTTGGTTGATGGAAAATTTGTGGAGATCCCTGAGAAAATCCCCGATATTATTGTGCCCGATCTAACGGACTGCAAGCTGAAGCCCTATGTGTCGTACAAAGCACCGGAAGTAGTGCAATCAGAATTCACCAGTCTTGACTTGTTTAACGCAGTCTATTCGAAAAAGATTGTTGAAGATTTCAAGGCAGGCAGCCTCCAGGCAGACGGCAGTCCCAAAGAACCGTCGGCCGAAGAGCAACTTACTTCATCGGAGGCATTTCTCCGTGCGCGAAGAACTGGCAGCGACATATTCTAGACATACGTTTATTGTTTCTTAAATAAAAATTGTAAATTCTACTATTCCTGGATGTACTTTTGGCGATATACGTAAAGTTTGCGAATCCATTTCTCCGTCTTAAGGTCGGGATTTCCAAGGAACTGAAAAACGAAAATATGTCACATATTTGTGAGAAGAAGACGATAGAACCGAGAAATGCAACTTACGTTGGGATGAAATATTACATCTTCGGTTTGGACCGGGTTCGATGGCTTCGGTACGGTCACCGTTTCGTTTTTCAGATCTATGATAACCTTCTCTGGAGCCTCACGATCTTTGGTGCTGAAGAAAGCTGACGGCTTGAAGGTATCCTCGTCTATCTTTTCCAAGGCTTTCTGCACTTTGGTATCCAGCAAATCGATGCCCTTGACGTTGCTAGCGAGAGGCGTTGAACGTGAATTGCTCTCCGAACTCGGTGCTCTGGTTGTCCTTTGGGAGGCAGAGCGAGATTTGTTATAGTCCCGACTGCGACTCTTGCTGTGCCGGCTCCGGGAGCTGCTTGGACTGCGTGGCGATGAGCTGCGCGACGAGCTGCGGCTGCTGCTACGACTACGCCTGTAGTACTTTTTAGATTTCTTCGACTTCTTCTTTTTGGGTTTGGAGCTTTGCCGGCTGCTTCTGGTGGGGGACTTGGAGTGGTACCTTCGGTCGCGTTCTTTGTCGCGGTCCCGATCTCGCTCTCTTTCCCGGTCGCGGTCTCTATCGTGTCTTTCCCGTTCACGCATTGTCTTTTTTTATTTATTTATTTTTTATTGTATTGTCGCTTGGCTCATGTACATAATATATACAGTTCACTTCAAAAAGGTATGAACAACACGCAAAGTGGCACGGAAAATGCAACGCATGCAATGTAAAATGCACCCCATTTGCTTAATATACCTTGAAGAGATAACCAGTCAATTTTGTCTTCAAGGTATATTATCCTCACACGAGAGGTGAGGTTCGTACGAAGTCTGCAACTTGCCTTGGCTATTTTTGCTCGTCGTCCCTACCCCTTTCTATGGGTTAACATCGATATTATATTTTAACATCGATATTGTGCCTATCAACTGCCCTCTGAATTATAATAATACCGAATCCGAATTTAAATTTGGGCGCCAAAAACTAAAAAATTATATAAAGAAGCGCCCGCTACGATAGCTTCCGCCTGGGATTGTAGTATTGCAAGTAGTTCTTTTAGTAATGGATTTTTTAACTAAATCTGGGATCGCTTGCTTATCAATTTGAACTTTCAGAATGTCGTTGAAAATTCTGATAATACAATCTAATTACATGTAACCGCCAGTAGCGCAGCTATCAAGATTCACAGAGTGATAGCTGCACCACTTGTCGTGAGACTTGAAGCCACCTGTATTATCGCTTCTGGCAAATCGCTCATGTGTTTCCCAAACGACCTATCAGTCTTGTTGAATTGAACGTAGTTTCTGTGCGAAAATAGCCTGCCATAAATTTGCCCGCCCAAATCTTCCAGTCCTTATCAGATGTTCCTTGGGGGTATATAAAAGGTATGAGTGGTCACACCATTTGGTAAAGTACCTGCACCTGTGATCAAAAATGCTGGTTCCCCAAGTATTTCTGGGTCTTCTATGTCTAGGCTTGGCCACAGCCTTGCCCGCCGATGGCGGGCGGGTGAGCTCTGTGACAACGGTAAAAACGAATCTTTTTATTGTTTTAATATTTATTTAAATTTTAAATATGATTTCCTGTATTATTCAGTTGACTCTAGTGAGAGCACAAGGCTATGAGATTCAGGAGCACACTGTTCAGACGTCGGATGGATATATTCTCACCATGCACCGCATTCCATACTCCAAGAATACCGGCTACGATGGCGCTCGTCCTGTTGCCTTCCTCATGCACGGTCTGCTCTGCTCGTCCTCTGACTGGGTATTGGGCGGTACACACAGTGGCCTGGCTTACCTGCTTTCTGAGGCTGGCTATGATGTCTGGATGGGCAATGCTCGTGGCAACACCTATTCCAAGAAACATGCTACCCACACACCGCTGCTGCAGCCATTCTGGAACTTCGAGTGGCATGACATTGGAATCTATGATCTGCCCGCCATGATAGACTACGTCCTATACGCCACGGGTGTAGATCAACTCTCGTACGTGGGTCACTCCCAGGGCACCACTTCTTTCTTCGTGCTGAGCTCGATGATTCCGCGATTCAAGAGTCGCATACGCTCGGCTCATCTACTGGCGCCCGTCGCCTGGATGGAGCACATGGAGAGTCCCCTGGCCACCGTAGGAGGTCCACTGTTGGGACAACCGAATGCCTTTGTTGAGCTATTCGGCAGTATGGAGTTTCTGCCAAACACTCAGCTCATGAATTTGCTGGGCGCTCTATTGTGCAGCGATCAGGCTATATCCCAGGTGATCTGCACAAACAGCCTGTTCCTCATGGGCGGCTGGAACTCGCCATATTTGAACGAGTCAATGATCCCAGAAATAATGGCCACTACCCCGGCAGGCTGTTCGGTGAACCAGATCTTCCACTATCTGCAGGAGTACAATTCGGGATATTTCCGTCGATTCGACTACGGTTCGACCCGGAACAAGAAGGAGTACGGCTCCAAGGCTCCACCAGATTACGATGTGGAGGGCATCAACGTTCCCACATACCTTTACTACAGCGACAACGACTACTTTGCCAGTTTAATCGATGTGGATCGTCTTCGCTACGTAATGGATCCGAATTCCCTGAAGAGTGCGTATCGCCTACCCGAGACTAAATGGAATCATTTGGACTTCCTGTGGGGCCTGAATGTCAAGGAAATACTTTATGACCGAGTGATCAATGACATAAAGAATGCGTAAGCATGTGTTGAAAATAAAACTTAAGATCGTGATAATTATAATTCAAAACAACAAAACACTTTTCAACTATTTAATCAATGGGGTTTAATTACTGATGCGGTGATATTTGATAAGGGGTCATAAATACAATATAAATTGTCGGTTCTTCACCGTGACATAATACAAACCAATCAGCGTTTTATTTGTTTCAAATTATCGTTATATTTGTTTCGTTCTTTTGAAAATGCCGTATTTTTTTGAGATATGCGCAAAACAAAACACTGCTTAGTATCGATAAGTGACTTTCGATTACTCCAATGATTATCCTTTGCGTTTTTTTGTTTTGAGCTATTTCGCTAATACCTTTTTTTAGACAAGATCCAATAAAAGCAAGTGTTGAATATAAACCAGACAATTAGAAAATAGATTCACTAATCGGATAAAATTATGCGGGCATGGCTAAATATTCTATATAGCTAGTAATATTCCACGGAACATCATAAACGAGGAATATGTAAAATATAACTTGACTTCGTCAGTATATTTATGGTATATTTTGAAAATGACTCGGTATATTTCTGAGGGTGGGACCGTATATTCTATACTACCCGCGGTCACACTGGCCACAGGTACACCCACGACAAAAAACCTAATCCAATACGGAAAATAATTTATTTTCGCTTAAAATTGATCTAAAAAACGCCATATCTTGGCCAGTGGTCGGGTTAAGTTAGTCCCCAAGATGTCGCGTGTAACGAAAAGTGATATATTGCTCGATATGGAGGTCTGGGTGGAGGAGCTGTCGGAGGCGCAGTTGGCGTACTACGACAAAATTACAAACGAGCATTATGCTGTGAAAAATGCACTTAAGAGCGCCGTGAGCGCCAATGAAGGAAAGGAACTGTTCAATGGCCAAGTGTTTCAAGCTTATTCGTTCAAGGGAAAAGTGCTGCAGGAGCTGAAAGAGGCCACCTTGCCTAAGAAACCACCGAAGCCGGTCGAACCACCGCAGCCTTCTACTCCGGTCGCTGGCTCCACGGGAAGAGGACGTGGCCGACCAAAACAGTCTTCAAATATTGCTTACTTGGAGTCATCCGACGACGGCGATGATGATGTTCCGTTGGCCAAGAGATTGGCGCTGTCCGCGGGTAAAAAGGCAGTGGCTGCTGGAACGTCTCCAAAGCTAGGAAAAAAAGCAGCCGCCGCCGCCGCTGCCGCATCCCCTGGCAAAGCTTCGCCCCAACCCAAGGGCAGCAAAAGTGGCTCGAGTAGCAAATCTCCAAAAGACTCCAACAAAGATGGCGAATCTCCTCCTAAAAACTATCGGCCAGCTGAGGTCAACTCGGTGGGAGGTCTAGTTGTGGGCAGCACTGACGAAAGTAAGGATTCTAAAGACGTTAAGGATGGCAAAGACTCAAAAATGCAGGGAAAAACATATCCGTCTCTGGTGGTGCTGGCCAAACCGTTCCTTAAGATCAAAGACATGGCTGCAACACGCAGCAAACTGGATTCCAAGGTTAAACTGGTTCTCATGCTGACTCCGAACAAGTTTTGCGAGTGGCTGCTCCAGGAGGGTCTTCTCAGATCCCAGCAGAATTGCATTAATCATCGAAATAGTGAACTGAAATTGGGTAAGTAGGATCAGTTGCATCACACCGAAAACTCTTCTCACTTTCACTTCTCCTTGAATCCCTAGGAATATACTCGGATGTATCGAAATTCCCCTATACAGGAGGCTATGTGTGGATTAGTGATTGCTGTCCTTTTCGCTTCGTTTCCGTCTTCAATAATTCAATATTCGAGGGAGCTTCGCATCCGCCCACATTTCTTCTAAAGCTTATCTACCATTGGGCCTGCCAGACCAGCATTCAGAATGTAGTCCAGTGGGTCAAGGTGGACAGTGTGTACATCAAGGGCATCTACACCTGGCTGAGAGCCATTTGCACTTTGGGCGTGCATCAGAAGTGCAAAAAGTTAGGAGGTCCCGGAAAGTTTGTGGAGGTAATGTACAAAATTATTCCCTTGATGTATGCCCACTCACTGTTTGATGTTCTTCCCAGGTGGGCGTCATATCACTGGGAACCACCTCGCAAGATGGAGCTCAGCGTCAGGTTAAGGTCGAGGTGCTAGGTGTCTATGATTATGCAGACAAATCAATCCGATTGCGTGCAGTAGAGCCAATTATCGATGGAGATCGTAATTACAAGAAACGCTTCCAGGG